TAAAGCCTATCTCGTATCGAAGCCTGGTTTGAATAGAAGCCTGATTTTCAAGATACACTGTCGGCACATAAGCCAGGTTTTGGTGTTGACACACATAGAAACACCTGGTTTGAATAGAAGCCTGATGTGAATATAAGCCTATTGGCTTCTACAGGAATAAGCCCAGCTTTTTAATACGCGACATTACGGTAGTCACCATTATTTTGTCCATTTTTACTACTGTAGTATGTAGAACCCTTGACGGCCATTTGCTGGTGTGGTGACCGGACTATGTTGACTGGACATGAACTACGCGCCTGAAGCAATGCAGTGCAGCGCATGCGCTGGTTCAGATTGTTGCTAACGAGTACTAGCACAGCTAGTACTCCAGGTGACAATCGCTGACTTCAGAATCTTGAGTACCTCTGTCGTAGACTGGGCTAACTGGAGGCCGAGCATGGCTCCCAATAGATCGAGGTGGGGTACCCGGCCTGATGGTCTTGAGCGGTGCATCTTGCGTCTTCGCGGCAACCATACGGACTAAGATCTGTCCATCTGCAAGGGTTGACACTGCGTACCAGACTGCATACGAACTAAAGCGGGATTCACAGAAGCTTTTTTGCGATGCGACACGCGATGCGACGCGATCTGCGACGGACGCGTGCGATGCGAACTCGCGAAATACCATTCACAGAAGAAGTCAGTGATGCGACAAAATCTTGCTGATTTGGCTACGTCACCATGATATTTGCGCGGTTTGATACAACTTGTACAAATTTATAGGCAACTCTTGAACCTTTGTACAACTTTGCTGTAGAAAAGGTCAAAATCGTACGCCAAATCGCTTGTCGCATCGCATCGCATCGCAAAAGTTGAGCCAAGCTCAACTTCTGCGATGGCCTGCGATGGCCGAGTTGCGGCAGTTGCGTGGGGTGCGACAAGGCTGCGATTTGGGGTTTTCCCGGTTTCGCGCCTGTCGCATCGCGTGTCGCATCGCAAAAAAGCTTCTGTGAATCCCGCTTAAAGGGGAAGTTAAGGCAAAAATTAAAATTTCACCAGTTGTAGTCTTCGGGGTGCTGAGTCGAATGGTCTTGGTCCGAGAAAGCTGAGACGCTCCCTTCCTACTTGAATCCCAATCGAACTCGCGCACTTCCACCGAAACTGGGTGACTGCGCCCTACTAGATGGGGATTTGTATGCAAAATGTCACTAAAAGCGCCATTTCGTTCTTATAAAAGCACGGATGACCGCGATTGGCCCATATATTGTAGTCTTTTGGACGCTAAGTCGACTGGTTTTGGTCCGAAAAGGCTGCGATGCAGCGTTCCTCCTTTATTCCCAATCGAACATGCTTGAAGAAGCGGTCACGTGCTCCTGGGTGCCCAAATCACCTGGTCACCACGCCAGCAAGCGACAACTTTCACACCAAGGTTCAACTCGAGTGACAGGACTGCACCCAAAAAAGGTCAAACAGGCTAGTAAGTTGTACCCTGCAGGCACGGTGACCAGGTGACTGGCGTACGCAGGAGCACGTGACCGCTTGTTCAACCATGTTCGATTGGAATAAAGGAGGAACGCTGCATCGCAGCCTTTTCGGACCAAAACCAGTCGACGCAGCGTCCAAAAGACTACAACATGTGGGCCAATCGCGGTCATCCGTGTTTTTATAAGAACGAAATGGCGCTTTTAGTGACATTTCGCATACAAATCCCCATCTAGTAGGGCGCAGTCACCCAGTTTCGGTGGAAGTGCGCGAGTTCGATTGGGATTCAAGTAGGAAGGGAGCGTCTCAGCTTCCTCGGACCACGACCATTCGACTCAGCACCCCGAAGACTACAACTGGTGAAATTTTAATTTTTGCCTTAACTTCCCCTTTAAGACGTGTCCATCTGCAAGGGTTGACACTGCGTACCAGAGTGCATACGCACTAAGACCTGTCCATCTGCAAGGGTTGACACTGCGTACCAGACTGTTTCTTAGGCTAGCGTTGATGCATGGAATTCGATTCGCTTATTATTCGCGCACATTGTCGTATATGGTTCTTGTCTTGTAGAGTCCAATATCTGATGTCATAATATAATTACGGTCAAGTGTATGTGTGAGTATGGTGTGATATTTGACACATGTATGGTATGTGGTCGTACATGGGTACAGACAGCATAACATAGTAAATTCATGACTGCCCTGAGACACAAATCCACGATTTGTGTTTCGACTGCTTTTCCGAATGAAAAATGCGAAAGTTCACAATCCAGTTCGCGAAGTTCGCGAACTCGAACGCGAAATTCGTGATGCTTATCCTCTGTTATGAACCCTCTGATTCTCTAAATTGTCAGGAACGAATGACCACACGGCACGAGGACAACTGTTGATACTTAAACAGTATATTAACTTCGATCCAACATACTAACTAACACTAAGACCACCATCTAGTTATAGCGTGAAAATGACAGCGTGTATCAGAAAAGCATACTCATACAACATACAACTACAGCGCACACAGCAAATCGCACATAGCGCATGTAGCCCACGCCGCAAACATCAGCGGTACGGCGGAGTCGAGATACAACTGCATTGAAACGAACACAATGTCACAAGCGAGAAGGCCTTTCACACTTAAGAACTTGTGGTTTCGTAACATTCTCCCCGCCAAAGGGCTTCTCACCGTCGTACAACAACTCAAAAGTCAAAGGCTCACCACTACCTCTGGCGCTGTCATATCCCAATCAAGACTGGCTGCCCACATCTCCTGTGTGCAGATTTCCCACGCGGGGCAGCAAACGGAGCTAGGGATAGTAATGGGTCGAACACTTTAATTAAAAGCAATATGCTGTACCACTAGGCACTTTGTAATTCGCTGCTGTCTGTTGGCTTCGAGAATGTAAAGCCAAACTGGTCACTACCAGGCCGCAACTGTATACCAAGAGAACGCTTCCTAGGACAGCTGGTGAATGACTCCGCCACTTTTTGGCGCTCATCCCGGCGGTGCTCCAGACAAACGATAGCTGGTGATAGTGTTCAACTGCTTTCTTGTCACTCTCCACCTAATCCAGTGTATCGTCGATGTAGGTTGACTCTAAAACTGCGTCGCCACCACCAGGGTGAGCCACTGCATGTTGCTATGCATGGTTTCGGACAACGTAGTGCACGATGAATGGTGAAACGTTGAATCCAAACACCGGTCGGATGACACTGACCTCGTCTTGTGCATGCGACAAAAACTGGAGGTGCTTGATATCATCAGGATGTACATGTACCTCGACTTGCAAGTACATTTCTTTTACATCACAGACCAGGACCACTGGGTCCTGACGGAATCGTAGCAGCATGTCAAATAGCCCTCTCTGCAGCTTTGGACCAGGGAAGAGTGAAATTCCCTGATAATGTGCTGCCGCATCAAAGACCATGCATGCCTTCAAGTTCTGGTGGTCTGGTCTATATGCACAATTGGGAAATGTGGCATGCAGGAACCAACCGGAGTCCGAGTTGGCGATGTACACTGCTGGCATTTGCTCTACATAACCGTGCTTTGTACGTAATCGTCGATGACTTGGCTGCATGATGCTGCTACTGCACTGCTACTCTGCAGCTGTGCTGGAGTCGCTTCCCCGTGCTGCTGAGCCGGCTCAGTACCGTACGGTAGTTGTTTATAAGCTCTACTTTCCTGGTGTTCCATGGCAGGTGGATCTCGCAAGTGCAAGTCAGTGATGATGCAAAGCGGTCGGCGGCCTGATGCTTGGCTGTTGTCAACTGTGCGTGATCACATGCTGGGTGCCACTTTGATTGAGCTCTCAGAACCGCACTGAGTACAGTCTGACTGAGCTGCTCTAGATTGGCGGTTATCATACCGTGTCCGGTGAGTGATGTAATGGCTGTGTCACCGGGATTGATGAGGCCGGCACAAGTCCAGTCTAGCAGTGTTCTTGGTGCAACAAGCTCTCCTGAACCGCTTTCAATCTTGTCTAGTGATGCGTGCAGGTACGGATGATCGATTCCAGTGATTACCTCTATGTGTTTTGTTCCATTTGAAGGTGGAAATGGAAACTCTCTCAAGTGCTGCCATCAATTTCGCTAGTTGTTCCAGATAATTGCCTCAAGTGATGGAGTCCCATTGTTGGTTGTCAATGCCGCGAAGTCACACCCGGCATATCCATCATTGCTGGTGCTTTGGCTGTTAACCGAGGCAATGTCGAACGTTGTCGCCACTTTGTTGAGGAGCAATACCGTGATCCTCTTGGTCTCTCCTGTCAGACCCAGCTGAGCTGCAATGCTGCTGTTCATGTAGGACACAGTGCTGCCATCTTCAGGCAGAACGTTCTTGGCAATATTGCGTTTGCCAAAAAAGTAATTTTCTTGTCCACCAACTCGCGTTCCGTTTGCCGTTCATCAATGACACCGGCACTGTCTGTACTGCGCTCTGTGCTCAGATTACTTGATGTGATGAGTTCTGGTATTCTTCATGAGCGCACTGGTTCCGGATGCTGGCTCCCGTTCCATGTCCATGCCCTTGCCGAATGGGGGAAACCCAGCCTCGGATAGCTGGCCTGACTTGTCTTGTAGACTGCTGGTTGATGCTCCTTGCTCAGCCATACTCTTTTCTCTACTGTTCTTAGCTCCATCATATTTCCTCACTCTTGGATCCGCATCGTCGTCAGCATGACATACTAACATTGTACAATAGCATGGGTCTAGGAACGTACAGGTACTACAGGTACTACAGGTACTACAGGCCATGCAGACAGCACCACACTACAAGCTAAACTACGCCATATTTTCAAATGATCATGTACAAACAGCTGTGGGAGGCGGGGGGGGGGGGGGGGGGTAGAGAGATTAAATAGCAGCAGGAGTACATAACAAAGAGTGTGCAACTCCCACCGTGAGCTGCAATGGGATCAGCCACGGCGGAATTTGCATTGCACTGAGTTGCACACTCTTGGCAATGCACTCTTGTTAGCAGATCAACTGTTTGACCACAGTAAATTATTTAACAACATGCACCTTAATGCACCAAGCTCTCACCTCCATGGATTTGCTTCCTCATAAGCTTCTTTGCAATCTCTGCTACTTCTCCGCCTACTTCATAGAGGATGCGTGGAAGTTTCTCATACTCTGCTTGCGATTTCCGTTCAAGAATGTCAATCAGATGATCTGTTGCCACGTCACTGCTATATCGTTCGCACACCTTCCGCATATCGCGCTTCTCCTGTGTATTGATTATGGCCTCCGCCTCCAGTTGGACCAGCAGATTTTGCGGATCCAAGTATCGACGTAATTTAGGAGTTTCAGGTAGAAATACCTATATTAATGTAAAAGAAGAAGAAGAGGAGGAAACAAAGATGCACAAGACAACAGCAAATCTCAGACCTCCCAATTCATTCAAATTACTGAAATTACAAAAGCAATCGCACAGTCATGTATACCCTAGTGACCACCTGGTCGGGAGATGGGCTCACAGCCTAAATTGCGACCTTGGACAATAACTCATCCTCTGGTTTGGACAGTGGTACAATTCCTGGGAGAGGAAGAAATCTAAGTCTGATCAGACCATTTGTGGGAAATCCAGAAAGTACCCTGAGTACCTGTCTGTACGACCAGGGGTGTTGGGACGGTATTCCATTGAAGACCCATGTACTTGGCCTCAGGTCTCTCCAGGTTTCCACAAATGCTCCAGCCTGTCACTATGGGTGGGGTTTGGGACAGCCCCTATGTCCTGGCAGTTCCTTTTATACTTGTGGGGAACAACAGGTCTCCAAAGAACAGGTCCCACGAAGGATGGACGCCCTGAGGAGGCACTTTGGGCATTTTTAGGCAATTCCGTCGTGAGGTGGTGACATTTTGTATCAGACAGCATGTCACTGAGATGCATCGCCACCAATGGTGATTGCCCCAGCACCAGCTCCATCAGACCCTGAATAAACTGGCACTGGTCAAATCCTGTCCAGAGTACGATCAGGAGATGAATAACATCGAGGACCTTGCCCACATACGTGCAGCTCTGTTGGCATCGGCCTAAACCTGCACATATGATAGAATGGTATCCACTCTTGCACATCGTGCCCCATCGACATCGGGTCATGGACATAGCTTATGCATCCATCAGCATTCATTCAGACAGGGAGCCATGGAATTTCTCCCATAAATGCGGTGTCATGTCAACCATGAAAATTCATCCATGCACCAGCTGTTTGTTGCCGAAGGCCATACTATAAGTGTAAGGTGTAGCATGCCGATGCTAAGTACGGTGAGAACTGTCGATGCTCTCCTGCTCGGACGGAAATGGCCATTTTGTACATCAGGATACTGGCAACAGGCTTTCACCTCCGATAAGTTTATAGGAGGATGCTGATCCTAATGTGCAGGTACATTGTACATTGGAGGAGTAAGTGGCTCAGAACTGGACTTCTGGACTTTGTACAAGGCTTTCATTCATCTTCATGAACAGTCCACCAGTCTTCAAATGAATCAGAGGGATATTCTATCAATTTGATTTCGTTTCATTTCATTTGATCATTTGACATGTACGGAAATATTACCAATGTGGGTCTTCACCACTTTGCAAGTCACTGTAAGTGACGCATAGCATAGTTGTGGACAGTTATGCGGTCTACTTACCGTTTGCCACCATTGCCTCCCTGGTTTCAGTTCTTCATGACTGTACAAAAAATAGGAACGGGGCGAAAAAGTAGAAATTTCAAGTTGCAGTTCAAGTATTAAACAGGGATGTGTGCATGCAGCCAGTGCAAATGTACACCTTACATGGGCTATCTATCTGTACAAACTCAAACACAGGAGTCAGACATGAAAGATAATTTTGAAACTTCATTCTGCGTTTTCAAGCTTTGGGAAAGTTGAAAGCACAGCAACAGCGAAAATGCCTGCAATACCTTTATCTCCCGTACTTTGTCAACGGCTTTTTGTTTGTAGTTCAGAGACAAGGTATGCAAATGGCAAGAACACCCAATGGAAGAAAACTCTCAGATGCTCTTGTGCTCACCACAGGCCATTGAGAGTAGCCTCTACAGGCTACCTGCAACAAGTCATAGCTTTCTTATTCAACACATCGGCAATACGTCCCATAGTTATGAAATGAAAACAGCATACACTTGCATGTAATTATGCAAATCATATTGATAAGTCACCCCGCCACCCACGTGTCTTCAGTGCAGAGACTTCTCAAGAGACTGATTGTACTTCAGATTCTAATGTAGTCTTTATGATGTAGATTAAGCAATCATTGGTTCTAACACTTCTAAATCATGCACCACCACACATGACAATTAGTTGCTTTTCTGGGCCAATGGTTTAAGTTTACCACACACCACCTCTGACTTGAATACACTATGATAATATGTACACTCCAGTATGTGATCAGAGCCATCATGGCATGGAGTTTGGCTAAAAGTGGCAGGTTGCTGTCAAAAGAGACAGAATGCATGTGTACGTGTGGAGCCTTGTTCCAGAAACTTGCGGGCCACTGCCTTCTAGTGACTGCAAACACATGCACTGCAGGGTGGTCACATATACCAGGCTCTAGCAAGTTAATCCAAGAGTAGGCAACTGCTGCAGGCTGATACCAAGAGTAGATAAACAAGAGTGTGCAACTCCGGATCTGTCCTGCACAATCTGCAGATACCCCCGCCCACGGCGGAATTTTTTGTTGACGTCACCTTTTTCAGAGAAACGCGCATTTTGCCGCAGAGCAGTATGAGAGCACGTGCTGGGCACCGACCTTGTAGTGTAAAGCCCGGCCAAGTGCACGAGGGAAAACTTTCGAAAAGACTCGCAGCGCGTGCGTAGTCGAAAAGATTACGTCAACAAAAAATTCACCGTGGGCTAACCCATCCACGAGTTGCACACTCTTGTTTATCTACTCTTGCTGATACTGGTAGCTGTCACGAATCACGCATAGCTTATTTTCAGAATCATCTCATTTTCTGATGTACTAGTAACCAGCTCTACACATGCTCTCAAGATGGTAGGTTGACCACAAACAATGCAGTCTAGTACAATGCAGTCTAGTGGTGAATAATATAATTATACCTTCTGGATAGGAGGTTCATGATGAACGAGCTCTTTGCACCGGCATCTGGTTGAATGAACATTATGAAGTCAGTCGTAACAGCAAGGGCAACAAGAACAGCACCAGAAGAAGCAGAAGAAATCCTTCAGATAAAACGTAAAACATTCCGATATGTATCGGCTAGAGGTTCCTCCAACTTGTGAAAAAATATTCTCCTCCAGACTACACCCCATAGTTCATCGCACTACCCTAAAAGCCAGCTACAGCTGCATGCCCAATGTAGGCACCATGATCAAGCAGCACGACAACAAAGTCATGCAACGCAAGCACCGGAACCACAACAGTGGTGACTAACTGAAGGGACTTGAAAAACCAGATTCAACAGCCACCAACAATGCATTTGACACAGGAAATATGAGTACAGCACATGACAATCAAAGTGCATCAGGAGACTAACCGACAAAGGCCAACCACGTTTTGTTGTGCTTATGGGGTCTCGAAGCCCTAAAATTCATTTTCCGTTGCTTCAGGGCCACTATAGGTATGGCGGTGCAAGCCGGGCTCCCCCTCTTGCCCCAGGTGCTTGTGGGGTCTCCAGGGCCTTGCACATGTTAGAGGCGGCTTGGGAACACTTGAATGCCGCTCCCCTGCGGGGAGGCGTTTCTGCCTCTGGGGTGTTTTGGACACCCATGAGAAAGCCCAAGCTGTCAGTCTGTATTCCCCCTGGTATTTTGCTACCTGTTAGTTGACAAATGCATTGTGTCATATTGTTCACAGTTCCTATAACCTAAAGTCCATCCCTTCCCGATCACACATTTCAAGTGCTCTCATGCAGACTGACAAATATCTGCCTTTCTCACACTTCTGCTACTGGCACCCACACATGACCAGCGCTCTGCAAAAACCGACCTTAGGTGCTTTTTTGGCGAAATTGAGTTTGTGCTGGATTGTTGACCCATGCCCCTTTCTTCAACTTCTGGTGAAGTTTGAGGTGGATTGCATACATATTCAGTTAGATACAATGACAATTTCTTTGCACTTTTCCTACAATTTTTGAGGAAAAGTAGCAAAAATCCTGGATTTTGTGCTACATTTCGGAGCCAATGTTGTGAGAGTTCAAGCAGCATGATTGCAACCAAACTTTGCAGAATAAATCTGTATGTCATGATCGTCAAAAGGGAAGGTTTGTGATGGCATTGGATCTTCCTGTTGTGGAGATAGACACATTCTATCTCTGTTCTGCGGATGGTGTTGCTCACGATCTGCTGCAAGAGGTATTTGGCTCTGTACGAGGATATGCCAGCCGGAGTGATGGGTAGAGGCAGGTGCAAAGTAGTGAAGAAGCTCGGATCAATGTCGGGTTAACGGATATTGATAGTTTTATCTGGTACTGGTAGTAGAACATCTAGTTATGTCTACATCTGCCGCACACATTGTTTCATAATCGGTGATATCATGGCAGTCTCTTTTCCAAATCTTGCCAAACGTACTGTATGCAGCTTTGCCATCAGGCTTTGTGAACGCCTGGTGAACAAGCTTCTTCGTAGTGATACTGGGCAAATACATGTACATGTAGGTTGGTACTGGCTTGTTGTGCCCATGTGGATCTGCAGGTTAAGGGAGGCCATGAGCTACAGCATAATGCTCTATAGAATGCTTCAGCTCCACAACATCTTCCACAGGCAGTGCATTCCAGAGTCCTGTGTTGGGCTGATTTCACTTGCACTGACAGCAGCCTGCACAGATTTCAGCACCCAGGGCTTGATCCTGGGCTGGAGGCATACACAAAGACTTCCTGACATGCATGTACATGACTTCCACATCAGCCACTGACAGTAGTCTTCAGTAGTTCAGAGTAGTATTGTTGAGCCCCATCTATCACATCTCCCAGCATGCTGGACGCGCTGGGTAGCCTCACCACGTGTCCTGAGCACGTCTAGCTTTCCGCCTACATGTACACACAAGCAGCGCTCTGACTTGGTCAGGACGTGCGCTGCTGTGAGCGCTGTAACTGTAAAGCAAGGTTTCAAGTGTCACTCTCTTGAAACAGCACCAGTGCGGAACAACTACAGCCCTTGTCAAACTTGTCGCGCGCCTCCTGGATTGTAGACAGTACTTGAACCGATTTTTCTTGGTCTGCACTCCGTTTATTGCCGGCATTGAGGGGCTGGGCTGGTGGCAAAACTGACGCCTGATCGAAATTCTCCTCCGCATGGCCGTCCAGCTCGATCAGCGTTGCGTCCTGCGATTCCACATCCGACTCTCCTCGGCACTGCTGTCATCAGAACTGCGATTGGACCAGGCCAAAAAATGACTATTCATCGTGAAGGAGTTAGGATGAAACCTCTGGGAGAAGCCCACAGCAATTATTTGAGCTAGCAACCGTCTTCTGCTTCGTTCCGCCATGACTCTCACCTTGTGATCTTCAAATATCGACAGACCGTGACGTTTTGTTCTTTTTCTCAAAAAAATTACGAAGCACCTAAGGTCAGTTTTCGCAGAGCGCGGGTCACATTATAATCCGTGCCAAACTAAAGCTGATAGCTCTATGGCTATAGGATCAAGGCCCAGGTGCAGCTCCTAAAGCGGTGGGAGGTCAGAAGATCAGACTCACCACCAAGTGGTCAAAGACCGGAAACTCCTTTCCATAAAACTCAAAATTTCCCCCTCAGCAGAGACTCCGTGGGCCAGTGCTCTATGAATAAAATGCAAGTAAGGTGCCAAAAACGAAACAGTGTACTATCTAACAACATCTGTACCTTGAAGAGCACGCCTTGCATCATTCGAGAGTTCCTCTGCCAAGATGGTTCTTTCGAGGTCTCTTAGCACTCCAAGAAATTTCTTGAATCCACCATCACCAGTTGTTTTTAAGAGGCTGGATAGACGAGCAATTGCGGTTGTGCAATCTCGAGTACTTTTAGTCACCAGGTCTTGGCAATCTAAGGGTGAAATGAGATCCTTGCGTCTCATCATTTTGGCGATAGTACTGAAATTCTCCGACAGCTCTTTCTCTATCAGCTCTCGTCTTGTGCGAAACACCTAGAGAATTGAAAGAAAGATGACCATTAGTTCAGAAGAAGAATTCAATTTATATCCCTCCATTGCAGTCATCTCACTAACTGAAGAATGCCAACATTGCAGGTGAAATGGATCTTGTTAGGACATGTTCGGATTCCTTAACACTTGAATGTTTAAATATTTAGGCTATGATCAAACGCTTTTCATCCCTCTCAAGTGTGTGTAGGCTATGATCGTATGCAAAATGTCACTAAAAGCGCCATTTCGTTCTTATAAAATCACGAATGACCGCGATTAGCCCATATGTTGTAGTCTTTTGGACGCTGAGTCGACTGGTTTTGGTCCGAGAAAGCTGCGATGCAGCGTTCCTTCTTTATGCAGGAGTTGCATTTTAATAGAAAATGTGGGCTTTGCGCAGCAAAGCCTAGTTAGCCCATGCACACGCATGCTGGTGGTGGAGTGCTGCGAGTGCGTGTCATGTGACCACCTCGTGATTAAGCCGTGTGCGCCGTGTGTGGCCTGGCAAACTTTTATGGACAATCGTGGATCCGGCGTCTAATTATTTGGAGACGTGTTTTGCTGAGCTGTCTTTGTTTCTCCGGTTGGGGGGGGGGGGGGGCAAACGGGCCTCCTATTATGTCTGTATGTTGTGACGCCTGATGCCAGGCAGTCGTGTGTGAGCCCTCGGTGGGCGATTGGCTGGCCTCGGTGGCCGTTTGTGTGCCCTCGGCGGGCAAGATGATATCGGCCCACGTGGGCAGTTTGCTTGCCTCGGTGGCAATTTGCGCACCATCGATGGGTTGTCTGCTGGTTTAGCCCTCGACGGGCGGTTTGCTGGCCGCGGCGGCCATTTGAGCGCCCTCGGTGGGCAGTATACTAGTTTAGCCCTCGGCGGGCGGTTTGCTGGCCTCGGCGGCCATGTGTGCGCCCTCGGTGGGCAGTATGCTAGTTTAGCCCTCGGCGAGCGGTTTGCTGGCCTCGGCGGCCATTTGCGCGCCCTCGGTGGGCAGTAGGCTAGTTTAGCCATTCGGGCGCCCTCGGTGGGCAGTATGCTAGTTTAGCCCGCGGCGGGCCGCGGTGGCCATTTGTGCGCCCTTGGCGGGCGGATGCTAGTTTCAGGCATGCATCTTTACTCAATCAATTATTATCAAAGAGCATATTCATGAATATTTGAATTGTCCAAAAGAAATCATGGCAACCTCCAACCCAATGTGTCTATTGTATGTTTGTGCACGCCATTGTGAGCGGTACGTTGTGCGGGTGTCTGCGTGTCAGAGCATGGGTACACCAGTGGCGTGTGCGTGCATGTGTGCGCGTGCGTCTGTCTGCATGAGTGCACGAGTGCCCAAGCTGGGTGTGCGGGTGCACTTGGAGGTGCTTGCATGTTGACGGGTGCAGGGGCTAAGTATATTTTTCGCAGTAAAAGAGTATTTATTTGTAGAGCTTGTTTTGATACAGATTCCTAGGTTCAAACCCCAAGATGGGCAGTTAGTTACATTTTTTCTCTCCTTGCGTATTTTGTATCTGCATGTTGTTACCCTTTCCGTGAGTCGCTCGTGAGTAATGTATGAGTCGTGTATGGCTAAACCCGTATTTACCCGTATGATTGGCTGCTAGTGTTATTGTTCTAGAACATTAGCGTAATTAACCAATCACAGCTCTGGAATATTCTAGAATTTCGTCGGCGACCGGTTTATATAGATTACTCATTGGTTGATGACCTAAAGAACATGGCTGCCGTTCGCCGTGTGTTCATGCATCGTTCTTTTCTTGTGCTTTTTCACTTCTTATCTTTACTTGCCGAGTGTGTAACTAATAATTCTGTCCTAACGAGTATTCGTGAAACCACAAAGTGAGTGCTTTGTTTGAGTGTGTGAAATTGTCACCGAGGGCCAGCTACTACATTGGTGGCAGCGGTGGGATTCGAACCCACGCCTCCGGAGAGACTGGAATTTATTCCCAATCGAACATGGTTGAACAAGCGGTCACGTGCTCCTGCGTGCCCAAGTCACCTGGTCACAGCGCCAGCAGGCGAGAACTTTCACACCAAGGTTGAACTCGAGTGACAGGACTGCACCCAAAAAAGGTCAAACAGGCTGTAAGTTGTACCCTGCAGGCACGGTGACCAGGTGACTGGTGCACGCAGAAGCACGTGACCGCTTGTTCAAGCATGTTCGATTGGGAATAAGGGCCGAGCGCTGCATCGCAGTCTTTTCGGACCAAAACCAGTCGACTCAGCGTCCAAAAGACTACAACATATGGGCCAATCGCGGTCATCCGTGCTTTTATAAGAACGAAATGGCGCTTTTAGTGACATTTTGCATACAAATCCCCAGTAGGGCGCAGTCACCCAGTTTTGGTGGAAGTGCGCGGGTTCGATTGGGATTAAAGTATGAAGGGAGCCATTCGACTCAGCACCCCGAAGACTACAACTGGTGAAATTTTGATTTTAGCCTTAACTTCCCCTTTAACTTCTCCTTTCAGAACATCAGTTGACAGCAAATCACACGGCAGGAAATCAGGGAATCAGTGCTTGCATGTAGCAGAAATGGTCTGGCTGTGGTTAAGGCATTTTAGCAGGTAAGGAGTCTAGGATGCTTGGCTGAAATTGCTTGGAGCAGCAGGCGAGCATAGTGACATGATCTAAAACCATAAAATCGGTTTGTTCAACAAATGTGATTACTGATTAGGCAAGCTGGTAGGATAAGGCTACGCTCGGCTCAGCATTATTCAAACATTTTGTTTTTGCAATTCGGAATGCAAACAGAGCCCTGCGCAATGCACGCAATGCGTGCAGGGAAAGCCTGTGCAGCGGCTAACAAGTCAAGAATCAGAACCACAGCAACCATACACAAGCGCTAACCTCTTTCCACAGATCACACTCAACACCTTCTGTTGGATCTCCAGTCTTCAATAGACCAAATTTTTGTACTACAGAACAAAAAATGGAGAGAAATTGATACAGAATGAGGCCAATTTTCTACAGATGAGAGAATACTGTAAAACCGGAAAGTCTAACGAGACACAAAGTCTAAAGTTTTAACGACCAATTTTTTCGTTATTTGAAAAAAACGATATCGCTAGATGTCTGTGTAAAGATGCGCATACAGATGGGTGGCCAGCTAGCCGTCGTTAAACTTTCTGCACGTAATCATGCCAAAATTACAAAAATGTTAAATTTTGGTCGCTAGACTTTCCGGTTTTACAGTAATCCATTGAGGGCACACATTGTGAGATTTATTCCACATCCTAACTTGTCATTATGGTAAAAAAAAAAAGGAGAAGGACAAAATGTTACGATTAACGCATACTCCGTACGCGGAGGCATACACGACCCACACACAGGCGCAGCAATTGTTGGTTAGCACTACAGGGTAACCGCTAGGGTTTACCGGGTGTTAGCGGCCGTCGTGAGTTCCCTTCGGGAACGGACACGATAATTTACTTCTTTTTTTTACTACAGGGTAACTGGGCGAAGGAGCTGGCAGTGTGTAACCATGGAGGCGGCCGACCCGACAGAGGCAGGGACCGAGAGTGAGACCAAAATGGCGGCTGACCTGCCAAGGGCAGTAACCGAATAGAGTAATGCGGGAGAGTAGAGAGAATGCTGCCAGCTACTGAGAGTTCAGTGCCCAATCCCTGCTTGTTTGTCTACCAGAGTGAGTTTGGAAGACGAATGAGGTGAGTAGTATATACAGAACAGGGTGCTACAGAATGAGAATGGCAACACAATGAAATCGGTGTGGGTGGGTGGGTGAAAAGACGGAGCAAGAGTCACGCAAGCCAATGCAACTAACAACGAGAGCCAGGCACGAAGGCTGCTGAAAGGTGTGCATATGCAAAGCGAGCTGCGGAGAGAGTTTGCGCATGCGCACAACGGCACATCCGTGAGCTGGCGTGATAGACATCAGCATACAGTGAAAACATTACGACGTCACGTTAACATAGTTTAGCTACGCGAAACTTACTTGCAGTTATGACTAACTGTTCACCAACGTAACGAGATAATAATACAGTCAGCGAGTGCAACAAAATGGCACGAAACTGGCAAGGAGTAATGAGACCTTCAGCGACCTGATAGTCCTTTTTATCATAATTAAATTGGCTCACCATCCGAGTTCAGCTGAACTTTTCAATATCTGTTTATCCCTTCAGCAGCCACACATAATTATTGAATGAGTTGAATTTAATAGAGACTTAGTCGGAGGGAAACATATTAGCACACGAAGAAACGAAGCCAGTTGAAAATCTGATGAGGCCTTTTGTACCATTACTTCTCAAATCAGTACATGGTGATAATGTGACAAAGCACAACAATGTCAATTTATACAGCATATTGGCGGAAAATTGTGATGAAACGTACACAGGCTGAATGCTGGTGTAAGTTTCGCCAAAGAGTACAAGAACTATAACAGGGAGGTGGGAAGTCAAAATAACACTAGCTTCCTAACAAACTCCTTCTGTCTACAAAGCTCAGGCTGTAGCTTGGCAATGTACACAGCCTCTAGCGCATCTAGGTGGTATTTGTTGCGCGCCCGCGCTGCGCAAATGGGCACGCAGCAAATGCCACCTAGATTTGCTAGAGACTGTTTACATTGCCAAGTTTGTTAGGAAGCTAGTGCTATTTTGACATTGGCCAGGTTTTTGGCAGGTAATGACAGCCATTTCTGAGTTGGTGCCAGTCGCTATGGCGAGGCCCAAAAACTGGTCCTCAGCTTCGAGTAGTCTTTGCTTGGCCTCATGAACTCCAGGAAATTCGCTACTGCGACGATGAGCTACTCTATCTACCCACTCAACAAAAATTATTTCAACCAAGCGCAATCGACCACTGCTTAAAAAGTTGTAAACTGTTTGCAAGCGCTTCCAGCTCAGCGCATGTCTAAGCAGCCCAGCACAGCGCATGTCTAAGCAGCCCAGCACAGCGCATGTCTAAGCAGCCCAGCACAACTGATTCAGTCTCCTATACAGCTTCACGGAGAGATAAAGAAAGAACCACCTGATGTCGAGCTGCATTGGGAGTACAAAAGAGACTCGAATTGGCAAGGATCAATCTCCTTTCTTCCTTCACGAAAAGGATCATTTCAGCACGACTACAAAAAACATGATTTTCTCCATTTTCAGAAAAAGCTATAGGTCGGTTTTAGCTGATCACGGCTCATATACAGTTATTGTGTACTACATATCCTTCGACACACACACACACACACACACACACACACACACACATGCACATGCACACACACACACGCACACGCACACGCACACGCACACGCACACACACACACACACACACACACACACACACACACACACACACACACATACACACACCAAGCGCAACCATCCAGAACCAGTGTATGGGAAGAAAGACTTACAGTTCATGTGCTCTCTCTCCTTCTTCTCAAACGTTGTCTCTAGGCGTTTCACAAGTTGCTCTTGTTTACGTTTTTTCATAAGTCTCACAAGGGCAAAATAGCCTCTGCTTCTGCTGCGGCGAAGTGCTGTGAGAAGCATCCGGTTGCGTGCCGGTGTTGTGTCCTGATCTCGGATTTCCTTCCATTCTCTATCGTCCAATAAGTGTTCTTTGAAGAGGTCATTTATAATCTCGGTGCACAGACCATCTTCAAGATCAATTCGGCATGTCTCGATCACCTTGAAAATACAGGAAGAGCAGATGACAGCATTTGTCGCGACTAAATAATAATAACAATTATTGGAGTTGGTCGCTCCTTCATGAAAAAACACGCTTCCTGCCGAACTTGACACTTGACTGCCACCCGCAGCACACAAAGAGTCCATCGCACATTCCACTTGGGAAACCAGCAAGAAAGCACCACTTCCCCTCTTCACACAGCTACCTGAAGCCCCACGAGGTGTTTACGCTGTAAGTTTGTATCCCTAGAAATGGTTGGGCTGCTTGAATGCTATAAAATAACTGTAGTACTCCTGGAGCACAAATTTTCACAGCCTACTCAAGCTCAACTAATGAGGGGTGAATTTCCCAAAACACTGGGTATTGAACAGGGAGTGGCGCTTTTTTGAAGGGTAGCCGGGTGGAAGGTGCGACAGGGTCCTTGTTTGCTCCGAGTAGCAGTTGTGAGCCAGTCAATAGTCAAGTTCTGCAGGAAGCACATGTTCCACAACCAACTTCATTTACCCGTGACCTGATGCTGCCAAAGTTGCTGCTTCTAAGTACTAGTACAATATTATGAATTGTTCATTAAGGATGAAGAACATGGGAATATCTTCAAGGAGCATTAACAGACTTATAAACAAATTGGGAGCGTGTCCAATTCTTGTTACCGAATTCCTTTTAGTTTCGGCTTGTTGTGCTACAATGTAAGCTGGTTCGTTTTGGTTTTCCTCTTTTGCCGTGATTCCTTTTGCTGTTGTGCATGTGGAACGTGGTGTAGGTTTATTATTTTGTGGAATGTCATAATTTTGGGGCAGGTGTTTTATAATGATGTGTTGTTTTCCTGTGTGATGACATTCCCCAAAGTGTCTTAGTCTACTGTCAGTCGTGTGCACGTGTTATATGAGTATGCGCGATGTTGTGGTCGAGAGTCCTTTTGTCGGTCTTCTTGTTCCGTTGGAGTTAGTTTTCTTTCCGTCATGTCGTAGTCCCAGGTTTCGGCATCAAATATGTTATCGAATTCCTTTTTCAGCTGTAGGTTGAACCCTAGAGCACTACACTCTTGACTGCATGTTCCCTCGATCACTCATGACCACACACTCAAGCACCCAAATACGGCTTGTTTACAGGAATTAGTCTAGAAGGAGACTGAAGAAGATCCACAAAAGCCAGCCCGATGCCACGAGGTTCATGACTTCACTGCTCATCAAGGATCATAGCAAAAATGGCGCACGGTGTGATCAGATAACATGATCATGATCTGATCACATGGTCATGATCTGATCACATGATCATGATCTGATCACATGATCATGATCTGATCACATGATCATGATCTGATCAGCAATTCAAAGGGAGTGAGCAAAAGATAGCTCTTTGAATCTTTCGAAAAATTATGATGTGAAAACTTCGAAGAAGATTGCCCGATGAGTCCAGCGGGGACAAAACGTACATCGCAATTGAGCTGTGTCATTGCTGTGTCATCTGCTATGTGCCATGCGCTACCTGATGTGCCAGCCTGCTATGTCGGATACCGCCAACCATGCATCGACTAGGCGCCAGGCGTGAACTGATGGTGGTGTGCATGGGCAGGCGTGTATTTACCGCCATATTGCCACGTGTGTCTTTACCACCACATTAATCAGCCATGAAAGTACAGCTGCAGTGGTGTCTTCAACTTCATTCTCCTGAAAACATCAGTACGTTTATTAGAGAATTAGAACAAGATCAAAGGAGAAGAGTGATTTCTTTATAATGAACTTTAAACCAGGCAATTACGTTACATTCTCTAATGAAGTCTATGCATCCATGCAGTCCCCATCAGTCTAAAAGAACACACCAAAAATCTTCAACCATCATCAGTCTAAAAGAACACACCAAAAATCTTCAACCACTTGAACTATGAGCCCATTATGAGAAGGGATCTAGACTGGTGTGGACAGCGTAGGTGCATAAACTTCTTTAGTGTACTTGTAAACACTTAAAATCCCGAACAGGCTCTCAGCTGCGCAAAATGAGTGAATAAGGATTGCCAGCTGGGTTTATTAACACCCAATCATCGAACATGTCCAATGATTGAGTGGTTTTAACCCTTTGTCCTTTTGCCCAAAATGTATGTGAGGGGTACCTGCTTCAACAAATCCACTCACCATTCCCAAGCAGCTGATATTTTGTATGTACACTTTATGTTTTCCTGAAAGCTTATGATAATTGTGAACTAAAAATGCAGTTTGGGTTGAATTCCTCAAATAGGCGTGGCTAAACAAGAGTATCAAAAATGATTTTTTGGCAAAAATCGGCAAAATTCAAAGTTCAAGTTCTTTCCTATGTATAATAATGTGCAATTTGTACAAGTATGACCTGGAGTAGCACCTCTGGCATGTTGGGCAAACACGGAGCATTAGCCAAAGGAGTGCCAGTGGCGACATGCTCGACATTGCGGCCCCGTGCGGCTGCTCTCCTCGCTCTGCGCGGCTGTCGACCATGAGTTTGACGGCGCGCAGGTGACGGAGATCTGGACCTCTCTGGGATCGGACTACGCTCCCGCTCCACGTCCTGCGGCATTCTAGCTGACCCTGCTGCTCCACGACGGGTAAGACATGGCGGTGGCACACTCTCTTCACCACGCGAGTGCTGTTCTGCCGATCCTGCGCTCAAATCGGAGCGGTCGACATGTCCGACCGCTGGGTCGACGGTTACGACATCGTAATCCGCGTCGTCATCAAAATTAGAATCAACACCTTCTACTAAGGCTTCGTCCAGTTCGTTCTCTTCATCAGAGGACATAGGATTGTCGCTTGGGTCACTCCAGCTATCCTCAAACAAGCGCTTCATCTGCATCAAGCGACCTGCGTGCTGCCATGTCGGAAGTCACGACGCAAGCAAACTTCGACTTTGATTTCCTGAAATTTTTCAAATGGCAACTAGCCCCAGCGACCCGTGTATCATCCTCTACATAGCATAGGCTGTGTGCACGTGAATTTTCATGTGGATCGGGTGATCCGTGTAGCTTCCAGGTCGCTTTGAACATGCGTGGGTTGAACCGTACACAGGTGTACGGTTCAAGTATGGGCGAAAGGACAAAGGGTTAAAACATGAAACTCCGAGTAACAACAAAAACCCTACTTTCCTTTGTGTGCCTCTTGAGGAACCACATATACATCTATATGAAATCGCTGGCACGAGGGGTCAAAGCTGGGGATGTTCCACGCATACTTACTCGTAAACCATGTGTACTACTAGTAAATAGTACCTGTTAAGAGTGTGGGCACTCAGTGACTGCACCACTAGGAATATGGGCACGCCGCTGAGTAACGGTCAATGTTTTATGACTCCCTAGCCTCATATTCAATGCGCATACGGCCAAACGTGCAGTTACACTAATATTCGCGGGATCCGCGTTAGCATCACTTGCATGTTCAGAAACACACAAGCTATAGCCTTCGCTTCCGCAGGCCACCACTATGCCTTTTCACCTTAGTGGCGAATGCAGACCTCACAAGTGAGTCAGGGGAGAGGAGGTGAGTCTCTCAACCAATCGGGCGTGTAACAGCCCATAACCCTGTAAACTGCATCCTTGTTATCCTCACTCCGAGCTGTGAGTACCCAGTTGACCGTGGGTGTTGGCGCAGTTCAACACGCGTAACAAGTTTGTTTACACCCTCCCTGCTATCAGCGCGGGTCTCGAACTCGGGACCTCATGATTCGCAGGCAGGCCTGCAAACCAATCGGCCATACACTGCACAGCTGAAATAATGTTTTTCGCTGTTTATAGCACATCACCAGTTTACCTTGCCATTGTCTCTTAAATGTTCTGTACTGTTTAGTTTGAATGGTGGTGGGTAGGTAGACGTTCAGTAGATGGGTGCTCGTGCATTTTTCTCCTAGCCTGGCTGAGTGGGTGCTGGTATGGATTTAGGGATTCTATTTCTAAGGCTCTCTCCTGCTGCCCGATCACCCATGCATGTCGCTGATCAATGAACCTTTCACAACCGATTTGCTCAGTTCTTTTCATCACATGCTTGTAAAACTTCTGCTGCTTCTGTCATTTCTCCAGCATTTCAGCTGTGAGGGTGGTCTTTTTCATGCACTTCTGGAACACCACTACGCTAGTGAATGTGGTTACTCTACCCATGGTACTGACCAGTTGCTCTGTAAGTACTTGTAAAAATGAAAGAAAGATATTGGTACAGCATTGCCCAAGGCTTCGAGTTGACCATATTATAAGACACAAAACGAAAAGAGAGAGTCTTCCAAGGATAATGAAAGGAACCATTACTTACCTGATCCACCAGATCAGTTTCATCAATCGTGTCCATGTAAGCCGGATCATGCTCAGGAAATCCACTTGATGCCATACTTGTTAAGCAGATACTGATAACATTGCTAGGACATTGATTACACTCGGTATTACACTGACTTCTTTTGGTAAGGTAACTCTTCTGGTATATTCAGTACAATCATAGAGAATAACTCAGCCAGAGACATTCCTGCGGCAAAACCAAACGCCAGAGTGCAAGCATGAATCCAAGGATGACAAACAGAGAAACAGTCAGTAGACTTGCTCTGATGCTTTCATACAAATGACAAATAAGTCAACGCCAGAAATACAGCAAAAGATGAAATAGCGATAGCAACCATAGCAAAGGAACGGAAATAAAACAGTTCACTGCAAATGCATATACTCCAAGACTCGAATTGACTGTGACCAGAATACAATTTGTACACGGCCCAGTGCAAATCATTTTTCACGCAAACAGCGCACATTTTTGCAAGTAAAATAGAGGGAAAACACTAGGCAACAAGTTATGAAGCAACTATCCATGACTGTAACATGATAATAAGCAGCCAGAAAGTGCGGTAAGAGGGCACAGAAGTGACAGGCTACTCGGAGACATTCAACGACCTGAGACCTGAGAAGTTGGGTGGTGTGTTGCTTTGCTGCTTCGAATTGTAGTTAGACCGCATTGTCATGTTATTAACTGGTCTCGCCATCGTCCTGTAACAGTCGGCATTCTTTGTTACAGTACCGGGAACTTAGCTTGTGCATATTTTCGCTGTGCTAACCTTCCCCTCTTCGGTCCTACCTAACCGTGAACCTTTCAAGTAGGAAGGCTATTGGTTTGCACACTGGAGATGTGTTAGAGCTAAGGTCTCAGGTCGTTGAACATCTCAGTAGCCTGTCAGTTTTGTGCCCTGTTACCGGACTTTCCGACTGCTTATTATCTCGTTACAGTCGTGGATAGTTGCTTCACAACTCGTTCCCTAGTGTTTTTCTTCTATTTTGCTTGTCTTACAGGCTCAGTATCCGAGTTAAATTTTTGCAAGCCTGCTTCTATTCTTCCATTCTTTATCACTACAGTTTTCCCTCTATCCGACACCTTTCGCAACAGCGTTCTCTACTGGATAAACAAGGCTGCTGGATTATCACATCCTGTCCTCCAACCCGGCCCCACCCAATTGCACCATCACTTAATATTATAATTATTATAATTATGTCATATGTCCTTTATCCGATCGTCGCGAATGACGGCTCATTAATGACAGCTCATTAGAAAGGTGAGAGAACAAGCTTTCCAGTGGTATGTCGTTTGATATAGCTCGATGCGGAATCACTGAGTGTCGAAGAACGAAGCGCGGATATGCTTGAAATTTTTTTGGAATTTTTTGCGCAGTGCTTCGAAGTGCGCCAGCATGCCTCAAAAGAGGACTTTCCCTGTGACTCATCGTTGCACGGCGCATGCCAAGCACACATGTAGATACCAAATGAATCGCTTGAGCTTCATGAATCCGCAGGACTTCGAATCATCATTCTACGTTGATATATAGCTACAAGGACGACTAATTGCACCGTAAGCATTTCCTAAATGTCGACAGTTATGTGTAAAATGTTATACGATGATCGTCCTTGTAGTCGTCCTTGTAGCCGTCCTTGTAGTCGTCCTTGTAGCTATAATAAAACTGCTGTCTCCGAAACGCTTGTTTACTACGTTGATATATTTATACATTATGAGTACAACTTGAGAAACGATGAAAATTGTGGAGGTGGGTATAGAATCCCGCTCAGGCGCAATACGGCAACTCTCAACAGGTTTGAAGGCGATTCTGTTGCTCCTGCTGGGTGTCTAAATTTAGTGGCGATAGTCAGAGAGAGGAGATCTGTAGCTTTCCAATGAGACCAAGATGAAAACAATTACAACTTGAACTCGTGAGTGAAATTAGATAATTTTCAAATGCATGCTGAGACTATTGTTTGTGACAGCACGACCGGTGGCAGGGATCTGTGGATTTAGTACTAGGGCGCATTCTGTCGAGACAGCAGGGTATGAGCGAGTTGCACACTCTTGGGGGTTATGTACTCTTGAGTGTACATATAGTTAGTTCATGCACGTCATGCACTGCCCAGTCTGGACCGGCTATGCACCAGTATGGTAAGCGATGTACAGCTGCCGCATTATCAAATCCAGCTACGTAAAAGTTCATTTCAGAAGTTTGCAGCTGGAGCCGGAATTCAAGTGCCAGATTAAAGTATAGAAAATGAACTGAAAACCGTCTTGTCAGAGAGTGTGCTGGTTTGCAAGGGTTCCGGTTGAACAAGTACTGGATTAAAGAGGGACGATTGTGCCCTTATTTTAATCATTTTGATCCTAGTACATGTATTCGGTTCAAAGTGTACCCCCCCCCCCCTACACAGTATCCAGCAAGAGCGAATGTGTGGACTGGCCGCATCCACATGCGAGTTTAGTTGACACTGCCGCGAAAGTGCTGATAATATTAATAATAAATGTGTACATGGTGTTGCAGGGAGAGACAAAATACAGGGCAAGGAGCATAGGCTTACACTGGCACAGTATTGCAGGCCGTTAATAGAAGACATCTTCCATGATCATGGCCGGTGGCCAGCAGTTGCAATTATCCCTGTGTCATCATTCAGAATCCTCTGTAGCAGCAGGTATAATAACTGTTTGTAACCAGCACGGCTCACAGGTGGTGACCAACTAGCAGAGTAAACAATAATGGTAAACAGTGGAATTAAACATGGTCATGCCCTTGTTTATGTGATATGTGGTACATTTCATAACAATGCACCTACAGTCCATTGATAAAAAAAGATGGACTTGGAATCCTCTTCCAATTATGTTAAATAAGTCTATTTCTCCAAAAAGCAAGCTGTAACAAGAATAGGAAGCCCATGCGTACATGCGCCCACACCTATGCCCACAATGAGCGGGTGCACACCCACACCTTGCGTGCATGTACGCCCCCCCCCCCCCCCACACACACACCCTCACACCGACACGTACAAACATAGACATATACTCAAGCGCATAATTATACCAATTGATTGTGTTGGGGCTCCCATAATTTCTTTCTGAACGACTGAGGTTATCGAGGATGTGCTTTGAAGTTATTTCGACGCCACCATGTCAATGATTTTGAGGACTAAATCATTCTGACTATTGTTGGCCCATATCCTACAGCCCTTCGAGGGCTAACAGGTAGCCACTAAGGCCAGCAAACCTACCACTGACGGCCAAATAATCCTGAACATGGTGTGTCGATAACACACTGCCCAACGAGGGCATGCGAACGACCACGGAGGCCAACAAACTGCCCACCAAGGGCTAAATTATCCTGCCCACCCTTGCTGATAACATACTCATCAGTCGAACCATCGGTAGTAGACACCCTTAGCAAAAAACGTTATGTTGTAACGGTATTATCGTAAGGGGGGAAATACCGTGATTCGGGTTCGACCATTAGCAAGATGCATGCTATTTTTAGTACGCTGTTGCCACGAGAATAGCTTTGATTTCGCGCGGTACAACCATTTTTGTCACCATATACGTGATACAAGGTGAAATGCGTACGGACTATGCAATATTTGGCCAAAACACGTACCGTTGGTCACAACGATAAATCAGCCCCCATAACGTTTATACGCTGCAGCTTCAACACTATTTGGGTGATCAAGGTACGAGTACCGTAAAAAATAGCGTTACCGTTGTTTGCTAAGGGTGTCTAGTACTAACGTTATTGTTCTCGAAGGCATGCCCCTACAATGTGGGGAGAAGGCCAACAGCAGCTTCAAATTTTCAGCATGCGTATTCATTTTTCCTCAATGCAATACATGTACTTACAAATTCACGGATCACACACCAGTTTGTTTGGCAACCTGATCTCCTGAAGCTATGAACGAATGTTGAAAACCCAGACCGTTGAAGTCACCTGCCACAGCAGAACCCATTCAGTGATTTCCAGTGAAGAAGCAGCCAATATGCAATCCTGGCATCAATATTCGTCCCTTATCAAGAAATCCAAATAATCACATCCACCAGGTTTGGGCGTAAGTCCCACCACTAAGTGCCTGCACTGACCGGGCCAAATGTTAACCTGGGCGAGTAAAATATCAGAGAATAGGATACAGAAATACAGGAGACGGTGACGGTGGGATGTTTGGCTGTAAATTAAAGTTTCACGCACCGGGAGATAATCAGACAGAGAAAAGAATATATTGCAGTCTCAGTGGAGTACACACACATTGGCAAAGATTGTGTTCTGAGGTTTAATTCAATTCACTTTGTGAAATGGAATAACCTTTGCATGCAAATCTGAAACTGTTTGCTAATAATTAAAATCGAGTAATCGACTGTTAGGCCACAGTAAGGAGTAGTCGAGAGGTGCAAATCCACGATCACTTCAGCCCTAAATTTACCAAACAAACTAGAGTCTGCACAACCAGGGAAGCAGAGTGATGGATTCATGATGATAACGAGTTGGCATAATTATGCCATTCTCAACAGGAGAGTACCGCCCAGTACATGAATTTTAGCCTCACATACATTAGCAGTGGATCATTTTCAGAGGCGGCCTCCCTAACACTGATACACGTATAGTTACACAGTGAACACATGGTCAGCATTAAGAAGAAAGAGGGTGATACTTACATGTACAACTCACACGGTTCAGTAGCATTAAAAAAGGATCAAGCAATGTCTTTATTTCTCAGCTGCCTGAGATGTGGCAAACTCCGTTTAAGGATCGAGAATATTTCTGTCAATGAAGAATATTGAATTTTACGAATTTCACAGCCTGCAGATGTTTACCTCTCAGGTAGCACAGATGATCTGTCATGCTGTGACGCAAGTGTTGCCGGATGGATGGGTTATGTGGACCGGCGGGCCTCGAGCACAAGCAGGTCGAAGGGCTAGAACCCGGGCTTCCTTGTAATGACCAACTGGCCTTATACGTGGTGCCAAGGTATTACCGAAGGTTTCCTTTCTGTCCTCAAAGTCTTCAAGAGATTGTCCCTGGTAGTAATCGAGCTGTTAGCACACCTAGAAACACACACGCACACGCACACGCACACGCACACACACACACACACACACACACACACACACACACACACACAATGCTCAATACAATACCGTGAGCAGGGCCGGATAAGACAAATAATTATAAGTGTGGTGGGGTGAAGGTTCTATGAACAGGGCTTGGTTGGGCTTTTGAGGGATCTGCAGGATCAAATCAATCGATCTGGATCCAGGTTCACCAAATAAACATACTATTCCAGAGGTTATTTGAAATTTGAAGCTCCACGGTATCCTTGGCATTGTTGCAGAGTATTCATGGCAGGCACAATCTTATCCAGTCCAGTACAGGGCTTGATGATGCGGCCCTCCATGGGTGAAAATTCGGAATATTATAATCTATTTGAACTGGTGTAGCCAGGGACTCGGCATGGGGAGGGTTGTGCCATGACTGATGATACCCTGATTCATTCTAGCTGCAGCCATTCTATGTTGACGTGATGAGGATATAATGTGACTACTCAGGGGCGTCACCGGTGATGGGCACGGGGGGCACGTGCACCCCCCCCTAAAAAATTCGATCTTGGTTTTTTGCGAACTCCTGGTTATGAAAAGTGTAGTGCTGGTAGAATCTACTAATAAACTGCATGCACTAAAACTAGTTGTACTGCGCTGCCGCGATCGCGTGACGCGGCGTGAGTGCATGTAGCGAGTGCATGTACATGACCAGTAAGGCAGTACGACTCGTAGACTAGTTACACTAGTTACATGACATGTACACTGAAATGGCACCAAATGCCTGAAAATGCTTGCAATTGCCTTCAATTTTTGAAATTTTTTCCCGGGGGAGGATAATGAAGAATTCTTGTCCCCGATCGTAGCGTCTTCTTGGCTTGTTGCAGAATCAAAAAGTCTTTCATTGTAGTTACACTGAAATGGCACCAAGTGCCGCATTGCAATTAGCTTCAATTTTTGAAATTTTTCCCGGAAGGCCCCCGTACCCCATGGCCGCCCCACCTCCAAAGTCGACAGGCGACAGGCCTGCTATGAGTATGAACGAACTTTTTCGTGTTTTCCCGAGTGTGCAAAATTCCTGTGTGAAGGGGTCCGGTGACGCCCCTGCTACTTGTAGGTTTGATTCGGGGTGGCACAAGTTAGTTGTGGCGCCTTGGTTCGGCCACTTACCAGATAGTTCCCCAGCTGACCGAAATCCACCCGCAGTTTGTAGCAGTTTGTAGCTACGGTCCTGTCCGATGTGCTGGTACTGAGCAACCCTGAAATTTCGCTCAGGATGCGACGTTGAAACTGACGGACGCAGTCGGTAGCAGCTCCGCTGCGCGGTCATCACAGTTCACGGTAACTCGTTCGGAGCGAGACCTTATCTTGTTCCGGGTTTGCACGTGTAGATCTACCTTGACGGTGAAGTCTGCAAATGGGAAGGAAGCAAACGAAAACTGTTGAGTGTTAGGATATAGGAGACAAAAATAATGCAATGCTATTTCCGCCTCGAGCTTCGCACTCCCGGCACAAAACGAACTAACTTACCACACAAAGACGAAAGCAAGAATGCAGGTTTCTGGAGGATCATTCGAGTTTTATCGCTGGTAGTACTAGTAGCATCGCGAGACGAGATGCGCTATCGCTAGTCGACGTCCGGGAATATTATGACTTCAGTAGATGGCTGGTTTCCTGGACCATCTGTTTGTTGGTGCAATGATTATGTCCTGAACTCAGTAGCCAGTGGCTTGGCTGAAATCAGTCAGTAGGCTAGTGCAAGAACATTTTCACGAACACGGTAGACGTCCCTCATGTGATCATCACATGCACACGTCTGTTCTGTGGTTTTCCAGAAAAGGATTCCCCTGTCAGAATAGACCCTTTGCACAATAACGGTCACGTGATCCGAGACGGGGCATCCTCTTCGATTTTTGTGCAGAGTATCCGTTGTTGAGCATGGTGAAACACTGTATTTTTCCATTTTGGAGATGGAGGAGAGAGTGTCGAGTGGTTTGCCATCGATGGCTGTGGCACCCGTGGACGAACTGTCAAATGAAGAATGGCCTGTGAAGGAACTGAACAGTTTTCTGCTGAATGAGGGTGCGTATCTGTCTGGAAAAATAAGAAGTTGTTGGAGCGGTAAGTTTTCCGCAGTCAGTGGATATTTCGGATTACTGTAGATTGAAATTTATTTTTATTTTCTCTACCTTCTCTCCTCTGTCGATGTAGAGAACACTTCTCTATGCAGAACCCTGATGCTCCTAGAACTAAGAAGGGCACCACTTCCTCGAGTGTACAGTCGTCGTGCCCAACATTTCATGCGTCCCAGTGGATGACTCGATGAGTGATGAACCTCTGTTTCCCAGAGTGAGTGCCACACCAGGCTTGTTCATCTCCAACGCAGGGGCAAGTCGCCGACGACAGTGAAGAGGGAGCTGATGGAGTAGTACTAGTGAAGAAGCCCGTGGATAGTGTCCATGAGTTTTACTTTGGTGGCTATGTGCATAACGTGAAAGTCTGTCATATCGTGCACACAGCCACAGCTCGAACTCAGATGGCCTTCTCCGCACGCCTGAGCGATGAGGCTGCGTCTCTCTGCACTTCAACATCAGCAGCTCGAGCAGCGCCAGCAAGCAGTCGATCTTCCTTGAATAGCGAAGACAGGGATGGGTCATGCCTTTCTCTCAAGCTCCAGAGTCTCTTGGCAGGACGTTCCGCGTCTTCGCAAAACGATGAAAGTGACTGTCGTCATCGACAAAGTGTTCCGAGCAAAACCGTGACTGTGAACGATGTCGCAGCGAACTGCTGCCCTTCTCGCCAGATAGCCAGGATTCAAGAGAGTGGAATGCCAGCATCACTAGGGAACGCCTGGAAAAACAAGTGGGTTTCTTAGACAAGGGATGACGGTTGCTGCAAACAAGAACCCAACAGCAGTCCTTGGAAAGCATTTCGGAACTTCTTCCTTCAGAACTAAAAAAACTTCAAATGAAAAAAGGCTGGGGAGTACATACATGAACATCGCGTCGGGACCGTGAAAACCTAGCCTGTCACAGGAAATAAAACTTGATCACGTCCTGCAGCAAACCATGCATGCTGGTTGCATGCCAAGTGTGCAGCGCGCGCACAGCATGCCCCGTCTCGACCCCTCTCGCTTATTGCGCAAAGGATGTTCGCCTGCGCCTTCATCTTGCAGTGACTTTTACGTACGTTGCAGTAGAAACTAACTTACTTGGATCATAAGCAAGAACTAGTAACTGAGAAGTGCCTCTGACACTCACAGTGACAGCTTGGCTAGGCTGGATTGTTGTCTGGCCTGTGCAACAAGAACAAAGTCTACTGCTAGATCTGCAACTACAGTGTAGTCTTTACAAGTACATGTACGTAGTCAGTAGACCATGATAGGCAGAGACTTGTGTTGTTGATTGACAGCATGTTTACTGTTATCTAGCATAGGCGACGAGCCAAACCACAAAAATTCCCTTGGCCTTAGCACGAGACTCGTGATGTTCATTCTGGTCAGGCCATGTCGTACCTGGCGCCTGAACGACTAATGTGTGTAGTCACTGGGACAGCTGCATGTCGTCCGAGCACCGGCATCAGGCCGATGTGGAGGAGGACTCAGGAGTGAGAGTTGCATGCCTCCTTTCGGTCGCAGTCTCCCTATTCCTTGTCAGATTGTCAGAGCGGCAGTACTCAAGAATACAATGTAAGTTCGAACCTGGCTGATTGAAGTCAGGAAGTCCGTGAAGGCTTTCACGATTCCTGATAGAAATACCCGCATCAATAACTCACGAGAGAGCTTGAAAGCTCAGGGCCCTCGCTATGCATTTTGCCTAGGTCATCATGCATGTTATTAATTGAAATGATGGAAACGTTTTTGGAATACAAAAAAATACAATGATGAAAATAAAAATTGACCGCCCTCCACATTTTTCTGAAAAACAGGACGATCATTAATTAAGTATAGTAAATGTATTCCCTGGCTTGGCCTAACATGGGGGCTATCGCCCTGCAAGCATTCCCCGATACACTTCCCATACATACACATTCTTCCAAATCCAAGTTACTTCACGTTATGATCTTGCAGGTGAAAGCCCTATTTGAATAAGGTGGCCAGCTGTCTTTGATGGTACGGTACGGGTTACTGAAGAAACGTCTGTTGCATACCTACGGGAATAACATTAACAGTACCATCTGGCCTATGCGCCAGACGCTAACTGATGTAGATCTACCAGCCAGCTACCGTACTCGCGCGATTAGTGCCCCTGGGGCCCCTGAGGCACTATTTTTTCAATGTCCATCACAGATGGGGCAGTATTCAAGAGAGGGCACTATTTTTTCATTGCTGGTACATTTGCGTCATCCAGCATAAAACAAAGAAAAACAGAGCCTAAAGTATACTGTAAACGCTCGCAACTCCACAGAAACGGGAACAAGACCTGCGATTTTGTTCCTGAAAACATCAGTGCAAAGCAATGGCAAAGAACATTAGCAAAAGAACACCAAACTTGCACATGGGCTTGGTTACAAGACCGGGGGGGGGGGGGGGGGGCACTATTCAAGAGAGGGCTTTATTTTTCACTGGCTCTTGGAGACTAGGGCATTCGAGATTGGGCACTATTCAAGAGAGGGCTCTAATCGCGCGAGTATGGTGTGTGGATATCGCCAGCCATGCATCGACTAAACACCATGCAAAACGAGATGATGGTGGTGAAAAGGAGCGCTCTTTGCTCAGTGGGCTTTATGTGCCATATATATTTATAGTGGGCAGTCGTGTACAGTCTTTCGGAGAATTTTTGATATGCACCTCGCGAGCATAACTGTTACCACATTCCTGCACCCATAAACCGCTTACAATGCATGTTCCGTTCGATAAGGTGGGTGTCATGGGTGGTCTTTCATGCCAGTTGGCTGAAAGTCATTTCAGGGTGAGAATTGTTCTCAAGAAAAAGATCGCAAATCAGTGTAAATCTTGATGGAATGCTTGAGGATGGACTGAAAAATTTGTGCTTGACCACTTTCCTGTCACTTTGCAGTGGCTTTCGTTGGTGCAGTTTTTCTGTCTCATATAGAAGCCTGTTTTGAATACATGCCTTATTTTTCAGATGCACTGTTGGCACCGGCACAAGCCTGATTTAGTGTTGATCTACATAGAAATACCTGGTTTGAATAGAAGCCTAGCCTTGGCATCGGCTTCTACATGAATAAGCCCGGCTTTTATACGCGACATTACGGTAGTCATGATTGTCAGGCAACTGATAATAATACTATTATTAGTAGTAGTAAGAGGCGATCGATTCGGCAAATCACTCTGAGCGCCGCTGAGGATACCTGATAAGGTCGAAACAGCATGCTGTCCGGAGAAGTGGTACTGTAAAAGCAGAAATTTTCGGTGACTTCGGTGCGGACATTTTACTGAAAATAAAACGCACCGAAAATTTCCGTATAGAGTACTACATGTAGTAAGTACACTTACCTGGAAAACGGGTTTAGCGAAAATTTCCCTTCCATCGGACCGCCAATTTGGGAGAATACCGAAAATATTACACCACCGAAAATGTCTCCTTTAATTAAGAGTAATAACTCAGATGGTGAGCCAAGGAAAAAATTGTAACATGGAAAAATGTGGGCACAAGTTATGCGATCGAGTCCACCAAGTAAACGAGATGTTGACAGTAATAAAAGGCTTGTCCCATGATACGAAACGATTCGTGCGATTTCAGCCAATCACCAGCCGTTCTGAGTGGGAAATATAGAGCGATATTCCCCGCTAGGGTAAAACATATTCCACGCTGGGGTCACGAATATTCACCGGGATCTGCCAGAGAGTAAATAAGGGAGAGCTTTAGTCATGGTCACGCTCTATTTGGGACAGTACATGGGATACATGGATTATACCATTCGTACTCTGTGTATATCGCGTCCCTTATATTTCCAATCGTGCTAACGCACTCGTGAAAATATGCGGCGGTATACCCCTCGTAATTCTAACGTTGTAGCGTTGTTCTCTTGTAATTTAGTGGAACCTGTATTGAGTAACTGAGTTTTATGTTTCGTTACATTTTCGTCAGATCTCCTGTGTACCGGTTTTGTGGCACAATGATTATAGCCATTATATTTGGTCGTCTCCATTCTTGTGCAATCATGCATTATGTAGGTTGGTTCTCTTCATGTTATTGTGACCAATTTCATAGATGTTGGTTGCCTTGTTGCTTTCTCTCCCCTCTCCTCTCACCCAAGCCATTCTGCATAAGCGAAGCTGTGGACGCAGCATACTGCTGCTACACTTCAACGCGGGAATGCGTATAATAATAATAATAATACCCCTCGTACTCATGGTATAATCCATACTTATGCCCTCGTAAAAATATTATAGTAAAAGTAAAATTCGCACATCCGCGTTGCCACCGGTGCACCGGCGTATTGAGAAACACAACCAGCTTGTGCCAGGCCACCACCATATCAGTTGTAGTACAGTAGACTCGCACGCGTATACGCCCAAGAACGTGGCGCCCAAGAACGTGGCGCCCAAGAACGTGGCGCCCAAGAACGTGGCGCCCAAGAACGTGGCGCCCAAGAACGTCCAGGCTGGAAATCTAAGAACGCCCCAGCCTGGATTTAAGAACGAACTCCAAGAGGAGCCAATAACTAATAGTACTAGCTAATAACTACAATGCAATCTTCCGAAAAGGAGAAAGAGAAAGAGACGTGATATTTGAGCGCCGGTTTGTTTTGCAAGCGAATTGCACCTTCATGATCTTGTCCGAGTACACGAAAAACAAGTCCGCAACCACAAACTCTTGTCGGGTCCTCGCGAAAACATCACCCAGTCCAGCGCTACATACTACACGTGCATGTAAAGTGTACAACCGGTACATGTAGCGCAAAGTGCATTGTACGTACATCAACTACATGTACATGAGCGTCACGCACGGGTCATGTTCTGTCCCCGGGGAAAATCGCGGAAAAAATCGCAAAAAACGCGGGGAAAAACGCGGCATAATATGGCATAATTTACGGTGAATTTGCGGAAAAATATGCGGTAAATATGCGGTGAATAATATTGATATGCGGCAATTTTCAGTGAGTATGTAGTGAAATCAATCAGTTACAAGTCTCTGGTGTAAGCACTCGTCATATTTGAGTACAAAGCCGCCACGATGAGACGTTGCTGACCGAACAGTGCACTGTGTGTACGTGTAGTACAACAAAAAAGTTCAAAAAACGCGGGGAAAATCGCGGAAAACGCGGTCTTTTAAAAAATCGCAAAAAAACGCGGAAAAAACGCGGCCGCGGAATCGCGATTTTCCCCGGGGACAGCATGTTGGACGCGTAAGAACGCGAAATAGGAACGTAGCCTGGGGCGCTGAAAAATAAGAACTTTGCTAGGCTGGCCCTCTGAAACCGCGTTCTTGGGCGTACGAGTCTACTGTACCGTACATGTAATGACCGTTGAGCAAGCCTGCCCGTCATAAAGATAGGCTGCGTGCAGTCTTTGTTTTCATGTAAATTGTTGTTACCACCCTTTCTGCATCGCAAGTACAACGAGAGCACATAACACCCAAAATCCCTTAAGAGTGTACCCTTGGTTGAGAACGGGTTTATTCACAACGCTATTATAGCGTGAAACTATGAGGTAAGAACCAAAGCAAAAATGATACAACCCAAATTCGGAAATAAATAGAAAACTCAATTGAAATGTAAGATTGAACACAAAAGGCTTGAAAAGAGACCGTTACCTAAATGGCGAAGTCACGCCTCTTCCCGCGATCCCGTGTCAGCACAGCCGGCGGCAATATGCAGCAAAAGGGGCTCCAGTAGGAGTAAGCGGATTATGCCGGCATAATTGTTGGCATAATCAGGCCCTTTTTGAGAAGGAGCGTAAAAATGGCAACCGAAAAACAAGGGCAGATGCCCAATGAGGCTGTTATACACACCTGGTATTGAAGGCATAATTTAAGGCATAATTTGCCCAATGAGGCTGTTATATACACACCTGCTATTGAAGGACCATACGTAGCGCTTGCTGTCGGTTTGGAATTATATTTTAGCAGCCACTATAGGACATCTCCCAAAAGTTCAGCGTTTGCTTGTGAATTTGGTATTCCTCTTGCATATTATTGCCTGGTGAGTTCCGCAAAGCTCCCAGTCCACATCATGACAATGGTCTGAGTCATTTTTTCATGCCGATTATCTCGGTGTTCTTGTGGTCTTATGGGTGAAGCATATAAAAGCATAATTGGCTGTCCGCTAGAGCATAATCTGGTCATTTTCCGAGCATAATCCGAACCCCTAGGCTCCAGACCTTGCGGAGAATGTATGAGATGACTGCCCACCGCAGCAGGCGAAACGAAATCTGGGTGCGTAACTCACCCATCACGGCAGAATACACCAAAAGCTAACTCTCGCAGTCTATTGACTCAAAATCGCAAATGCTAGTGCTGTGATGATGATCATGAAGCGAGATAAGACACTCAGGCTTATGTGTTGTTTTCACAGGAAATCACAAATCTCAAAAACGGATACAGCATAGCTGTGGTTAGTCTGGAGTATCTCCGCTGACCAGAGGTCCTAGCTTCAGTGACACTCCGCTGCACCATGTTGCGGGTGAGGGAGACGAAGGGGAGGAAAGATATACAAAGTACTTTAAAAAGTAGTGCCTTGGGCAGAGTAGCTTAAAATCCTTGTTGTCTGAGGGTTGGCCCCATGCCTTGGGCAGAGTAGCTTAAAATCCTTGTTGTCTGAGGGTTGGCCCCATGCCTTGGGCAGAGTAGCTTAAAATCCTTGTTGTCTGAGGGTTGGCCCCATGCCTTGGGCAGAGTAGCTTAAAAATCCTTGTTGTCTGAGGGTTGGCCCCATGCCTTGGGCAGAGCAGCTTAAAATCCTTGTTGTCTGAGGGTTGGCCCCATGCCTTGGGCAGAGTAGCTTAAAATCCTTGTTGTCTGAGGGTTGGCCCCATGCCTTGGGCAGAGTAGCTTAAAAATCCTTGTTGTCTGAGGGTTGGCCCCATGCCTTGGGCAGAGTAGCTTAAAAATCCTTGTTGTCTGAGGGTTGGCCCCATGCCATGAACGTGACTCAGAGTTGCAACACTGCATCTGTAGTTTCCTGCTATTGTGAACCAAGCCAAGGGCAACTTTGGTTTGCGGTAATAACAACAACAGATACCCAACAATAGAGCATGCAGACAAACAAAGAAGCACAAGTAGTTATGGCTCTCTCTCTTTTTCCACATACATGTACCTGTTACAGTGTGGAAAGATGTGAAACAAACCTTGCTGCAGCACATCGCTTGGGCGGTGGCTGACATAATATAAGTACTAGTAAGTTATACAAGCTAAGTATTAGTTAGTAAAGTTGCTACAGGATTAACTTTCAAAACTACTTCGAAGTAATAAAAAAAAAGTGCTCGACACTGCGAGGGCATGGCCACAACTTACACAAGTCAGCAATGGAACAAGGTTATTAAGTTTTATTTCTTGTTACTCTGAGTTTTATGGTTATTCACTTATCTTCAGACAACAATGATGATGCTAGTGGTACGTGTCTAGGGCTAGCGACGGCTACAGGAGAGGAGTGATAAAAAAAACAAGTGTAGCGATTTAGGACGGCAGATTGGAGCAAAATGAATGTGCCATGCCTGGGTGTTAGGAAAGACGATGAGTCTGGTTGTCGGGGTGTCAAATTAACTCATGGCAGTTGCCACGTAAACTGCCACGCCTATTTTTTTTATCGCTCTTCTCCTTTATCCTACAGTAAGATTGGGCGCCGAAGAACACTTAGGCTGGAAAATGGCACAGGCTAGGGAACAACAAGGCTCCATTATCAGATTTAAGAATGCCTTTACTGTTTTCTGCATGCTTTCCATGCGGGGTGATTGCATCGTATGATGCTCTTTATTATCGTGCAGGAAGAACAAAACGACTAACATTTAAACATTTTAGATTAATGCTAGGCTGCGCCTTGAGGCCCTGCGTTCTTCGGCGCCCGATCTATCCCTAGACACGTACCACTAGCATCATCATTGTGGGCGAATCGTTTTTATTCCAATCCAAATAATCAGCATCATCATTGTTGTCTGAAGATTAGTGAATAACTATGAAACTCAGGGTATAAACAAGAAATAAATAACCTTGTTCCATTGCTGATCTGTGTCGGAAACGCTTTAAAAGTTGTACAGGGTGGAGTCGTATACAACGACATGCACAACATAATTTTTCTGTTTTGGTGCCTCGAGTAGTTTGATCCAGGGAGACCATCATTTCCGTAACAATCAGCATTCTTTGTCTCAGCGTGTGAATTAGCTCCAGGGTGTCTACTCCTCCCACGGATACTTCCTTGAGCCTTGAACCCCGGCTCCAGGTAGTGAGAGTGTTGGATTGCACCCTGCAGATCATGGTGTTCTAGCTAAGTGTCAGGCCACATTGAGTGTGATATTACATGTACATGTATGTCTCAATACCCCTTTCAGTGTGTGCGGCTGTTGCACTTTCCGCAGGGCGATACTTCCATTTTTCGGCAAAAACACTGATTGACACAACTTGCATGCAACGTTGCAAACTGTACGTATGTTTTGAGTTTAGGGCAGCATTTTGTAAGGAAATTCTACTGTACTGGAATATTTCCATTTCAGATAATTCTCTGAGGTCTTTCGAGATCATTGTACAAGGTGCGGTATTATCATGTATTGCACAATTTTGCTCATGGATTAAAAGGAGCTTGTGAGTAAATGTGAGAAAACGTCTAGCAGAGCCTATCACTTTCAAGGAAAATACAGAGCAATGCATTATACACAGCTAGTGAATGTTGCTGAAGTCTAGTGAAGCATTACAGAACTCACAGTCATGCAAGTATGCTTTATGGGGTACAGGGCGTGCGATTTTACATCATGATTACTTCCTCAATCAAGTATTGCTCTACTGCAACTAATCTGCCTCTCAAAAAAAGAAATGCCCAGTTATTTCAGATGGTAATCATAGTCGGCAAGCGAAATGAACCGAGCAGTAGTTGTAATTTATCCACTATTGTAGGCAATGAAAACATACGAGCAATTGCTGCAAATAGAAGGACTGCACTTCTCTACATTACTTCACACCAGATTGGTTTGTCCTGGTTCTGCATCACTTCCTCCAGTACCTTGCGAACCAATGACTGGACGGTATCACCGCTCACCACCGCATCTGAAATTCAAACAAAATTTGAAGCAGAAGTAAGGTACTAAAACTAAAGGTGATGTTCTCCGGTTTGCAGAAGAAGTGAAGGGAATAGCTGTCATTTCACATTTCTCACATTGAGTAGAGTTTGAAGTTTCTAAAACGAGATCACCCAGCATAAAGACATCGATTTCAAGTGGTTACAATAATACATATGAACTGCTCTTACTCTCTCCTACTCCACCACTCACAGTGTCTTCACTGCATGGCTCAGATCTACAATCTAAACAAAGCGTTCGGGCATGGTCACCAGGGTACTACTTACAACACCAGTGTATAGAGGCTATGCGATGGCATCATCGGTTGAGATGCTCTGGCAAAGTCGCAGCACAGTGATGCACTGGCAACACACTAGCAACTCAATAGGGACTCGCGCTGTACTAGTATACTAAGCGCCCATAAGAGATTCCGCTGACTCACCAGCATTGATGGCAGTACACAGTGTGATATGTGGCCATAAAACATGTATCCATTTGTTATTGGCCCGATTCACAGTGCCGCCACTAGGCTTAGGGGAGGTAGGACTCTTCGGGTGTAGCTGTAAACGTAACAGAAACTCAGTGTATAGAAGTCATGTTCTTACCGACATCCACATCATTCTCTGTTTCACTGTCACACTCCGGGAGATTGAGAGGTAGTGCTTGAGCCCTGTGAACACAAGCAATCAGTGGTGAATACGACAGCGTCTTAGTACATGGGAAATAGTGTACATCAGCTAGATGAGGAGCTATGACAGCAGGCTCTGGTAACCAATGGCAACCAATAGACACCCTTAGCAAACAACGGTAACGCTATTTTTTACGGTACTCGTACCTTGATCACCCAAATAGCGTTGAAGCTGCAGTGTAAAAACGTTATGGGGGCTGATTTATCGTTGTGACAAACGGTATGTTTTTTGGCCTAATATTGCATAGTCCGTACGCATTTCACCTTGTATCGCGTATATGGTGACATAAATGGTTGTACCGCGCGAAATAAAAGCTATTCTCGTGGCAACAGCGTACTAAAAATAGCGTGCATCTTGCTAAAGGTCGAACCCAAATCACGGTATTTTCCCCCTTACGGTAATACCGTTACAACATAACGTGTTTTGCTAAGGGTGTCTAATGTCTATATCAAACAGAATGAAAAGACCTCCAACCACAACAACAACAACAACAACAACAACAACAACAACAACAACAGCAGCAGCAGCAGCAGCAGCAGCAGCAACAAATAAAGTGGACAATGACTCACCCTGCGGTAGCTTGTGAAGCTGAGAATACCTTTGTTTGCACTACAATCGGCTGGAGATCAGCCAGGCAGAGCTGAGTGACAGAGCTTGGTTTGATTGATAGCAAGCAGTGTTGGTTCTGAGAAACAACAAAAGATACAATGCAAATTAGACTGATATCGCTAGGCATAGACCTCAGTAGACACAGCACGTGCAGGAGAGAGAGCATGTGAGTACTTGAATTGACCAGAGAGTGCTGGGAAACTGAATTTGGTACATAAACTTGTAGTGATCATGCACAGTCAATGCAGAGGTAGGAACAACCCATGCACAGAATGCTATACCCATCAGATGACAGAAATGTGCATGACACGGTATCCAAACTACACAGATGCTGAATGCCGTGGTAGATTGCTAGACAAGAAAAGGTGGATTATCATGGGCCAACATTCCTATTTTTATGTATCGCATACGCATGCAGAATGTAAAAATAAAAAGCCATGGTGAATACGTCAGTGAGTACAGTTGCAATGGGTAATGCCTGAATGGCTATTTTAGGCGAGACTTGCTCCAATACCCATTTCAGCAGGGATGTCACATTACACATGTAGTACTGCTCCAGAAAACTTGGTCCCATAGGATGCCGTTGCAAAGTTGATAACATGCAAACGACGACAACTACGACGACGACACTACCACAGCCACCGCCGCCCGTGACCAACAACAACAACAACAGCAGCAGCAGCAACAGCAGCAGCAGCAACAGCAGCAGCAGAGAAGTGAGAGATAACATTTCCTGACCTGTTTTGCTACTTCCCGCACACCCTCCACGCTGGTAGATGAAAAGTGACCATTGTCTTCTTGATACTCAATCAAAACATTCATGACAAGCTCACGGTCCATCTCCTTGCGAGTAGAGAATGAGGACACTGAAGGGTCAAGCAGAGAGAGAAGGAGAAACAGCAAGACCAATCACCATTCAGCAAGAACTAGCAACCAATCATGACGAAGAGAATACTATAATTATACTGTACAGTACAATATTGTACAGCTCATACAGTACATGGAACTGATCTAAGTACAGTAAAGATAACTGAGCTACCTATAAGTACAGAACTTGATGCAAGCGAAGAGAGGATGCACCGGTAAGTACAGTACATGATGGAATGGAGAAGAAGATAATTGCCACCACCTATCACGAAACAGCACTACTACATTGAAGTACCAACTTACTTGCTACACATCTGCCAAAACGATCCGGATAGTTCTCATGCAGATACACTGCAATGTCTTTACAATAGGTGCCACACAAAAGCACTGGCCGTGGCAAGGTGGCTGAAACAACGCACACACGGAACATGTCGGTACACATAGCTGAGCTGTAAGGCACTTGTGTCATACTATACTATGTGGATATTTTGTGATGCAAGATGGTTTTCTACACAAGTAACACACTTCAAGTAAGTTACCCAATATAATGCAGGTGGAGCTCTTTAATATTTGCGTCACAAATCTTTGCTTTCAGTATTTCAGACCCTTTGACAGGTCAATTCCTGTGCTAGATAGACCTTGTGCACAAAAACATACAATGTTTGCAAACTGCAAAGGATTTATACCAAAGAGGAGACTACGGTCTACATGAGCCCTGGCAATGAATCAAATCACTGCACTGACTGGTTGGTGTTTGAGCAGTGGACATCACCGATCCTCTACAGTTAACCTGAAAATCCATTAGTTATATTTTCACCCAGGGAGTTCTGTTTTGAAACTAACCTGGCTTTCGCTCCACTGGAATGTACGGTGCCAAACGGACATCTTCACTAGAGCCATGACTGCTACCATTGTCCAGTATTTTTCTCAGGTACACTTTCTGAAGTCCACAAGCTCTGCACACAGGAGATAGGACGGACATGTGACAAATACACAGGCTCTGTACACAGGAGAAAGGATATACCGTATTTTCCGGAGTACTAGTATAAGCTGGACTCGAGTAAAGGCCGCACCCCCCCCCCCCCCTCCCCATTTCTTGCCACAAAATACAGACATCTACCCTATGTATCATCGTTAATTTAATCATGGGAGTATTAGCCGCGCGCCGATTCTTTCGGGTGAATTTTGAGTGTTCAAAGTGCGGCTTACACTCTGCACAGTGCGGCTTACACTCTGCACAGTGCGGCTTACACTCTGCACAGTGCGGCTTACACTCTGCACAGTGCGGCTTACACTCTGCACAGTGCGGCTTACACTCTGCACAGTGCGGCTTACACTCTGCACAGTGCGGCTTACACTCTGCACAGTGCGGCTTACACTCTGCACACTGCGGCTTACACTCTGCACAGTGCGGCTTACACTCTGCACAGTGCGGCTTACACTCTGCACAGTGCGGCTTACACTCTGGAAAATACGGTACAAGTAACAAATACACAAGTCAGTCTTCACATGCAGGATAACCTTGCATGCAGGATAACCTTACATGCCAGAAATACAAGTAATTCGAACAAGAGTGTTCAAGACTGGATGATACATTGATAAAGTGTAAGGCGTACAGTCCCGTATACTCCATGTACATGTACAGTACAAGAGAAAGTGTCACCCCTCCCAGTCTCAATTCCTCCTCAAATTGACCGAGTACAAACACAGCAGCTAGTAGTACTGTAGTGGGAGCATCGACTCACCTTTGCATGTTAGGTACCACACCAAACTGTGTTTCAGAGCCATCACTGTTCACTTTCCAAGCCAAATAGCTGTAGTCACTTGTAGCGGAGTTGACAACATGGAGGATATCGCCACGGCGTATACTTAGCTCAGCATCCGACTCACGTGCATAGTCAAACTGGCATCTATACATTGGCAAAGTGAGTACACAGCACACAGCACACAGCACACAGCACACAGCACACAGCACACAGCACACAGTGCACAGCACACAGCACACAGCACACAGTACAGTGCTCATGAGGTGTATCTAATCTCAGCACTTGACGTACACAGAGACATGATTCACTGATGAATTGTAGGATAGCATTTACGTGTTTCAATTTATGTGCGCATTTACGCGGGAAGCTTTAGGAGATTCATCTGCACCTTGATCCTGGAGAGTGGTGGCGTTCGTACGGATGCAGAAAACTCAGTCTGACTGAGTCTAACGCGAGACGTGGACATTATCGTGGGACATACCCAGCCAGCTCCAACGTTCCACTCTTCACGCTTGGCTATCTTGAACAACTTGCGAACAGCACCACTACTACCTCGCTACGGCCGCTGAACATTGGGTTCCTGTGACTACTAACCTGAACCTAATGCAATGCTATGATTTAGAACTAAACTGAACCTAACATTATGTGATTACCAACCTGAACCTAACGCTGTGGACATACCCTCTGCTCTGACTATTACTCGCACAATCAACAACACAGTATCAGAAATACCCAAGAATGCTGCTGAAAAATCTGTGTTTCAAAGAAGCTGGACTTACCGTAAATAGAAGGAGTCAAACGCAGGCTCACGCATGAACTGAAACTCTACAAGAAGAGAACACACAATGCATGTGACCAGGTGACCAGGTGACCATGTGACCATGTGACCAGGTGACCATGTGACCAGGTGACCAGGTGACCAGGACTATTACTCCACCGGTAGACAAGCAACACAAGAAGAGGGATGAGCGCTGCAGTAGCCTTATCCCCAACCACAGACTTCAAAATACTTACATGATGAGCTAGAGCTCTGCAAAAGTGAATAGGAAACATACAATGTTATCAGCAAAGCCAAGGCAAGGGCATTCGAGATGCGTCACTCACACTGTATCACTAATTCTTAGAGCAACCACATGGCTAGACAGGGGAACAGGGAGACAGATTGACAACAAGGTGAGATATGCAGGGGAATACAATGGTGGGAGAACCAAAACAAAACCCAAAGCCAGTAAACTGCAGTGAGATCACATATATTCAAGGTGACTTCTTGCAAACCTACTTGCTGGATTGAATTGAACTGTGATCTTCACATCACCCTCTAGCTTCTTCAGAGCACTGACAGCCTTCTCCAAACTGCAGTGGCGTAGATCATGTTCTCCCGCCTGGAATACAAAAAAAAGAAAGAAGCAAATACACACTTCATTGGCACTTCTCAGGATAGCTGCAACACAGTTCAGTATATCTACATGTACAGTACAAGAACATGTTGGATCAGTGATTCCGTACATTAGGTCATGCGGGTGGTGATTCACTCGAATAAACTGGTGGGCTCCTCTAGCAGATCCTCGCAGGTTGTCACCAGGAAGTGTAGAACTTGGTAGGACCTGCTGATGACATAACCGCCTGGCTCAAAGCAACGTTGTTTAGGTGAATTTTCAAGTTACATGTAGTTCTGTAACACTGCACAGGCTAGCGGAGCTAATGTTGCACTGATACAGAGTTCCTTCAGAACACAGCCGGGCTGTACATGCACCACCCTGGTGCTTGCATGGAGTGTGATACAGTGTTCCGACCATATCTTACTAGCTACTCAAGCTACACACGAGAGACCACCATTCCAGCCTGCCTGGCACCAGTGTAGATGATGTGCCTCGCTTGAACAAATTTCTCTCCGCATGATGCCAGTATTAATGATGCTACTCATTTGATTATGTTGTCACCAATATTGAACACTGCCTTGTCTCATGCAATTCCGCAGCAAGGTTACACATGAACCACTCACCGATAGCAGTTGATCTCCTCTTTGCAGGAGGCTATGTGCGGGACCATCTTCTCGCACACCCGTCACAAACAGTCCACTGCAATTACCGCCTTGAATCTTGAATCCAACACCGAACCCAGGCTGCATTCGAATAGTGACCCGTCTAGGGACACAGGCATCCCTGTAAGCAAACATCAGCGGAGAAACGATGTAGAGGATGCTCACTGTCTTCATCACAGCAGTTTCTGGGACACACTAACTGTACAAGCAGCAGCATCACCGTAGCACCTGTCCTAGAAGGAAATGTCATATTCCAGTTGTTTATAGTGCTGCATGTACTCCAGGAAATACAGTCATAATGACTGATGGCTAGAGGCTAGAGGCTAGAGGCACTGGCGATAGTGTAGACTCAGTGCTACACTACTCTCGTTAACAACAACAACAAAGCGCACGTATTTCATGTTACAACTGTGGAGCACTGCACACTATGAACACAGCAAGTGAATAATTGATCCAATAACCAGCAAGCACTTGGCAATGGAGTAACACTAGTGAGATGTGTTGCAGCACAGCTCCGATGGTATACATAGTCTACATTGAAACTTACATCTGTGAGACCTGAGAGACACAATCCTCAGGCAGAACTCCTGTCAAGTTACTGACTGAGGAATATGTACAACTGCTTTGACTGCTCAGACTATCACGTCGTGAGCACCTTCCTGGTTCAAGGCCCTCTCTCTGCAACAAGAATACGAGTACACAGGAAAAGAAGACTTAGAGCAATAACGCATGTCCTCACATCGAATGCATGCTTGGAAGGGTCCAGATACCCAAGGCAAGGGTCCATATCCCAAAGGCTAGGGTCCACAGACCCAAGGCTAGGGTCCACATACCCGAAGCTAGGGCCCATAACCCCAAGGCGAGAGAATGCGCAGTCCCACCAATCTGAAAAACGACAAAATACTTGTGATGTTCCAAGAAAACTGAGGCAAAAGCCAACATTTCTGGGACAAGCGTGGAATGTTTTGGGTAACCTGGTCAATCAATCATCTAGGTGCCGTATGCTCAATAAGTATGTCAGCATAGAGGTGTTTTGTACACAGTGGCATCGAAGGCACAGGTATGCCACTACACACAAAGCATACACACACACCGTGATGATATGATTCACATCACCTCTAACTGTATAACACAACACAGGTAGGGATTCACAAAGCACAGTCATGCAGAACTAGAGAGTGATTGGTCATGCAGCTAAACAATAACATTATACCATATTATTACACATGACTACAAGTAGTCATGTGCATGCAGTGATCTTACCAAGACATATTCCTTGCCGATGGTCTGTAGGTCAGTGGTGGACACATTGGATTGGTTGGCCGAGGACATGGAAGTGCTGCGTCTGAAGCGGTTCACTACAGGCGAGATATTGCCAAACTTTCCAACAACACGTGCCGAGAGAGATGGTGATGGAGAGACTTGGCTTGGCTCCACTGAAGTAGTAGCACTGCTCTGAGACGGCTGCAAATGAGCCAATGAGTCTTGCTTCTCCCCGCCTTCAGACTTGGGCAGGAAGTCTGACGGTGGCTGCTTGTGTGTCGAGAGGCATGTCAGAATAGTCCCTTGGTGCTTGGGAGCACGCAGTAACTTCCTCATCTCAGACACAGTGAGCGATTTGAGGATGGAGGCATTGTTCGCCTGCATGGGATACGGGAAAGCATGACATTGTATATATACTATAAAGAAGAGGCACCTGTGACGTGTGTTTGTCTGTGTGTCACGCTCAGGCCATGCTGCGGAGCAGCGCTGCCCTGAGCACGCGAAGCGTGCGAACAGTGTAGCTAGCGGCCGCAGAAGCACTGAGCACGCGAAGCGTGCGAATCGTGTAGCTAGCGTAAGCAGCCACAGAAGCACTGAGCACGCGAAGCGTGCGAATCGTGTAGCCACCACCACGTGCTGAGCACGTGTGCTGTTCATGTACTTGCTTCACCCGCATGCCACGTTCGGCCAGGCAACGCTGGCCGGGTGCTGCTAGTTGTTAATAACCAGACGTGAATACACTGCAAACTCTTGTGCTCTCACTTATACAGATTTCGGGTTCAATTTAATCATGACTACTATCCTGGCCTCCTGATTTAACAGCCGGGCCCGGTGCTAGTGGTACACATACATCTGTGTACACAAAGGATGGTACATCTGTGTATAAATTTACCGATATGATGATGTCCCCTCTCGAGAATATGCCTTGCTTTTCAGCAAGGCTGCCAGGACGAATGCCATTGATAAACGTTGCTTGCTCCAGTATGAGACCAAAATCTGGAGAGAGAGAGAGACGTGGATATCATCGCGGCGGAAATCATTCACAATTGTGGGTGACTTCCGCAAGTTGAAATTTACTACATGTACTCGGAATTCTCCACTGCCAACTACGAACCGGTCCCACATGCATCTGAATTTACCAAGTCCCTGTACTGTTTGATGTTGTTCATAAATACCAGTCTGATAGACATATTCAGATACACAGCGGATAATTTGCACCTGTCTTGCACAGGTGAGATCCTGCTCACTGGAGAGGTTCCACTCCAATCATACTATTTGCATTGTGCATCGCTCTTACCCTTCGTCTTTGGAGGAAACTGGAACGTGTAGACTTCAGGCTTGGTCTCAGGTGAAGTTGGGGCCTCTCCATGGGATGTTTCACCGCCAGAGAGCAATGTTGCTGTGTCCTGCCAAACAATGTGCAATGTTCCAGAACACCACCGTTAAGTCCAAGTGCTCAAGACCCAAAAAAACTAGATGCTGATAACAATCATGATGTATGAAAGTGTAGAGCACAGCATTGAATTTCTAAAATCAGAAGCGAAATGACTGAAGCCTCACCAGACTGCCTAGTGCTGAATCATCTGCAGATCGTCGACTGTCCATAGTTGGCCGACGCTGAGGGCGTCTTGACGGACTCGGCCCTTGAACCCCGGCTCTGTCGGACTTGGGACTGTGGGACCTTGCTGGAGCACTGCCGTCCACGCTTCTGATGATTGTTTGATGCTCTGGCAGGGCAGACTTGTCACTGCTCATCTTTGAATCCTGACTTTGTCTACCTTGCAGTTCACCAACTTGTTTGCGAGCCTAGAAAATCACGACAAACGTGTACGCAGGAAATTACAGTAGAATTTGCGGAAGACATCAAGAAATATTCTTTTTAAGTCACAAAGTACAGTGCAGGAGAAACCAACAAGGCAGACAAGGCTAAATGCCTTATTCTTCTACATTGAATACCTGAAGATCAATGCTGTTACACATATTGGCAAAACACCAAGCTCTCACAGCGCATTGATAGTCAATCCCAAAGTGTGCGCAGTGCATTGATAGTCAATCCCAAAGTGTGCGCAGTGCATTGATAGTCAAACCCAAAGTGTGCACGGGATGGAAATTACTGCAATGTACCTTGAACGAATCTTCAATCGCTTGGTCTTTTTCCAATCGAAGCGCTTCCAACTCATGACGAAGGGAATCACGCTCCTCCAGAGCCTTGTGATACTCGTCAATAGCCCAGTCGCGGTCACTCCTGGCCTTTTCCACATCAAAGTCCACATTGTGCAGCCGCTCCAGTAGGCTATCATGCTCCACCTGGGCACACCAAAGGTACACCAATAGAACGACACACTTGCTACTATACCAGTACATCATCATCATGTCACAATGTTAGTAGCCAAAGTACACGTGTGTTTATGCATTTTATTCTATTGATTTATTCTATTTATTCTCAAAGCATATGCAAGCAACGCTAACATGGGGAGCAGCCCCGGAGATGATGCTGATCAGTTACCTAGCCATGGCAAAATTACATGAAGAAAATGTGTTAGTCAAGCAGCAATAGTATTACTACTTCGAAGTACTATCACTAGTTGTGAAGTAATAATTACTTCAGCTGGTGTATAGTGTGATATGGTATGCTTTTCATGGAGATGATACACATGGTCTTCACCTAGCAATTGCATACTGTGGGTAGTTGCAGTGCTACACACCAGTGCAAAACAAGCAACTGACTACGAGAGTTGTTGTCTGCAGATTTGAGTCACAACTGCCTGGCATAGAAAGGTATTGAACATTAACTTCCAACAAACTAGGACATAAAACCCCCAAGAGTGTGCAACTCCAGTCTATGGGGTCTGCCACTGAGTGACAAACCCGTACATATTATCCAGTCTATGGGGTCTGCCACTGAGTGACAAACCCGTACATATTATTCGCACACCGTGTATGACAGACTATAGGTTTGTGCGCAGCCCTGCTTTGGATTCAACAGTCTCTGGTGGTTACTTTGCACTGTTTTCCAGTGTAACCTATTGTACCCTGTCAAGTGATGTGAAACTCTGTCTGTGTGGCAGCACTGGATAGAGGCTGTACAGGCAGGTGCACACTCTTGCGGGTTATATAGTACATGATTGTATTGATGCCATGAATAGATCTGAAAAACTGTAGTGGTAACGATAGGAATGTGTGGCACATACTACTAGCTATTGTAGTAGTTACCTTCATCTTGGAGTATTCATCCTCCACTTGTCGGTGCTCAGAGATTAGCTCTTCATGATAAGTTTTCAGCTCTTTTAATTGGTCAGCTGCATCTTCCTTCTCTTGCACATCCTCACTGTCTGGTGCAGAGAATTCTGTCCGTGTTGTTTCACCATCCTACACAATCATATACAAATACGCATGCACAAATGAATGCACAAATGCACACATGTACACCAAGGCAAAACTTGTAAGACACAAAGGGAAAGACTGCTAATAACTTTGGTGAGCTTCAACATCAACTGATGGCACAGTGTTCTCAAGTAATGAAGTTGCAACAAGCTTCTTCGCCAGTTGAGGTAGGTTTGGTGGAAGTCTCCATTGTTCCCTTCACTGCCAAGAAACTACTTTCTGAAGCTGACCTGACCCAGAACATCCCATGCTACCACGCTGGCGTACATAGAGAATGAAAAGGACACTACTAGTATGTGCGAACACACACAAAACAGGCGCGTACGAAAGGCTGGGAATTTGTGGCACAATCCTCTTTCGACAATCCAAAACAATGTTCAAATAGCTCAGTGACAACTTGCAAATTACAAATCTCACACATCACGACATGCATCCATTTGTCTTTGGAGACATCTACAACTTGAGTACATGTACATGCAAACTGAATGCATGAATGAGTAGTACACCATAATACAGAAATGGAATACAGAAAGTTCAGAAACACACGCACCCCCCACCCCCACCCACACACACAGCACAGAGTACCTTCCCATTATGACTGGCTGTTCCACAACAAGTCACAAAGTACAAATGTATAAATGCAAACAGCCTCCTTTATCACAAACCTCATCAGGAAGAGCTGGACTGTGTTTCGGCAACAGGGTCATATTTTGCTGGAGCCATATGCCGCGTCTGATAGCTGACTCGCTCTCTCGTTGTGCAATCTGAGCATGAATAGAATTCCATATACCATGGCAATAAATACAACCATGGAAAGATCATGTGGGTGAGGAAAAGAGAACACCAAACACGGAAAGCTAGGTCAAAGCTTCTTGTACACCAGCCATATACATTTGCATGATCCGTACACTATTTACTTGAAAAGCCATGGAACAAAACATGTTTCTGAATCGACTCTGCTCGTCGCACTGTTGTGATGGCACTTGTATGGTTTACTGTCAAAGTATGTGTGACGAAGCAACCCATGTAAACGTAGATAAGGAATACGCGGTGTGCTGCCTTAAGTTCCTTGGGAATCTCTGACTTCATGAGACTAGAGACTAGCCAACCACAGTGGGCAATGTCGGCGCACTAATTACCAACCACTCAAACTAACCCAATAACCCAATAAACAGAATGAACAGCTCTAGTAATAGTAACTGTTAATCAATGGTCCGTTATACGTGCAGATGTTGGCACAGCACTGAGCAATTGGCATACCTTGAGTTCCTGTGTCAGATCATCTCGGTCCTGCGAAACTGCATGGAGCTCGGCTTTCGTGTTGCGCAATTCATCGGCCATGGAATAGTGCATGTCCTGCAGGTTCTGCAGATCCCGTGTTTTCAGCTCACTCTGCTTCATAGTATTCTCCAACAAATCAAGCTGACTCTGTGCAGTGACAATGTACACAACATACACAGTACACACACATATAACAAACGTCAACAACACATTTCAGGGTTTGTATTCGTATTGCAGCTCGAATGCCTCTGGCGCATTACCATAAGGATATCACAGACACTATCCCTTTGGATCAAAGGCATCAAGTCACTTCTGAAGCTGTGGCAGATGAGTAGATACGACCAACCAGGCCAAACATAAAAGTGGTTGAAGATCAAACAACCCTAACAGTGGTAAAGGCTGTATTCATGCTATTAAACCTGGTGTTGTGATCTAAAGGTGGAGCGCCAATCATTGTCAGTAGAGAGCACAATAAAGCATGGACAGAGTGCATACGTATACATGTAACAGCCATTCCCTATGCAGACAATGCTTGGCTAAGTAGCAGGCAATACCTTCATTCCCTCTTGCATCTCCACTGAGGCCTGAAGTGAGGTTTTCAGCTGCTGACATTCGCCTTCAAGACGTTGCTTTTCATCTTCATGCTTCTTTGCCACACTTGCCCAGTCAACATGGCTGACGTTCCCATCCTGAGCATCACTGCTAAATGAATTTTGATGTGTAGGATGAGCGGTTTCTGCTTTGCCTGCATCTACGATTGCCAGCGCCTCATCACGTTGCCGCATTGCATCCACGTAAAGCGACTGGTACTTTTCCGCATCGCGGCGCCAGCGGCGGCTCTCGTTCTTGGCCACAACCATGGCTTTGATGGCTTCGTCGCGTCTTTGCGAGACTTGTTCACACTGCTCTTTGAGCAGAGATGTAGCACACTGCATACCCAGTGTCTGCATGCTTGCTGCCTGGTAGCCACCATTCAACTCATGCAGTTCCCTGCCAAGAGAGGAGTTCTCTACGAGCAGGTCGCGGTTTTGCTGCTGAAGCTGGTTGACTAACTCTTTGTCACTGGCTGACTCTGCTGGCTCTGCAGCAGCGCCCGTAGTAGAATCAGTGGTGCCTTGAAGTAATGGCACTGCCACTGACACATCAGGCAGCCTGGAGAATGCTGATGAACTATCTGGCATAGGCACATCTGATAGCTATACCACAGAATAGGACCACATGTAGAGAAAAAAAGGCAACTAAAATTACTTCTACAGCATAGACACACAATACAATGCTACAACTAAGACATAGAATACCGAAACCGAATTATCCAATGCATCATCAGCAGGCCTGTAAATATGCATTCGAATCCCTTTTACAACAATTCTGGTTGAAATGAGTAAGACACTAGTACTCTACTGAGTCATATCAGGAAGTGCCAAGAGACAGACTGGTAGTTTTACAACTCTGGAACTCACCGCTTTCCTGCCCATGGGATAACTCAATGGCTTCAGATGAGTGCTGATAATTGGCCTGTCAGCATCTGAGGCAGCGGGTGTCGTTTCGCGGCTCTGAGTGCTTGAAAATTCTGCCGATTGCTGTGATGTGGACTCGTCGTGAAGTGAGACTTCTGCTGAGCTGCGCCGCTTGCCCATCTTGTACTCCTGGACTGGAAGGTCAGGCTCGGAGTTCTCATCATCAGCTGAATTGCCACCAAAACTGGCAGCATCAGCAACAACAGGCAAGTTTCCTGTCGCAGAGTCCGACGTAGATGATGCCTGCTTGCTAATCCGTAACTGGTTCAAAGCCGTGCATATGGATGCTACGCAGTCTGAGCATAGAAGACAGTAGCAGTAGACAATCCATTGAATACAGTCAGCAGTCTCAGTACACAGCCAATGCAGACAAGACACGAGGGCACTTTCCTAGGCTCCACAAGATCATACTGAAACGGAAACATAACATTACCAAAGTGATCAGCTCTGGGCAGATGACATTCTCTTTGACTGATAGAAACTGATAGCAAAACGAAACTGCGCTTCGTTCTAACACTTGGAGTTTCCGTGACCCTAAACTGAGATCTTACAAATAGAAACACAACCTGCTTTCTGTGACGACAGGTATCATTTATCTTCAATGTGGACAAAGTCACACATTCAACTGATCCACTGCCACGAATGCAGCAGCACAGCCATGACTAATAGCGCAGTTGGTAAGGACTGTAGAACACTGCGGCAACTTACTAGCAGCAGCAGATGATGGACATTCCAGCAAATCAAACTTACTAGCAGCAGCAGATGATGGACACTCCAGCAAATCAAAAGGATCCAGTGTGCTTGAACCCTCCTGACCGGAACGCTCTCGCTCATACCTAATACACACAAGATGTCACATACATAATGGACACAATACTCATACCTAACCGTACATACACAATGACCTACGAAAAGTCAAGTCCATGGGATATCCTTTTCAGTGTTCCATCGGGAAACGTTCAAGACATTTTAAAAGTACTAGGCTGCTGCGTGAAGCATGGCATGTCTGCTACTACAATCATAGTAGTGCATACGTCCACTCGTTATATTTCCTTCCTAATGGCGCTATGACTGCTTCACTCAGTTCATTGCTATGATCTCACACAGGACTTCCCTGATCAGTCTCTAAAACACCCAGATGAGAAGGGAACAAAGAGCTTCGGCATCAACAAAACCTAATTATGAACGATGTTATGAAAGCTTGGATACCTCCCTCACTGTGACAAGAAAAAATGAATCGTGACATACCGAGTTTGCAAGGCAACCAAGCAGTTGGACAGTTGTTTGAATCCACGCTCCTTTGCAACGTCCTTCAGACACTTCCCGTCAGAGAACACTTCTGTCAAAGCAAACTCCGCAGCAGGTAGTTGAAGAAGAAGGCGAACCAATGGCCGGGCATCCAGCTGCACTGCCATGTGTAGCAGCTGGCAATAACGCTGGTACTGTGCACCCACTGCCATGTAAAAAGAAAAAAAGTGGTAGAAAAGAGATGAACCGCATTACAAAGATAGTCCGAAGATAATTCATGTTTAGGTGTTTAAGAAGAGAATGCTATTCTTACTGAAGCTGTTATCACCTACCATACTGGAAATTGCCGTACAATACAAATAAACTGACAAATAGTACCACACATACAGAAAATCTTGTTGAGAAACCATCAAAGCGAGGTTCAGAATATGGCTCAAAAGCTCAGCTTGCCTGCCAGGTGTCTACAACACAATACAACTACTTAGTACATCGTACAAGTCTACAACACAATACAATGTGGTCACTTACCATTGCCCTGGTTGAACATCTGGGAATTGCCCATACCAGCTCCAGTGTTACCGTGCATGCCGGCAGCCTGATGATGCATGAACGTGCCAAACAACTCATGGAAACTGTGCAATTCCGTGATATCGCCATCAAAGTAAGTGGGAGTTATTCTTGGCTCCCCGATGTACTCAAAGGACAGTTTGAAGACGCTTTCCTGCGGGAACTTAATGTAGACCATCACAGTTTCGACACGACAATGTGCTGGTGGAATAGCAGAACAGAGAAGAATGCAGCACATTGTGGCAATAAAAAGCTTGCATATTAGAAGCACACAACACATGCGCTGTGTTTGTATTCAACCAGCATAGCGTACATAGCTATGTACATAGCATTGTACATAGCATTGTACATAGCATTGCACATAGCATTGCACATAGCATTGTACATAGCATTGTACATAGCATTGTACATAGCATTGTACATAGCATTGTACATAGCATTGTACATAGCATTGTACATAGCATTGTACATAGCATAGCGTACATAGTGTAATAATGAAAGCGAAGTACTATCTTGAAGTACTATTCTGCAGCCTCTTGCAGATGTGATTCCAAGATGTGATTCAAAGATGTGATTCCAAGATGTGATTCCAAGATGTGATGGAAATGCTTGCACGCAAGTGTAGACTTACGAGGTATGATGCCGACAACAGTGTACGGATTGTCTCGTTGCATTTGGACAGACACAGAGGTCTGACTCCGCTCCGAGATGAATTGAACAATAACCGGGCCATCCAGGATGGGTTCGGTGCCGCACTTGATGATTAGGAATTGCTCACCGCCCTGAACAAACAGATAATTATACGTGAAAAACTGTTGTGAGCCAACGAACAGTCACAATTCACTTCAAGAAAAACCATCAGTGTCATGAAGTAGGGATCTATCTAGAGACTACCTCACGACATGGGTATTGTGCTAGCTCACTATGTGGGCGCCAGGAGAAGACACATACTAGTCTAGTATTAGCTGGCTACTGGCTACTATACAAATCGTTGGTCAAGTTTCAAGTTTCAGTATCATAAAACGAATACACAAATCACTTCATTAACATACACTGTGTATTGCTCCCTACACGCTTTTCTAGCCAGCTCAAGTTTATTTGCCACTGTTTATTTCTCACTTGACTGATTCCTGGCAGCCATCCAGAGCACACAAGAAGCCCACTGAACATTCAATTCGGCAAACCTGCGAGAAAGGTCCGGTCCCTGCTCAATACACAGTGTTTGGGGAATTCGCCCAATATCACCTGATGTTGAGCAGGCACCGAAGTCACTATCAATATCTGTCTGGTGAGATGGTATCGGTACCTCTTCATTTGATGAAGTGAATAAAATATCGATGTTGTCTGATGATTGGTTTTTGCCATGAAACTCTGAGTGACAACGAAACAGCCCTATTTTACTTCCTTTTGTGTACCTCTCGCTTACTACGCTCTGCCCATTCCAGGCATTTGAGCACTATCGCAGGTTAAGGCGCACTGCCTCTGTGAATAAAATATCATTAATTTTCGTCATGACAGGCTTATCCAGAAGATATCTACCAAGCAGCAGCAGCAGCAGGTCACTTACACTAATCGTGCTCTTGTTAGGACATATCTTGCTATACGTATCGCCCATACCTTGGTGATGTCACAATAGGCACACATAGGCACACATACACACGCGCGCGCACGCACACACACACACACACACAAACATGCATTGCAAGCCAAGCCTGCTGCTGAGTACATTTCTTGATCTTTCTTTTCCCAACATACTAGTAGTACAATTAGAAGTTGATGTACCCAACACAGCAGCATGATCCAGAGAAACAATGAGTTTGTGAACAAATGATGAATATAGCGACCATCAGTTGACAAACTCATCTCTTCCCTGACTTAGCACCACGCTCCGTGTATCACTAGACTAGAACCATATCCTGGTAACTAACGGCTCATGGCTGGCTGAGTAGTATGACAGGCAACAAGGGCACAACCAGTTTAGTGTGAGCAACCGGCCGGCTTCACGATGATGGCTGTGTAAACAATACGAGCTCCGAGTAATACAGACCACTGAGTAAGGATCTTTCAACCAGCAAAACATCCAAAGGTCAACTAATCAGAACTACTTTCACCCACACCAGTAATAGATCAGCAGAGAACAAGCATTTCACTTTCAAGTTAATGGGAATAAGATATCAAGTCCATACAGTATAACTGAAGTCAAGTACAATGCAGTGCAGCAGCTCACCTGCTGTATTGCTGGAGCCAGGTGATGCAGTGAAACCCATGTGCATTCCACGTGAAGCCGCGGCAGTTGCATGCGCATCCCTGTCCGGCATCTGGATGAGGACGAAAGAGTGGTAAGAAAACCGAGGCACTGTTTTTTAACAGCTTCGATGTCTGATTTAATGTAACGTTTCAACTTGTACAGCACTCAAGCATGTACTGATAGTGAAGACAGTAGCTATATAATACAATACAAGTAGCTATTATCGCGCACACTTTCACTGGTCACCCCGGTGCCAGTTCTTCATGCATACCCCATGTTGGATATCTACCAATGGACGCAATTGCATTTCTCTGTAGTCTGGCAATTGCCTTGTGCATGAACGTCAGAGCTACATCTTAGTCTCTTTGTGCATTTGTTCTGGTGTTTCAAGCTCTACACTACCAAGTGTAGAGCACTCTTTGCATACTTTGGTGAACCCTTTGATGACCCGAGGCTTCCTGATGGGATCAGCTTCAATGTGTGCTACTCTATTCAATGTGTGCTACTCTATTCAATGTGTGCTACTCTATTCAATGTGCTCGTAGTCAGGAGATACATACAGTGATGATGGCATACCATTGGTGAAGCTGTGGGTGGAACTGCGAAGTTACCCCCATCAGCATGGATTCCAGCAGACTGATCAAACGTAGGCAACATGCCATGGCCAGGGACTTGCTGATTTGATCGGCCAGGGTAAGCACCTCCCTGCTGCTGCTGCTGCTGCTGCTGCTGTTCAGGAAAGTTCAGTCCATTCTGCCGCATGACTGTAGATGCTTGTTGTAGTTGCAGTGTTTGCTGTTGCATTGCTGCAGCGTATGCTCCCTGCATCTCAGCACTGGCAGCATGTCCACGGGTTTGCTGTTGGAAAAGTGAACTCTGCTGCTGCTGTTGACGGCGCGTTTGCTCGTTGAGCTGCTGAAGCTGCATAGCCTGTATTTGTTGTTCTTGAGAAATCCTAGCCTGTCGCACCTGCATAGCCTGGATCTGCTGCTCATGAGAAATCCTAGCCTGCACATGTTGCTGCTGCTGCTGCTGCTGCTGAAGTATCTGTGCATTGTCGTTGCCACCACCGCCTGCTGATAGATCAGGAGCAAGGTCAGCCGCATGCTCTCCCGGAACAGCAGGTGACTCAGCTGCGATGTGGCCGGTTATCATGTACAAAACAAGAAAATAGCAAGACAACGGCGGCAAGAGCAGCAGCAGCAGCAGCAGCAGCAGCAGCAGCAGCAGCAACAACAACAACAACAACAACAACAACAACAACAACAACAACAACAACAACAACAACAACAACAACAACAACAACAACAACAACAACAGCAGCAGCAGCAGCAGCAGCAGCAGCAGCAGCAGCAGCAGCAGCAGCAGAAGCACCACCAACAATAACGTGTCAAAAATCAACAGCAGCAACAGCAACAGCAACTTGTCAATCATTCGCTTGTGGAATGTGCACAGTTGGGGCCGGCTTGAGGAACTTCGCTAGAATAGAGTCAGTGCTCAATGCAACAGGTTGCAGAGTGATCTGCACAAATCTCCTGTGTGTTTGTGGAAAATGCTTGGTTTGTACAGCTGAACAAGGAAACCCCAGTCTTTTCCAGTTACACAACTGGTAGGCCAGGGTGCTTATGCTGAGTTGTCCGGGCTTTGACGACGCAGTTGGGCAAAACAAGTGTTTGGGCGATGTCCATGAGTGCTTGACTCAAGGCTATCAGTATCATGTTCCACAGCTCGATAGAGAGATGCTGAGCTAATTATCCGGTCATTCATGCAATGCAATACACATACTTGTATGTTTGTGTTCGTACCCCCCCCCCCCCCTCCCCACACGTCAGTGCAATCACTCACCGTAGTCAGGAAACTCCATATCCATGGCTTCCGGGCGAACAAGAGGAATGTTCGCTACGTTCACAGAACTAGCCGCCTACAAGCACAGTGCAGACATTCATGACCATGCTTAAATGATGACTTCACAACCAGGCCAGCTCACCTCTACAGCACTCCTACCTCGAGGGAAAATAATTGGATACAAAGGAAGGGGAGAAGAGGTGAAGATCCAAATGAAAATGAACCAGGACAATTATTGATAGAAACACAACCAATCGACAACCAATGGACACCGATTCGTTTTGAGAAGAAAAACACGTTTTTCTCCAGAATTCATCGGCGAGTACTTTTGACTATTTCTGGTAGATGAAATAGAATGAACAAAGCAGCTCATGGTAGCAGAAAATACAGCTACTACGGGTGTGAAAAGCAGTAGCAAGGCTGGAGCCAGAAAATGCAAAGAATTGCACGTCACCATCGGCACCAACATGCCCTACTGCTAACCCGCGGCGTGGGCGTCCACTACCTGCGAGTGTCTCTCTTGCCCTGCTGCTAAGCCTTGGCGTGGGCGTCCACTACCTGCGAGTGTCTCTCTTGCCCTACTGCTAAGCCTTGGCATGGGCGTCCACTACCTGCGAGTGTCTCTCTTGACACATCCACGGTAACCAGCATGGATAGCCTAACTAGAACAACTGTGTACCCCGGAGGAGTAAACGGCTGCGCTTGAAGACGGTCGCAGTCTCTGAACGAACTATCAGCAACATCAGCTGTGTCAATGGAACCGACAATGCAACGGGACCTGGACCACCTGTTGGTGAGACTGAGCTGATGACATCAGTACTATCTAATATAAGTATCAATGTGCCATTGCCACGTGGCCATTCTGATCGTCATTTGAAGGTACTAGAATCTGTTTATATTCACACCTAGCAGCCCAACCTCTGCAGGCAGAAGCTGAACATTGCCTCGCTGTATTTGTTCAAGTCACACCTTGCTCCTCTTTGTAGTGTGTGGACCTATACTAGTGTGCTGTGTGTGTGTTTTGCTTGACCGCGTGCCGTTCTTTGCATCATTTTTCTGGCTCCAGCCTTGCTACTGCTTTTCACACCCGTAGTAGCTTTATTTTCTGCTACCATGAGCTGCTTCGTTCATTCTCTATCATCTACCAGAAATAGTCAGAAGTAGTCATTGATGAATTCTGGAGAAATACGTTTTGTCAAAATGAAACGGTGTCCGTTGGTTGTGGAGTGGTTGTGTTTCTATCAATAATTTTTATCTGGTCTCCGACAAGAATAATAACCAGGCACAATATAAATTAAACTACAGTAGTGCTTCTACTCGTGATAGCCATCAGAAAACACTGAGGAGGGCAACTTACATGGATATTGGGATTCATTTCTCGTTTCAGCATAGCAAGAACTGCACAAGGGCAAGAGCAAAGATCAGAGAACACAGGAGTTTAAGATCAGTAAATACACAAGGAATGTATTAACCTGCTGGGATGACGACTACGCCATAGTTTAGTGGTAGAGAATCACTGGCCATAAGCAAGGGTCCCTGGTTCAAATCCTAGTGGTGGCAGTCAATTTTTCAGACTTTCCCCATTTTCAACTCCTTCAACCTTATGTAGCACGCAATTGTAATCTACCTCGTTTACGATGGCAGAACTTCATACCGCGTGACATATCAACACGTCCTGGTTAGGCATGCCAGATGTTAGCACAGCTGCCCGGTGGTCATGTTGCACTGTTTGCTGCTGTAATGTACATCGAATATGCAGTGTGCTACAAAACCCTGCCACCGTATCTCTGAATAGGGGATACACACTGGTAGCTGCACACTCTGGGGACTGTGATCTCTGCTGCTAGAGTGGTGCATGTAAGTACATACACGTGACGGGTACTGCCATGTGGCGTACACGTTGCTTTACTAGTACTTTGTAATGTTATGTATCGTCAGAGATAAGTTTGTTCCAGTGTCACTCACGTTCCTCGCTGAACTCTTCCGTCGCACCTTCCTGCTCAGGCACACCCATCGCATGTAGCTTCAGTGTAGCAATGGAATCAGAGTCCTTGATGCGATCATTATCGACAAGCTCATTGAAGAGCAGGACATGCTCACTGTTATTCTGCTGTGGTTGTTCATGATTTTGCACATCCATACTTTGGGTGTCCGAACTTCTTGAGCCATAGCCGGTCTCAATTGGCGGGCTGTTTGCCGCCTCGGAGAATGGCTGAAAGAAGCTCTCCTGCAGTGGAGAACACACACACAGCAGACCAGTGTCAGTCAGCCGGCAGGAACAGCGAGCTCCAAAACTAGCAGCAGCCACCTTCTTCCAATATCACTGCCAAAGTCGCACCATCTTAGATTATGTTTTGGTTTCAAACATGCAGCACGGAATTCAAACACGCAGCATGGAATTGTTAAAACTCGTCGGTTTTCATCACTTGAAAACACAAAAGACGGCACATTGTTAAGAAGCAATGGATGTGGGGGATGTCCCACTTTTAGGCTACTACAAATATCGTACAGTATGCATTACTCCCATTCCAATATGTAGAGAACATTATTATAGGTAAGGGTATGATGTGATGGCATTGCCTGATTCAGGATGAATAGCTTTGTAGAAACATACCTCACTAGCTCCAGCCACTGATGGAGGAGAGGAGCATGAACCTGCAGAAACAGAAACACGCACGCACACACAGTGGCAAACCACTATCAATATTAATTACCTCATCAAAGGCATCAGCATAATTTCTTGGCATACGCACATGGCATATGCACATGCCGGTAGTAGTTGTATGCATGTCTCCCCTCCCCCCTCCCCTCCCCATCAGCTTCAGTCGCAGGGTGTGTGTGTGTGTGTGTGTGTGTGTGTGTGTGTGTGTGTGTGTGTTGCACTCACCAGGAGGATCCGGCAACATTGGAGATGCTGGAGCAAGATTCGATGGTGTTCCAGGTGATGCTGAAACCGTAGATTGGGCAGGCGCCACAATCGGACTCAGAGATTGCTCCCCCTTCGGCATTTTGGTTTTCTTCTTTTTGTACGAAGCACCTTTGGGAGTGCTCCCCTTGGACTTTTCTGTGTCCTTCTTCAGGAAATCACATGGCATCATTCGCTTGGGCTTTTGACTCTGCTCATCTGAAGAGCCGGTGTCCTTGAAGTAATCAAAAGCACAGCGACAGAGCACAGTCAGACATCACGGACAACAAAGAGCACAGCAAATACATGTGCACTGGGATTCATGTTACCATGAGGAATGAAGAGACGCCTGGCGCTCCTCACATGAAGCAGGTTAGCGCAGGGCAGAGGAATGGATTGCCAAGAGGAAAGCCAAGAGGACAAACATAGTGCTGTTCTGGCGGTGACCTACCTCCATCGGACTCTCGGCCAACCTTCTGACATCTAAAAGTAGAAAGAGAGAATGGGCAACCGTGAATAGGAAATTGTCAAAATGGGCACAACCGTGAATAGGAAATTGTCAGTCTTGACAATGGGCAACCGTGAATAGGAAATTGTCAGTCTTGACAATGGGCAACCGTAAATAGGAAATTGTCAGTCTTGACAATGCAGTGAAAACTGCAACGACGCTATGCAGTAAGCTGCACCGTCTCCTTTGACATTGCACAACATTTTCATCAATACGCCACACGAATGATCACAATCATTATGACATTCCGCAGTGCCAAACTGCTAGGCAACTGCTCCATGCCGGTCATGCATGCGACTCTCACCGAGTTACAACCTGTTAGGAGCCTCTGTGACTCGACCAGCACTGGACAAGACATACCACTGCACAAAGTACCAGTAACGTTAGGTGAACTTACCAGCAAGGTTTTCGGAACTCGCAACGAACACTCGTTTCAGGTACTGAGTGCCTTCTTTCAGTGCTTCAAGTCTGATCTCCTGGATTTCGGGGAAAGCCCTGGGCAGCCCTTTCTTCAGGATACTGGTGGCATCAGAGATTTCAGACCCTCGCTCCTTCTGATCAAACCATTCCTTTGCTATCGCCGGCCAACTGTTCAGTTCAAATTTTCCGATCGTGATGTCAATCCATCTGCAAACAAAAACCAAGTCAGATCAATAGCAACTATTTCTGCCAATAAACATACGAAAATTGCAATACAAGGCCCAGCTGATGTCGAAAAAACAATAGTTGTTGTGACAAGAGGTTCAGTCATAAGTAAAGTACCATTTCAAGTCAGCAGTCGGTATCAAGCGTTATCTTTCAGGCATTGTGGTAGTTGACGTGCGTTGAATAGAGATGATAATTATTATATCACCACCAGGACTCGAACCAGGGACCTTCGCTTGAGGCCAGTGATGCCTCTAACTACTGGGCTATGGTGTAACGTTGATACGTTCATTATGTTTTAGTCATATTTCACCTTCATGCTGTTTTTGACCGGCTGCGCTAAATTTCATTTCACACCTGCTGCAACTCATGATTTTGTTTTGCCTATGTAGCTGGTGTGTTTGACATTTTCCATTATTCCCCGTATTAATCCATGATGAGAAGGGAACGAAAACATTCAGTTAAGAAAAATTGGCTCTACTAGACTGGTGTGGGTCGCGGCGATGTATCCAATGCTTTCGACGAAAAGATCTTAACAGTAACTGTTCTACAGTCAGACCTCGCTTATCCGGCGTTCTTTTATCCGGATCCCTCGCCATCCGGAAGAACATCGTTGGTTACCGATTTTCAGCATATGTCATGTACACATACAGTATGTGTGTTCGATTATCCGGTTCCCTCGCCTATCCGGATATTTTTTGTGGAAAACGGATGTGTGCGGTTAAGCGAGGTCTGACTGTATATCTAGTCAGTTTCAAAAAGATTAGCAATCCTGGCGATCGCCCGGGGAGTTTGCCGTCTTACCGTATGCGCGCTCGAGAGCTGGCTGGAAAAACTCACTGTGAACTCGAAGAAATAATCCGCGCGAAAGCATGAAAAATGACAACTCACTCACGTCAGTACATGTACGTCTGGTTTACAACAAACGAGTTCTTCCTCGTATCGATATGGAGTCAGAGAGGACATGTCGAAAGTGTGGTAAATGCTGATGAGCGGGATGGGTCCCAATTCGTTTCGTGCCCAATTTCTTTGAGCTGCGATGCAATTTACTCTCACGATGTGACGAAAATGACATCGACATTCGACACCGACTCATTCCCAAGGCCATGACTTGGCAAAGCTATCCGTGTGGCTTCGACGACATTTAGAGAAAAGCAGACACCTGTGAAAGCTGATAGAAGACGGCGTTGACTCCTAAATTCAAATAAATAATTTAATTGGCGATCTTGAAATAACAAAATAATTCTCAAAGAGAAATCGATCGATCGATGTGCCGTTGTATTCAACAACAACACGTAGCTACAGCGCAATGACTTCCGTGTTCACTCACACCGTTTCAGTGTTGTGGGTGTGTTCACATGGCATGAACCAGTCAAGTGTCCGTAAGTTCGGCAGGAAACGCGATCTCCAACAACAACAAGTCGTTTGGCGCAGCCACCTTCTTTGGCTTGTAGGCTGTACTTTTTGTACCAGCGTGATCACATGGCAAAACAATGAAAAAAAAGTTTGACTTGAAGATAGTTTGGGATTTGAACTCACAACTTCATGGTCAGCAGACAGCATTCATAACCACAAGGCCAAAAAGGAAAGGATAAATCGTGGGTTTTGATAACAAATCGATACTGACATCCAGGGCAAATTGTAAACCATGGGAAAAGGCCGGAAACCTGGCCGAAATTCTAACTCCTTAACGGCTGGTCCAATTGTTCCGAAACCGTCACAGAACAATTTGCCGTGTCCTAACAAGCCATTCTATGTAGTTTGTTGTCCAAATTTCCCTTATCTTCATACTTTTTAAGACCAAAACCTGATTGCTAATCTTTTTGATATGGACTATAAGTGTCTAGAGGGAACTCAGAACTTAGCATGTTCTATCCGACCTATGAGATCGCAGCAGAGAGCTGAATCATAGTGACTTTGATACAACTATTACAAATTCATACATTACAATGTGATGGCAGCTATGATTGCCGGCCTGTTACAGCTGACTTACTTTGCATGGTTGCCTGTGTGAAGGTGCTCCACAATGAACTGAGCTAATCGAGCACGTCGCCGAGAAACTGACCATCTTGACCAGCCGATTTTCCACTCATCTTCGGAGATAATACGTGCCTGGTGAGTGCCTGCAACTATATCAGGACTTGCAGCACCCGGGCTCTTGCTTTGCTCTTCAACTTCCATCCCTGCACAGTCATTGCCCAGAGAGAGGGTGTCCTCTTCATCTGTACCGCACAGTGTACAGATGCCAGCAGAGTCAACACACACACGAGTGCAAGTCACAGTGTACAGATGCCAGCAGAGTCAACACACACACACACACACACACACACACACACACACACACGAGTGCAGGTCAACGTGTAGCTGGCTGGAAGCACACGCGCTACCAGCACAGCGTGTGATAACCCTTGCCAACTTACTACGCTGGTCACCAAGCCGAAACGAATGTCAAAGTGATAATATTAATGATAGGATATTATTAAGTGGTTCAACAGCTATAGCCCACCATGGTCAGCTGTGTTTTCTGTCTGCTATACACCCGTAACTATTACAGTGAAACCTGTCTAAGGCGACCCCTGAAGGGACGAGAAAAAGTGGTCGCCGTGGCCAGGTGGTCTTCTTATCCAGGTTTAGTGGGTCACGTGACCGTATCCACATGTGATACATTATTTTGATCAGTGCACCACAGTGCACACACCTATGCTACTCTAGCACGACTCACGTGCCTGGGGTCCTCAGACCTGTCAAGTGTCGTGCATGCACCATGTACATCTACACTTCCTGCACTGATGTGTAGATTTACCATGCAATGCGTACATTTACATGCACTAGCACTGTGCAACGCGGTCGCGGGTGGGTGGTCGTCGGTCGCGTTGAGCAAGTGGTCGCCTTATCCGAGCTGTTTTGAATGTGAATGCGTCCGTGACAAGGAAAAGTGGTCGCCATGGTCGAGTGGTCGCCATATCCGAGTGGTCGCCATTACAGGTTTTACTGTACATGCCTTGATCGGCTTGAGGATAATGGCTTCAGGCTACAGATGCAGGAAAGTCAGTCTGACATCCACTCAAACCTGAAATTGTTTGTGTTTAGTAGATAACACGAGGGTAATAGCGCAGTCTTGTACATGTATACCCAAACTCTACTCCGGCATAACAGTCGTATGATAATAATGCAGTATACATTAGTACAGGTGGAATCCTGATAATTCGAACCTCAAAATGCCAGGAAAAAACTTCTAATTATCCGGACATTCTAATTATCCAAACATGAACCCACAACACAATAATGTATGTCAAAATGCTCTCATGGTCACGCAGAGTTGCGCTATGGACCTTAGACACAGATTTCACGGATACTGAACTGACCAGCACAGCCTGCTCAAGCAAACTGAACTGACCAGTACAGTGTACAGTGAACTTCGAATTACAGTTTGCTAACGAGGTTCGAATTATCAGAAATGTTTATGTGGGAATCGTATTGATAGAAATCGGTCCTGGAAAAACTTCTAATTAAGCGGTATGTTCGAATTAAGCCATATTCGAATGATCAGGATTCCACCTGTATACATTATTCTTATGTATACAGTACTACTGCATTACTTATTAGTGCTTGGGTTGTGCCTCAACACAATGACTACAGTGTGGGGGTTTTAACTTTTTTTTAAACTTGTTATCATACATTTACTTGTAAACATGCTCACAAGGAGGTCAGACAGTGTTCCATAATCTATCCACGGTTGACCCAAAGTTTCAATGGGGGAATCGAGGAGAAATACGTGAAGGGACAGCATGATAGAAACAGTGCTGTACATGTAGCTGTATAGCTGTACTGCTGTACCCTGGTCTACATCCAACCAATGCCACACTGTTTCACCAGGGGCTATTTGCAATTGCATAATTATGCTGTCCAGGCCGCATCCACCCAGCTTTCCACTACAGGATTTGATCTTGGAGATGAAATCACAATCTGAAAACTCTGGGGACGAATCCTGTACTGCTCTCTCACCCATCTACTGCGCGGAGCACTCGTACATTTCAGTAGTGCTGCGCATTTGGCCCACTTCCGACGTACATGTAGGACGTCCGTTATGCCGCTGTGTGCAGCCCATGAAATGGAACAAGACAAAATTGATTAGAGGTGTTTCCGGACTCAAGAGATAGCGATGAAGCCCCTCGAAACAGTAACACTGAAGGCTAGAAGTAAACAACCCTGACTGGGACCGATTTCAGTTATCATCAACCTTTTTTTATAAAGACAGAAGAAGTCATGATCGACCTGGGCGGTCCCAGCCTACCACCGAACATCAAGGCGCACAATGCCGATGGAATTCCGGGAATGAATAGTGTTATCAGTCCGGTGTGAGTTAGTTTGTTGTGCTTACGACAGTAGCTGCATACCTTGACTAAATTGAGTTCCAGAATCCATGGATCTGGAATCCGGACAGATATTTGCTCCGTCAAACGCTCCGCAGTTCGTGGACGATACGGCTGAGGGTGAAGATGATGGTTTGGCACGGGCAATAGCAACACCGAAGGCAGATTTGGCCACGCCGTCAGCAGCTAGCGTGGACGAGCATGCCGCCGACGCAGCAGCCCACTGCTGCTCACCTGTAACTGTGGTTTTGCCAGACATCACTCGGTCTCAGTCTCGTGCTCGCACGCACATCCGTTACGAAAGGAACACAAAACTGCTTGGTCCGTTCTCACAGCTCAGCCACGTTGATGTCCAGAGCAGTCCACAAACGGACGAATTCCGCGAACGCTCGTACTCGGACACGATACCGCCCACGCGTCCGCTCCGCATCAGGCGGAGCGAACCCCTGCCCTCAAGCAGACGACCACGAATACGACCAGCCTCGTGAACAATAATTGTTTTGGGTTCACTTCAAGCCAGAGAACACACATAAACACCTCATACAGAACCAAGAAGAAGGTCAAGACATTCGCAAAAGCAAAACTACAAAATGAACCAGAACTAACTACAGCATGTCACATTACTGACATGCACCGGACTGTCTCCATCACCACCTCGTGCCAACAACGCCAACAACACCTAGCTAGACTCATACTAGTCATACTAAAATTACTTGAGTCATGCATAGTGATACTGCATGCACTGACATAGTCATACACAGCATACTTGTGTTCAGTGAATGGGCATCTTCGCGCAGTTCGCGGCCCATGCTAGCTATGGCCAGACAGTATAATTAGGGAGTTCAGGCAAAAAAATCAAATTCAGAATTCCCAGGAAAATTCTGTTGGAAATCGAATAAGCACGTCTTTCAAGAGCACACAGAAAATTTCATGTGAAAATCTCAAAGCAAACCTGAGATACAGTCATTTCAATTGTGGTGCCAATCATCATAGAATTGTGTTGAATTGTATGTAAACGTGTATAGCACGCATGGCACAAACTGACAAACGGACCCAGGGGAAGTTGACCAGGGGACATAGTGACAAAAACAAAAAGTTCGCTGAAAAGAGCCCAAATGACAGGCCTATATGATAAGCAATAATGTACAAACATTTCTATGTACAACAACTACCTGACGGCACGTCGCCGTGTATTGTTTCCATGGCAACCCCTAGCAACATTGCAGAAACGCAACGAAACATATCAATGATGACAATATGGAGTGAAAACGTTGCACAAGCGTGGTAAAACAAAAATGGAATGTAGGTTAACAGTGTTAACGGGAAATTCTAGCATTGTTACCATAGCAACGGAACAGGAAAAAAGTGAAGAGAACAGTTGGAAGAGGGGAAGACACAAAAAAGACAATAAAAACAGTCAACACAATAACCACAAACTTGTCTTGACCATGTCTTTGACCATGTCTTTGGAAAATAAAATTATTCATTTTCAACGCGGAGCCGTTTTGCTGTTGGCTCCAGCTCGCAATCTACATTGTCAGCCGAGGTGGTGGTGTTGGCGGCTGGCTCTGACGAAGCTGCTCGCTGACTGTCCACATCAGCCGGACTGGTGGTGTAAGTGGTTGGCTCCAGGGGAGTTGCGTGCTGACTGCCTGCAACATGAGCCGAGCTGCTGGTGTGGCCGGTTGGGTCAAGCGGAGTTGCTTCCTGACGCTCACCTGACTCCGACTGGCCGGATGATGGAGAGGGTAGTATAAAGGGCTCAGCCAGTAGGACAGCAATCTGATCGCTGGCTTTGTCCTTCAGCAGCCTTGCTCGACGTTGCTGCAGAGAACGGACTCTAGAGGCAAACGTGCCAACAGCAATATCTTTGGTACTGGAACCTATCAGAGAACCAGTCCATTTCAACATATCGTTGAACGAAAACTTCGAGGCATTTTTGAATGTAAGTAGCTCCAGAACGACATCGTTGGTGACAGGAAAATCACTCGTCTTCAAACAGGTAAGAGCTTCGTCTGATTTCAACGCATTTCTCAGTTTGCTTGAATAAATACCAAGCCTCCGACATGCAGGTCCAGGGCTATTCTCCTCCTCATCGGCCATGAAGAATTCAAATATTCAAATTCTCGCTGTAGAGAAATACAGAGCAGACAAATATTCCTTACCGCCTGGAACCGCTGCAAACTAGATGAAGAAAGACGATCGTTCTTACCTAATTTTGGGACGAGGAACACGATGGAAGAATCACCGTCCGTCAACGCTCAAAGGAACAACATCAAAATCGCGTTCAAAGTTTTACGGCAAGACGTGGGAAGTCCCATCTCACGACTGTGACCTCGAGTGAGACACCAAACGAAAGCTAAAAATCTCCTCTGTCAAATGGCTGTCATCTCCTTCTTCAACAAACTACAAGTCTAAAAAAAAATCAATATTTCCACGTGGCACATTTTTGTGCCATGCTCACGTCATAAATGCATGCATGACGCGTGACGAAGATTTTTCACCGTGCTGTCACGTGACTGAACTCCCTAGTATAATTATGGAGTAGGGTCGGTAAGGAATACAGTCATGTAGATCTACAGTCAGTAGTATGTAGATCTACTGTCTGTAGTCTCCACAAAACGGTATCACTCAGATCATCTGGCCTAGCCTAGCTGGCCTAGCTAGCTGGTGCACTGCCACTGAGTGCCAGTCTACCACTGTACTAACTAGATACATGTAGTGCCACACTGGCACTGCACTAGTACTAGTAGATCTACGTAGCAGGTCTACAAATACAATGTAGTGTAGTACTACCGGTAGTAGTACTAGTAGTATAGTGTAGTACCTAGACTACGTGTAGGCTAGCGCCTAGACGCTAGAGCTAGAGGAGATCTTAGATCATCTACCAAACTCAAGCCAAGGCAAAGTCAGTAATGTCAAGACTCAAGACTTGACGTCCAGTGTCAGAGAAAAACACTGGATGCCAAGTCTGTACTCCATGATCCATCTACACGACTACAGCCTCTCTCTGGTCTCTCTGGTCATGTAGTTCGGGGAGATTACCTAGAGCCTGAGGAATGGTAACTAAAATTAAGTTATTTCGGTATGTCATGTCAGTCATACTGTGGATAAGCAGACAGTCAGAGTAAAAACAATGGCCAGTGCAGTCACTGTGGTTGGTACCAGGGAGCCTTACACATACTAGTATAATCATTATGGTCACAGGTTTATAGGGCTCCCTGGTTGGTACATGAATCATGATGCAGCAGGTTGTATACTCTTTGCTGATGCCGTGATCATGGTGATGGCACTGTTTAGTGTTTACTGTAAAACCGGAAAGTTTAACGACCAAAAGGTTTCGATGGACTTCTCGTGTGCTCTGGATGGCAGTCGTGAGTCAGTCAAGTGAGAATTCAAGTCGGCAGGAAAACTGCGAGCTCCCATGTAGGGAGCCACACACACTTCCCCTACTATCGCCGAAGTCGCACCAACCTCTTCTTTTCACAAAAAGTTTAACGTTTTTTGTAATTTTGGCATGATAACGTGCAGAAACGATGGCTATCTGGCCACCCAGCTGTATGCACATCTTACACAGGCATCTAAAACCGGGTTCGCGATAACGTTTCTTCAAAATTAATAACGAAAAAAAGGCCGTTTCGGTTAAAACGTTAGACTTTCCGGTTTTACAGTACTCCAGGTTAGTCCAGCCCATAGGCATAGCTAGTTCACCATTTCCCAGGGGTGTAGCAGCCGGTCCGGCCAAAGGTCCGGAGTCCGGACCACTTTTTTGCCCAGAAATGCCCAGAATGCAGGATTTTGCACCCTAATTTCAACATTTTCCCAGGGGACCCCCATCCGACCGATCCGCGGACCACCTCCAACGGCGGTGCTACGCCTGTTTCCCTAATATTGCCACATTCTTTTTCCGGAATTCCAGTGCAGGCACTAGTACTGGATAGCCTAGCCCAGAGGCAGAGAGTCTTTTTTTCAGCTACATGTACATACAATTGTGCTGAGTCACTACTAAGCAACAGTGTAGAATGGCATTGTACCAGTGGCACTGGTCTTACTGTATCACTAGTCTGGGCACTGAGTCCACTGACTGTATGGTGATGGGGCAGCCGGCATAGGCAGGGGAATGATGTATGAGAGGCACCACCAAACTGACTGAAGGATGACTACTAGTACTACAAAAACTAAAAACACTGTCATGTGTTGTGATTGCGAAGTGGAGACCACTTGAACAGTCACCTATTACTTTCACACTGAAACTCTATGATCTAGCCTAGCCAGGCCAGGGTCTAGAAAGGTTCACTGACATTGTCAATGGTGAGAAGAAGCAGCAGCTCAAGCACTTTGAAGAAGTGGGTATGCAACTAATCTATTGGTAGTATTACAATTTGCTAGTACTTCGTACCCGGGGGGGACCATGGCGGCCAGGCCTATTAGTACTCCACTTACCCCAGGGACTGCTAGTACACTCTACAGTCAATTTTGATTTTTCTTCAGACTTTTTTGAGTTTTTCCCTTTTCAACATCCTCAACTGCTGAATATTGGCAGTACATGTACTGATTGTCAAAATGTCAAAAAAACAACAGCACTACGTGTATTTCATCTGCACATTTGACCATGTTAGCATGTTAGCATGGGTCCATGCAGACCCTCCCCTCCTTCGCAACAACGGGAGTTCTTCTTATCCATATTGTGGTATTGTTTATTCTTCTTTATTTCCACTTTTGTATACCCAGTGACTACCCAGTGATTTATCCAATAGAGTTACGAATGCTAGCTCTTCTAAAGCGAAAGTTTGTTTTATTAGTGTTCTTCCCTGAACCGTCCACCTCTCTCCACACTGCACTCTTGGCCCACATACAACACCATACTCAATAGCGAGGAAGTTCGTTCCATATCCTCTAGACAGCTGTTTCGCTCAAGTATACCCTAAAATCAAATTTTCACCAGTTGTAGTCTTCTGGGTGCTGAGTCGAATGGTCTTGGTCCGAGGAAGCTGCGACGCTCCCTTCCTACTTGAATCCCAATCGAACTCGCGCACTTCCACCGAAACTGGGTGACTGCGCCCTACTAGATGGGGATTTGTATGCAAAATGTCACTAAAAGCGCCATTTCGTTCTTATAAAAGCACGGATGACCGCGATTGGCCCATATGTTGTAGTCTTTTGGATGCTCAGTCGACTGGTTTTGGTCCGAAAAGGCTGCGATGCAGCGTTCCTCCTTTATTCCCAATCGAACATGGTTGAACAAGCGGTCACGTGCTCCTGGGTGCCCAAATCACCTGGTCACCGCGCCAGTAGGCGACAACTTTCACACCAAGGTTCAACTCGAGTTCAACTCGAGTGACAGGACTGCACCCAAAAAAGGTCAAACAGGCTAGTAAGTTGTACCCTGCAGGCACGGTGACCAGGTGACTGGTGTACGCAGGAGCACGTAAACCGCTTGTTCAACCATGTTCGATTGGGAATAAAAGAGGAACGCTGCATCGCAGCCTTTTCGGACCAAAACCAGTCGACTCAGCGTCCAAAAGACTACAACATAGGGGCCAATCGCGGTCATCCGTGCTTTTATAAGAACGAAATGGCGCTTTTAGTGACATTTTGCATACAAATCCCCATCTCGTAGGGCGCAGTCACCCAGTTTCGGTGGAAGTGCGCGAGTTCGATTGGGATTCAAGTAGGAAGGGAGCGTCTCAGCTTCCTCGGACCAAGACCATTCGACTCAGCACCCCGAAGACTACAACTGGTGAAAATTTGATTTTAGGGTATACTTCCCCTTTAAGAGCTCCGCAGTGGAGCTAGGTAGATAACGAATGAATAGCAGATAAAGGAATGTAAAAAGGAGAAGAAAACACATGAGAACGAGTTATGCAGCAACTATCCACGACTGTAACATTTTCGCTGCGCTCACCTTCCCCTCTTCGGTCCTATGTAACCATGAACCTTCCAAGTTGGAAGGCTGTTGGTTTGCGCACTGGAGATGTGTGTTAGACTTAGAGCTAGGTCTCAGGTTGCTGAATGTCTCAGTAGCCTGTCAGTTTTGTGCCCTATTTATCGCGCGTTCTGACTCTTTATCATCTTGTTACAGTCGTGGATAATTGCTGCATAACTCGTTCTCATGTGTTTTCTTCTCTTTCAATTGCGCACTTTCTACATAGAAAAGTGGCATACCCAAAGAAGCTGAAGGTGACAAAAGTTCTAATGAGCGAAACACCTGTCTGGAGGATATGGAACATCTATCCAAGAACGAACTTCCTCGCTATGTAGTATGGTCAAGAGTACATACCCCCCCCCCCCCCCCCCCCCAGAGTGTGCAACGCCTGATCCAGCTTTGCATAGGGTCTTGGTCGAGCAAAATCGGATCTTTGGGTCATATTAAATACTGTACACATCTGAGGGGAACCCGGGGAGTCGCGGGTACTCTCGGATCAAAAAACAACGGTGCCCTGTCTCGAGACCGGCCTTGTGCTGGTGTGGAGTGTACGCATGACATCAGAAGATCTGATTACGCTCGACCAAGACCCTATGCAGAGCTGGATCAGGCGTTGCACACTCTGGGGGTTATGTACTCTTGGTATGGTGTTGCGAATGTGGGCCGGCCAAGAGCGCAGTGTGGAGAGGTGGACGGTTCAGATTATTCTCAAATGGCCAAGTTTGTCTCTACATCTGAGTGCTCTTCTTAGTGAGGTTTCACTGTACATGGAAGCGAATGTAAGAATGGTTCTGACGATGTTCAAAGCAGGGATGCATAGCATCTCGGCAGACAACACAGAACAGCAGTGCGTACCCGAATCGATGTGCATTTCGAACCCAGATTAGGTACTTCTCTAACGTTATGAGATTCATGGTCCAGGCGAGATAGGATTGCGATCCAGGCTGAAACTTGCTGATCCACTGATCAGCACTGCTCCAAGAGGGACTGGACTGGGCAGCCCCGGGAGCCAAACCAACATCAAGTCATGCTCGCCCATGTCGCAGCCCTAGATATTACAAACCCCTGGTCCCAGAAGATGTACACGACCATGTATACCATAGCTTAGGCGTGGTTCCACGACTACCATTACATTAGACGGCCAATCATTAGTCATGAGTCTCAATGTCCACTGAAGTGGAGGGACTACTAGTATGCAAAAGCTGAAGAAAACAGCTTGCATACGGCACTACACACACAGTGCTATCGTTTGCACACGATCCAGGGAGTGCAGCAGGCATCAAATGTTTGGAGTGACAAAGCTATGCCATGCATGCAGAGAGTTTAGAAATCATGGTATTGGTAACTCAATTCAAGATATTTAAAAGTTATTTAAAAATTCAAGTACTTCAGAAGCATTAAAAAAGGCACACAGGCACACTTACGGGGTGATTTTCTGATGAAACACAACACTCTGAAATGCACCAGAAAGACACAAAAGGAAGACCAAAACACACCAAAAGGCCACAAAATACGACTTCGACATTTCGATAAAAACTAGAGTACGTTGTCAACAGAGACAGTCCAGGTCAGGAAGAATAAGAAAATAGAGGTGAAAACGTCAGAAAAGAGTGCATGGGTTGAAAGGAAACATTGAGAGGTCTTAGCTGCATGCTGGAGTGAGTCCTCTGCGATCAGGAGTCATCCAGAGTTGACAGATACTGCTCGACAACATTGCGCTCAACAGCTAGAGACAAATACTCCACACCATCTTGCCCCTAGACAAAGAGAACAAACCCAGTGATACAAACCCAGTGATACAAGCCCAGTGATTAGGATGGGTGTACATGGTCACTGTATGTGTATAGACTTTAGAGGGCAGTGTTTCGCTGATGCACTTCACCATACGGTCAGTTTGTCGTCTCCCATCCACAATGTACAGTGTACATGTGAGGCCTAGTAGGCATTTGTGAAACTTGGCCGCAGTGACTCTGAGCTCTGCTGCTGGTTGTATGCAACACAGTCGAAACAACTACAGTAGCTGACCACCGGAGACTGAGTGTGGGCATGGTGCTGACCGTTTAGCAAGCATGGAGAACAGTCAAGCTATCAACGCCAGCTTGGTGCACCTGCCTTAGAGGAACTGCGAGAACAATTCCTGGGTTTCTGGCCCGGTTCAGGCACCACGCAAAGACCAATCCGTCCAAAGCAACTGGCAGCGACGGCACCCTACAAAAAAAAACTAGACCTTTGCTCACATAACGCCACTCTTCACTCCTGGATATACCTCGGTGCACATCTCGTCTACTCATTGGCATTGCTGCCAACACTCAAGAAGATTCCGGGAAAGATTGCGTTGAAGGAACCGATGTCTGTTTTCAAAGCAAACAATGTCCCTCCCGAGTGCACAGTAACATGTACGTTTGTAAAGACAACTAACTCTATGGATGGTGCCCTCTACCTCCTTTTTGCATTTGACCTTTTTTTGCAGCCAAGCACAATCACCATCTAACTGCAATCTGCTCTTCATTAACGTAACTGCTGCACTAGTAACTACTGGAAAGCGTGAAATTTTCGCGGCGTTTTTAGTTCGCGTTTTCAGAATCCGGACAGGTTTGCGAGGTTTTAATTTTGCGATTGCAGAATGGCATTCTCGCTAAACCTGTGGCATTCTTGCTAAACCTTTCATGGATCTCCTTTTCGCGCTGTCTAAATTTCGCGATTTCCACGCGGTCGCGAATTTCTCAGAAATTAGACCATGGCAATAATTTCACGGTTTACAGTAGTCACTTCGGTGTGGAGTAATTTAGTAGTTGCACCAGACAATAAATTTCTCAATGGGGCGAGTAGTGCTTTTCAACTCTTGTCTATAAAAGCCACTTGGTATCACTGTCTGCTGCTGTGAATGAATGGCAGCTACAATAAAAATTCCAACTGACATTCTGAAGACACACTCACCTTTTTCGACTTGACAAGCTTGTGGTCAAGGAATTCCGTAAGCTGTGCTCGCAAAGCCTGGTCGCTACTGACGAGAAAGCTCTCTTTGCAGTGAGAGAACAGGTCTTGGAACGCCATACCTGAAGTTGAGAACAAGATGCGAATCACTGAATCAGACCAACGTCTGGCAAGGTAAGTGGGCAATTCAATGACTTAACTATCATTTCAGTGAGCAATGGAAAAAAAGGAAATAAGTGAAGAAAAATGGACTGACATCAGCAGGGCGTTGGAACAAGGAGTATGTACGCTCGGCCTAAACAACTCAGGATTAAATTGCAGGGAATGGAGGGAGACCCTAGCAACCCAGCCTGTTGACCGCCATAATAGATGGGGCGTGATACTACTAAGGACCTGCCTGTGTAAATCCAATGCATCCTTAGTCAGTAGAAGTGATAGCAAGTAAAATCAAAGGTAAAGGACCTGCATATGAATATGAAAAAGCTAACCTGGGGCGGTACTAGAAGACTCCCGTTGAAGCTCGGCTTCAGCTAGCAACTTGAAGATTCCCCTGAACATTCAAAATCCAACAAACGTGTTCACACATACCAATACTGAAGTACACATTTGCACACATATGATAGACTGGATTGAATGGCCAGGAGGGCGAGCAAACATTTCTTCATGAGAAACGACATTGCGAAGACCAATCGAAGGGAAACGTTCAGCAGAAAAGAAGTATGCATATACCACTGACATACCTTCCATTGCGTGTAAGGGATTCCATGACGTGTACGAGAGCTGTGTAGACCAGTTTTCCAGTCTGTCGCACCATAATAGAATTCTCATAGGAAGTCTCTTCGATGTAGTTGCAGAATGTGTGTACCTCCTGCCATAGCCAATTGAACTGAACGAGACGGGAGCCATCCCACACTGAACAGACAACACATTCAAACTTACTACACTCAAAATAAGGCCGTGAGAATATGTTCTGTATACCTGTGTGTACATTAAAAATAAAATAAATTTTACGGTTCGCGTGAGACTCGGCTGGAAGCCGAGTTTTCCGCATCCGCCGTGGGAACGCCACCACCCTCTAGGATCAAAGGCGCAGATGCAGCGCCTAAACGGCGTAGGTCAATAGGGCTTGAAAGTGATGACGTCAAAAACGGCTTGGGAGTAGTAAATTGACATCAGATTTCTATTTTGGATCCACTAAGGTGTGACTTTGCTATTGCCTCAGTATGTGGGTGCATAGCAACCTACTCATGTCGTATGCAGGTGCAACTTTTACTTCGCCACCAGTTGTCACCCCGCCCCCACTAGCCAAATCAGTCAGTTTCACTGGCAACATCACCTTGCTGTGAGTGAGACCGCTTGAAATGTGCTTGGATCCATACAAAAACTGGATCCAGGTGATCCAGTTTTCGAATTTTTCAAATTGTTGCTATGCCATTGCTATGGAGTGACGTAGCACTTTCAAGCCCTATAAAATTAATCGTATCACGCCACGCTCGAGCGCTAATAAATCCTTGCTATTGAAGGCACATGCACAGCATTCGTACTTCGTGATCAATGAACGTAGCAGTGAGTTAGAGTACTGTAAACCGCCCAATACTCGCGTCACTAAATTTTCGCGATTTCTTAGAACCAGCGAGTTTGCGATGGCAAAAGTTCGCGAAGCACTGGGGCCGCTTACATACACCCACTGTTGAAGTTAAATTTCACGATGATTAATACTCACGTTACGCTCTTCTCGCGAAAATAGCGAACATTAATCCGTCGCGAATATTAGGCAGTTTACAGTACGCCACAAAAAATATTTGCAGTTCTCAACAGCATACAAAACATACTGGTTGGAACGTTGATGTGGTCACTGCTTGCGATTATGTGGATGTTCCGACATTGGGCCAACTCGCTTAGATAGCCTTGTATCTACATTGTAGGTAACACAACAAATGAATATACATACCAGTATACATGTACATGAAATGGGGATTGCAAGGATCCACGTTTACACGTACATGTACATGACAGGCACGCAAACACACACACACACACACACACACACACACACACACACACACACACACACACACACTTGTACTTGTTGCTCACTGCCAAAACTGGTCACGTGGGTCTCCCCGGGAGAGGGGAGAGAGACTCAAAAGGAATCTTGGAAAGATGACTCAATTGGCTATTGAACCGCCCAACTGCAGACACCCCCTGAAATCCCCAAAACTCTGGGTGGACTTGAAAATTATCCCACTTATGGGCTCACCACACCTCAGTAAGTGGGTGAGGACAAGGTGCAGAAAAAGGATTGACGGCATCAGGGTATCCGTCCCGGGATCCAACTGCAGTTACCCCTGCCCCCAGTGAAGGTAATACTTGCTACTAGTGTGGGTGGCTAAATCAGAGTGGATCTGATACAAGCTTCACTAGCACCATGATCACACAAGAGTTAATCTAGCCAGAAGTAGTCCATGGTTAACAGGTATGTATACTTCAAATAGAAAGTATATGAACCGTGAAACCAACAAAGGTGGTAGATACAACATTACACCTTCAAGCAGCCGAGCCCGTTGGCAACAGACCCGACACTATCCGGCATAAGTGTACCCACCAACCGAACTAGATGGCACACACACACACACACACACACACACACACACACACACACACACACACACACACACACACACACACACACACACACGTGAGCATGCACAGTTGCACACCCATACACATGTCCTCGTGCTCATACACAACCACCACCGCATTCAGCACTACACATATCCAGGTGACATTTGTTCATAAAAGGTGCAGTTACGTAGTACACGGCACCTAATTGACCCCAGTCAACAATCACTGCAGCTCTGTCAAAATACAACAGATCAATCGCAAAGGAAGAAAGTGGTTTTCAGGAATTCCTGAGCTCTGCGCTATAATAAAGGTCACGTAGCAGTGCACGACTGTCTTCTAGAAAATGTTCAAAGTTTACAGGCGCTCAATTTTTCAGAGCTGCATGATGAAAATCCCAAATGATCTTTTAATATGGTTAAAAAAAAAGGAGCAGAGGGAAACCCCCGAAAACAGGGCATTGTTAATTGTAGACCCCTTGCTGTGGCAGGGCCACCCATACATCAGCACCGGCCTGATGTACTAGTAATAGTTAGAACATGTGCAGTCCCAGGACACTGTTACATTCAATACGTCTTCAGTAGCATACTAGACTAGTATGCTACTGAAGACGTATTGAATGTAACAGTGTCCTGGTACTGCACATGTTCTACACAGGCTCTTACCTTGTCACTTCGTAAAGACACACCATCAATACAGTGCACCAAGATATACAGCTGCTCTGTACCTGCAGAAAAAGTGAACCGAATGTACAATGAGTATTCATACTACTGCAGATCATAGAATGTACAATGAGTATTCATACTACTGCAGATCATAGCTCCTAGAAATACATGGACAGGTACATGGTTCTCCACACTCCATTTCTTACCGCCTCTTGCTGGGCACCAACTGCCATAAAATGTAAATAAATACCATGGACCTGTGCACAGGGCGGGTCAAGAACAACCTTTCTGCTTCCGTGCCAACTGCCGTGGCTCCCAGTAATGAGATCAAGCGATCAGATGCAGCCAACTAACGCAACAAGAAGGGTGATAGGTCAATTGTCCTTCATTTCAAAGTGGCTCAAATTATTCAAGCGCGCAACACCTGGAGCACACACGTCGGCAGTTACTTCATGTGTTACACCTGAAAAAGGTCAGGACACTCGAATGGTTAGCTTGCGAGGTCGCTACAAACTGACCTTCACTGAAACGCTTGCATATGTACTGGCACTGGTCGCCAGGAACTCGAAACGTTGATGAACAACCAAGGTATTCAGTAAGTTGAGTAAGCACCTGTATACACATACACACACATAGCACATCATACCATGCTTGAGGATGACAGCAGGTCCAGGCGGAGGACACACTTTGGTGAGAACAGTGTTCCTGACTGCAACCATAAACCGGTTGCTATATGCTTGCATTATAGTTGCATATAACATAATTATTATGTCATACCAGTAGCATGTGTTAGATTATCCCAGAGGTTGGTTGCCACAGACACAAGTCTGCACATGACTTACCGAACGCGCTGAGTCACAGGATCTCTTTCTCAGTCCTGCTTCACGGTGTAGTCCACCGTCTCTCAGTGTGTCTGTCTCCCCTTATCGCTTCCCCCAATACTAAAGTCTACCTCAGCTTAAGTCGTCCTTACTGTGAGTGCTGAAAAAGGGGCTCTATGATAGTTCAACAATGGTGGACATCGTGGCGCTTGAACCCACAAACATGAGATTAAGAGTCTTATGCTCTACCGACTGAGCGTCAATAAATAGACAAAACAGTTACATATGGGGTTGTAGCCTTGGAAGTGCTTCCTGTTCTTTTCAAGCCACTACAAACCGCAAAGTTACACTGTGCAAACTGATTGTGGTGGTGTGTGAAGGAGAGCTTTGTGCCGGAGTGCAGCTTTGTAACTCAATGATTTTGTGTGGGCAGGTGTGTGGTTATTGCCTTTTCGCCAGGTGTGTCTGAACCACCAAGATATTCAACCATAAATGCAGCTGCCATGGAGTCCTGAAATTCATGTAGAGTTTATTCTCAGCGTATTCACAGTGCCCATGTTCACACATTTCCTAAAAAGTAAAAACTCTTGTAATTGTCCTTACGTCTTTGAACTGCAGGCCGGGAAAGTATCCATTGATGACGATATGCAGGTTTTCTTGAAGATACTCGTTGCGAAACTCTTCTAAAAGCTGGCGCTTAGAGCCCAATCCATACAATAATAAGTTTGATCCTTGCCTGAACGGCAACACGGAATATAAGAAAACATTATCACTGAGTGCACATGAAGTGCTAGTACACTTTAAAGCTATCACTCGACCTGCACAGAGAGGATGGGGGGGGGGGGTATCACTCGACCTGCACAAGAGAGGATGGGGGGGGGGTATCACTCGACCTGCACAAGAGAGGATGGGGGGGGGGTATCACTCGACCTGCACAAGAGAGGATGGGGGGGGGGGGGGGTATCACTCGACCTGCACAAGAGAGGATGGGGGGGGGGGTATCACTCGACCTGCACAAGAGAGGATGGGGGGGGGGGATATCACTCGACCTGCACAAGAGAGGATGGGGGGGGGGGTATCACTCGACCTGCACAGAGAGGATGGGGGGGGTATCACTCGACCTGCACAAGAGAGGATGGGGGGGGGGGGGGGAGGGGGAGAGATAAGGAAAACAAGGTCAATGTATGAATTGCACCCAGTACACGTACAGTGTTGCTACACAGACAGAAGTCAATATCCAGTTGATGGTGGGTGTCAGTGCAGTTCGCTGCATGTGAACTGGCTCAGGTTGACATTGCAGCATTTGTTAGCACAGTACGCTTCCCCATTACCAGCGTGGGTCTTGAACCCGAGGACTCGTGATTCACACATATTATGAAGGTACAGCCAAAGAGAACTGGCCCCATATAGGGCATGGTTGTGAGACAGGGTCAGCTTCGCTTTGAGGCGCTGCATCTGCCAAGAAAAGGTTCCATACAAATCAGGTGCAGAGACGCCTGGGACAAGCAAACTCCTACAGTAAGCTGGGTATGTCTCTCAAAACATACGCCACAATGCGCATGTGCCTGCCAACAGTTGAAAATCTTCAGTCACCAGACTCACCACAGACCCCAACCATCTTCACTTACTGCAGAAGCAAAGACCAGTGCGAAAAGCGTGATGTGTAGCGAGAGTGGAGCTGTGAGCGATGACTCTTGTGTCCATCCGGTGCATCCTGTAACAGGGCTCGTACTGCCTGGCAAAGCATGCCATCAACATCAACACAACAGATAGACAAACACACGAGTGCATCGACTAGTGAAACCATTGGGGGAAAAAAAGCTGGTGGGATAGAGGTAGCAACGTCATAATTTTTTAATTTTTGAAGAGGTGATGTGACCAATAGCCAGCCATGGCGACAATAGAGTGGAAGAAGAAAATTTAGCCAGAGTCAAAAACTCAATCCTGGCCGCATTGAAAGTGAATTGCCTACTGTTGCTTCCATGACGCATGTCAGTCATGCGCTGAAGCCTGCCATCATGTCAATTCGAACCGCTGTGCCTGGCAGCCAGGAATGCATGCAGCATGAGAGCGGACAGTCATCACCTGACGAAGCATTGGCAAGTCATTCAGCAGCATTCGTTAGAAATGAGTTGCCAAACAAGTCCCCCAACCCCGCTGACGAGTCCAGAGTCGATTCGTGCTCGTTTACAAGCTGCAGAATATAACGTACGGCACAGTATTGTTTGGAAGGCATTGCACTCGGCCAGAAATACCAATTGCTGGTAGCCAACAGTACATTATAGGCTTGATATAGCACTGTCACACTAGCACTGTCACACTAGCACTGTCACACTAGCACTAAGCTAACGCATACCTGTAAATCCAGCATGGGCTGCTTCAAGTGTGCCAGAGTAGCATCAGACGTGGCTACACTGTTGTCCCCGTGCAAGTGAAAATATTCTTCATGGCCACTCAGCTACACATCAAAGCAGGTAACAGAAGAAGACAGCATTGGCACACTGCTTCTCCCTACACACCATGCACACTACAGCCAACCTACTTCAAAGCACTAAGTACAAATTGGAAGCTTAACATTATAATAGCATGGAGCAGTAAAGTAGCTTAGCTCAGTTTGAAAAGACAACCGAGAATTTGTAGACTTACAGTATGCAGGTCTCTGTGATTTTTGGTAATCTACGTGGGGGGTTAGGAGAGGGCAAGGAATAGTATGTTTAGTTATAGGGCTTCTGCACTGTTGACTTGATATAAAATAAGTTTTCTGCGGAAGCGAAAGGCCCAAACTTGGCCAAAGATGAAACTTATAGAATATTTTGATTTCGTGCTTCGAAAACTTCTTCAGCTCAGCACCCTCACAGCTTGCACAATGCGCTCCATTCTGATTTTCACTCACGTTCTGGCGAAACGTGGGTGAGCCTCCATACACGGTATGTCGTGAATCAGAAAACGGCTGTACGTGGGTCACGGAGTATCACGTGGTACACACACGTAAAGTACACACGGATTACGTGGGACTAAACCTCCCTACTGTCACACTGAACCTTGCAAAACCAAATTTCAGCCAAAACTTCCCAGGCCGAAAATAGTCGAAAGTTAATATGTGCCTTTAACATGGGAGACATTTTTAAATTATTGTTTTTGTATACATAATGCACGGGTGTGCACGTTGGTCAGGCTGCACATGGCTTGTGCAACACACATGGTGTGAGAAAACAATATCTCGGAATGCAGAAGAGGCTACATGTCCTACCTGTACTGGCTTGGATCCAGGTTTTGATCTGAGAAACACACACAAACGCACACACACGCACACACAAACACACACACATGCAAACACACACACACACACACACACGCAAACACACGTAAATCAAGCCTGCAGAGCTCCTCATTCTTTCTCTCTCATTAGAAAGGTTCCGCATAACGTAATTATTACGTTCGTAAAAACGTAGTCGATCTACGGAAAGTCTTACGTAAACTGCATGCGGATCGGCGTTCCGCCATACGGAGTTTTCAAATCACGTAGCTGCCCTTCAACCTTGGCAACTCCGAACGCGGCATGTATGACTGGATCGACCTGGGGAGTCATAAATTTGTACCCCAATCCACTTACAGAGCACCTACGTTATCAGAGCCCTATCTACGTACTCTACGTAGACAACTTTCCGTAAGTGGAGTGCAAACTCGCGAATTCACGGGTTTTTCCCGCCCACTAACGTAAAGTTGCTCAACTTTACGTAGTGCGGAACCTCTCTATTATCTCTGTGTTGTCTAGAGGCTACTGGTTGATGTGAACCACACTGAGTACCCCGATGTATGCCCATGCGTTTCTATCCCTTTACCCGTTCCTTCACTGTTTTGTTTGCGCACTTGTCTGTTCGGAAGTCTCTATATTCGTTCAGATACTTTTAAAAATTTGGAATGACCCTGTTTCATTGTGTTGAGGTCTTCCGCTATTTATTTGTTCTTTGGGTGTCAGGGGCCCTCTACCCGTTCTTTTTTTTTTAGCTGTTTTCATTTATGGGTTTGCCTGTTCGGGAGTCTCTATTTGTCCAGACCCTTGAACAAAGTTAAATGACCAAGTTTCACATTGCTTTCTTCTTCTAATTCACTGTCTGTGTTGAGGTCTTTCATGTTTCCGCTTTTATACATTTTTTTAATTTGGGTGTCAGAGCCCCTCCGCACGTTCTTTTTCCCTGATTTTGTTTGTGTGTTTAGTGTTTACCTGTTTGGGAGTCTCTCTATTTGTCCAGACCTTTGAACAATGTTGAATGACCATTGTTTCCATTATGCCGGCAACTTTCGAAAGCGTCATGAAGGACGTATTCAAAAATTCCACTGTTTTTTTTGCCTATACCGGTTTGTGCGTGAGCACGCACGTGTGAGGTGAATGTTAGAGTATGTTCGTTTGTTCATTCGTTAACATCTAGAACGTTTGAATCGTCAAATTTTACGTTCGTTTCAGCCCTATTTCCTCAACCCATAGAATCCTTAGGATGCCACCACAACAATAGGTCCAAGTATTATACATTCATACTAGAAGGTAATTCAAACTTAGAACACCGTGATAGCAATAAGGTTAAGGCATACTTCTTTCTGGAATTCATCTGTTGCTTGGATGTAGTCTGAGCAGCACTATCAGTGGAATCACTACAGGCGCTGTGGCGAGACTCATCATCGGAGTCACTGTCACTTGTGGATTGCCCAGACTCTCCCTGGCTGTCCAAACCATCATCATCTTCATCGTCATCACCTGTATCAAGAAAGGCAACATCAAGGATGAACACAGGTCAAGATGCTTATCACGTCCAAACACCAGCAGGTTCTCCAGCAACTCAACATACACTGTATGCGACAGAACAATGCACACAAGCTATAACGGCTGCTACTCCGTGTTTCATGAACATGCACGGGCATGAGCTGCAATCATCAGACTACATAATGACGATTTGAATGCAAAAACCAACAAGTCTATTCTGTCGCTTCTCGGATAGTGGCCAGAAAAAGGATTAATGTTTTAAGTGTATTGTTATCCAATCCATATTTCAGTCGAGATTTTGAAGTGGCTCTCTGGTTGGATGTTCAAGGTGAAACTTGTATGAAGGTGCTACATAGCCTGTTGATTAGGGACACTGAGCCAAAATCTCAATTTCCAAAAATTGACACTTGTCACATTCTGCATCTAAGGCCAAGTAAAAAAAAAGCTAGATGATCGTCCCCGTCCGCCCCAGTTTTTGTCAGCGCCCCAAGAAATATTTTATTTTTTAAATCGTGAGTTTTTGCCGAAATCGTTGGTTTTTTACCGATCGCGGATGCAGGAAACATGTGCACGCTTTGTTTAATACTTTCTTTACTATATGGACCACATACTACTAGTATATCACAACGTCAGTATCGATCTGCTGAAGAAAGAAAAAGAAAAAAAGAAAAAAAAAGAAAAAAAGAGAAAAAAAACCTTGATGTTGTTGTGTACACTGTGTGCATGAGAGGGTAAAAAGTAAAAAAATAAAAATAAAATCCTCCCGCCCTCCCCGATTTTTCCAAAAAAAAGGACGATCATCTAGTAATTTTTTTTACTCGGCCTAAACCGTTCATATTTTCAGCAAATATACTGAGAATTTCTTGTACCAACGTACCTGGGAGAAATATGAGAAACAAAAATTTAATATGTGAACAAACGGCGAGGAGACAACAATTTGATAACCGCAATCAGTAATACAAGCTGGATCGACATACTCTTCGTTCACTGTATTGTGCCGTGGTCGTCATGGTTATGGACTACAGTTAAAAGTGTTGGAAGCTATCTATCAGCGTCTGTACAAGCCTAATTTGTGTGTACAGAAAGATAGTATAATTGGGTTGAAATTGTTCAAGTAACGTGTCGTGTTTAGTGCGGCCAAGCTTGGCCGTTAATGTTCTAGGTGTAATGTACTGCTGTTATGTGTTATCACGTTGTCTTTCCTTCCTTTCTCCTTTGTTCATTTCTCGCTTTGATTGTTAAAATTCCCACTTGTAAATTTCACTGTTGTTGCTCTTAGTGTTATTTCTCTAGATTTTCTATAATAGTTCAATTTTTGTTTCAGTGTCCTTTAGTACAACGACGATTCCTGATGAGTGTTGTACGAAAACTTGCTTGAATCCCTTTCTTTCTCTACACAATTTCTTCACATTTTTCATCGTTTTATTGCACATTGTCTCCACAGTTTTACAATACATGAATACAGTGTACACAAATGTCGATCCAGCTTGTATTACTGATTGCGGTTAACAAAATATGTTTTCAATATAAAAAAATTAAAAAGAGGTGATCATGCCAAATCCAAAAGTTGAAACAAGAAGTCACAACAGAACAATTTGCAAAGGAAACATACCAGTCTGCAGTCGTTTCCGCTTCCCCACAGTTGGCTGTGCAAATTATACATAAAAGAGAGAAGGAGAACTACGTAAACTGGGTAATTCTAACAGGAGAGATCTTCAGCAACTTCCATCCCAGCACAACAAATACAGTGAATGCTGATCTGAAGGATAGAGATTCTCATCTGGCGAGGCTGAATGACAGCAAAAACACTCCGTTGACTCCAATCACTGGCTTTACAGTACTACATTTATGCTGAAGTTGGTTGTTCCCATGAGGAACACACGCTTCCTGCCGAACTAAGTACATTTATGCTACTACAGTTATGCTATAACCCAGTGGTATTGCTCAACAAACACTATACACTAATGATGGCACTCACAAGTTACAACCATACTACCGGTACGCAGCACTGTAGTAAAATAACGCCACTTCTATCACTTTTACTCACCAAAATGTCCCGTGAAATTTACCTACTGCCATCTAGCTGACGAACTCGAATAATTCATTGATACCCAAAGACATAACTATAAGAATGCATACATGTACACTCAAACACAACTTATCCAGACACCGTACGTACGGGCACGTCTCTCCACCCAGCACATTCAGCTTGGGTTGCCTTGGTAAAAAGATGCTACGATTTCCAGTAGGGTTCAAACGGGTGTACCTTTAACTAACGAACGGGTAATTTTCTTAAAGCGGGTTAACGGGTACCCTTTAGCAGCCATGTTTAATTTTTGCACAATTTTCACATAATTCATGATATTAATTTATCTGTTCTCAGGTTGAATTTTGATATCACATTATGATTCGCAAATTGATTTGTGTCTGATAGTTGCAGAGGTAGATCTACTGGGTGCAAAAACGCAACAACAATGCAGACATCCGGCGTGGAGTTGTAAATAATTCACTCCCGTCTGGAATGCGCAATCCCAGCAGTGTTGCTCTGTACTGACTGGATCACCGAAATCCAAATGGGTACCCTTTTACTAACGGTACCTGAGGTTAACGGGCGGGTACCCGGGTACCCGGAACACCCCCTTGACCCCTAATTTCCAGTCCCCCCCCCCCCCCCCCCCAGCGAACTCTTGTGAATATCAACCTGTATAATCACTAATCACTACACATTTTTCATTAATGCATTCTTGTTATGCCTTTAATAGGTGTGCAATGTGCGCAGAAATACACACCATCAAAATTGGTCTAAATGATAATTTATTATGATATAATTATGGTAAATGAGCTGTCCTGAGTTATGAGCATATCTGAGATACGGGCAGTGCCCGGTCCCCAGGTGCTCAGACCAAGACCTCCAACTTCCTACCGACATCGCCTTATGAGGTCATGTGCGAACGGTGCTTACTTTCAGCTTTCCTGACTGGTAAAGCGATGACTTTCTCCGCCGCTGTGCTCCAAGTTTGAACAGGTCAGCACCCTGCACTGTACATACTATAGAACGAACATACAGTACAAACACGCATGCTCAGCCTGCGAACAGTACTGTTTCATTCACGTACATACTGCAACATCAATATAAACTACCGTATTATCTCTATTAGAAGCGCAATCTCTTGTAGAAGCCCAGTCTCTATTATAAGCGCACTCCAAGAGGGCTTCGAAAATATACAAGCGCAGTCTCCAATATAAGCGCAGGGCTTATAATGGAGAACTGTATGGATCATGTCCATGCATGTTTGACATCACAAAGTGCCACATATCCACATGCTGATTGCTGTGGTAAAAGTCTGTGATCCTCGAGATCTAAATTCAGACTCACTCAGTGTACCAGGAAGCACAAAACTGCAGTCCCGGTACCTGCTGGGAAACTTTGTGCCACTGATACAAAGAAAAATAATAAGCAATGTACATGTACCAGGTGGTTGAAAATTATAAGCCCAGTCTCTAATATAAGCCCGGGGTCCGGACTGGTTGAAAAAATATATAAGCGCGGGGCTTACAATGGAGATAATCCGGTACAGTCAACTTCGCGAATAACGACTGCGGATATAACGACAATTCGCGAATAACGACCAAATTTCCATGCCCAGAGCAAAGACCCATCTAACTGTATACATTTAACTTCGGATATAACGACTATCTGAATAACGACAATTCGCGTATAGCGACATGCTTTCAGTGCCCCCAGGTCATATTCACTGCTTGAATAACGACTTTCTGGGCTTTTGACAGCTATTTCAAGTACCTGTCATGCAGAAGTACCAGAACCTATGGTGATGGATATAAAGGCACACATGCAAGAAAATACAGCCAAGGGGGGGGGGGGGGGCTTTTTCTTCCTTTTTTTATGTTGGCTTCAAAATTGTTGGATTTACCAGCACACCTACATGACATGTATATGTATACAATGTACAGTGCGTATCGGTTATAGCGTGGTCGTGTAAAAGAATATACCGGTACTGCCTACAAGAATGAACGCTCATGTTTTCATAATCATTACATGGATTTCAAGTGCACATTTATTCTTACAAGCAATTTTATCCCATAGTAGAATATATCGGTCCTAAGAATGGACTTTGTGTCCCGAAACATGCCAGATTAGTACAAAGTGTATCGCCTGTAGTAATTACAACTGTCCATTTCCGTTCTGATCTGACTCTCGTTGCGTCGTAGTGCTGCAGATTCCAATGTTGTGGTCATGTAACCCATGTTGCATAGCCACATGGTAAGCCTATGGGACTATGACCAGCCACATGCACAGAAGTACTGCGTTGCATGTACGATGATCTTCCTGCCCATGCGCACATGCATATGATATGCCACACTTGATTTATCGTGTGTAAGAAATATCGGAAATAAGAATAGAAAGTCGTTTTTCAAACACCCACGCTATAACCGATACCTACTGAAAATGTAGTTGTACATGATTGTACAGTAATCATCATACATGTACATGTCTCTGGCCCTGTAGATGGCTCAAAAAGGCATATTTTTCAATTGATTTCCCTTGCATATTGAATTTTTAGTTCCTTTCACTGCAATATGAAAATAAAGTACACATTGACATAGAGCAAGAAAAGAGCTTCATTTTGATATGCATGTCATACTATACAAAATATGGGTTCACATACATTCAAATGGGACTTCGGTTATAAGGACACTTCGCGAATAAGGACACTTTTCTGATGCCCCGCCGAATGTCGTTATTGGCGAAGTTGACTGTAGATCACAAACCTACAATCCTATTGCAACGTGTAGATGTATACAAGACTACACGTACCCTAGCCAGAACCGGTCCGGTTGGTCAAGCTACAGCTGGACCAACTCTTTGGCCACCAACACGTGTTTACTGCTGAGGTCATGTGTACCCGCCATATCATACACAAACTGTATGAAAGACTATAATATGGACAGGCCAATCAAAAACTGCTTCCACCAGTCCTGCATGCATGGCAAATCGAGGAAAGTTTCGTCAACAACTATTAATACATAAAAAAATCACAGTATGCTTGGCACAACATCTGAGCATGTGTCCCCAAGAATTGTCCATGTGCACGTCTTTGTCTTAAGCATCAACAGAGTGTGAGAAAAGACTGTCCATTCTTACAATGGACTAAGAGCTGTGTGTCGACACACAATCATCAGTCCTTTTCAGCACACTATATCCTTACCTGGAAATTGCTCGTTAAAATGATGATGCCTAGTTGATGTTTGTGTTGCTTCTGTGTCATCACTGGAGTCTCCCTCATCGGCCTTGGCAAATGAATATTTCTCGGCTACATTGTCTTTCCGGGCACGTGCTACACATGTTCACAAAATGTAAGATCAACAAAAAGATTTTAGTACCGCAATCAAGAAGACAAGCTGAATCGACATTTGTGTATACATGTACTTTGTTCATGCAGTGTAAAACGGTGGAGACATTCACTACTTCTTCCTACTTTCATCGTTTTATTGCGCATTGCCTCCACCGTTTTACACTGCATGAATAAAGCATACACAAATGTCGAGTCAGCTTGTCTTGTTGATTGCAGTACTAAAAATGTTGTCTCGCCGTTTTTTCAACAAAAAGTTGTTTTAGGATGACATTTGAAAGCACAAAACACTGTATTATTTGTATATGCAGCAATGAATAAAATAATGCGCATGCTCATATCACAAACATAGCAATTAAGGTTGAGTTCCAGAATGTTTTCTTGTCACACTTCTCAAAGGAATCTCGTGACTGAAGGAAATGGTGAAACAAAAATAGGATTCGATAGACTAATATGCTGGAGGAAAACAAATAACACATGACGCAAAGGAGCCACTGGAAATTTTGACGAGGCCTTTCGTACCACTACCGTATTTTCCCGAATAAAAGTCGACCTTCTGTGCGCCACAAATTTCGCCAAAAGCTGGGGGTCGACTTACAAACGGAACTCGACTTACATACGGGAGTCTGGCACAACAAATGAAGTGACTGGAGTGTCCGTACAAAAATGCACTACCGTACGAACCATGTGAACTTTCGTCCCGCGAGTGACACTGGTTTTGTTCAGATTTTGTCTTACTGCCATGATATGATCTCTCCTCGCAGAGAATTCATCATTTTGTATGTGTGGGTGTCATGGAGCTATAAAAACTTTTTTTCATGAAATTGACTCCTGGATTTGGGGTGGTCGACTTATATTCGGGAAAATACGGTACTCTTCAAAGTCGTTAGAATGGTGATATGAGCAGCAGCAGCAAACAAGTCCTTATATCTAGCTTTTGAGCGGTCAGAGCAGTGACAAGAATATCAACTAAGAGAGCAAGAGTGGCGCCAACTACATAGTGAAACCATCAACACAGAGCATATCAAACTGACACAGAGCATATCAAACTGTTGAAAAAAAACAGCAGGGAATGCGGTACTACGAAGTCAAAACAGTGACAACTTTCGCACATAGTTCTGCTGCACACATTGCTCAGGTTTCAGGTTGGCAATATACACCGCCTCCAGCACAGACAGGTAAGATTTGTCGCGCGCACGAGCTCAGATATTGAAGTGTGAGTGGATGTGTTTGCAGACTGCACTCAAGCAAACACAACATCGTAAACAATGTTGAAGAAGTTGAGGAAACGAGTTTGTTCATGACTGACTGCCCACCTCCCCACCAGAGTTGGGAATGATCTCTAACAGCAGTGACTGCCAGTATTTAAATGCCAATGATTTCAATACAGTCTAGCTTTACATACTGAACATGTTTGTGGCTTGGCTATGCGAGGCTACCCAACAGCTGAGCACATGGTGGAAAATATCATGGCTGATGAGCTCACGGCTATGGACAGGGTGTGGAGCATCAAGCTTTCCCACTGATCATAATGCCAGGTACCAAAGGTTACAAGTACTACTTGATATTATCCAGACCAGTGAGTGACCTTTGGATACACTGACTGGATGCTTTCTCTATAACATTATGTAGATGACAGCTATCAGACTGACAAACCCTCGCCGTTCAATTGCAAGAGGAGTAGGAATATGTCGGGGCTACGTACTAAGACACACACCACTGCACCTGCTTACGTGGAGAATAGGTCTTGCCCTCTCGGCTTCTGGTGGACGTAGCCACTCCTCATCGGCCTTCTACACAAATATATTCCAGGTTGTTATCGGAGAAGCAAAGTGAATTGCGTGCTTGTTCTTGTGCAATGTCATTTTTCATTGTCGTATTTCTGTCACCTTGCTGCAGGCATGTATCATCTAGTACCTGCGTAGCTCACGCACCCGCTCTTGTCTGGGGCCATCCTAGTCTTCTGCTGTACTGGCTGTAGCTGATGCTTGTATACAATAAAAAATTCTACTAGAAAGTTCAGTGTATTAAAACAAGATCGGTTTTTATATTGTGTTACTTTCCTGGTTGGCATCAGACAGAGATTACGCATATAATTAGTACTAGTTTCCTCCAAAAGTAGATAACAGTCGTACCTTTCAACATGCTACATGTGTTTCACTCACTAATTCAAACCAGATACATAGATCCCTACACACTTAGCTGAACTGAAAAGGGAGCACACCTTTTACGGTTCCTCCACCCGAAACATCCACAATGTGTTCCAGCACATCGTCGTCTGAGATGAAGGTGATTGAGGGGAGACACTGAGCCATAACATTGACAACTACAAGTAGACTATCCAATCTACTATTCCAATTTCGGGTACTACGTACATATTAGCCGAAACTGTTCTAACAATATGCTCATATCGCTTTGCTCAAACAACAGAAAGTCCTGGATGGAGGTACATGTAACTGATTACTTGATAGTCCACTGAAGAGTGAAGTTAGGTAAAGAAATGCAGACATCAAAACATCTCATTATTTCTTCTGTGAGCTGAAAACAGACTCATGTGAGCTCAGTGATAATATTAATATTATGATCTGGAGCATAATTTTGAAAAGCCCTCTTTATCACTCCCCCTCACGTGACCGCGGACTCCTGCATATACACTCACACAATAACCACACAACTGTTTGGGGATAGCGCGCTTATTGTATTATGCCAAACTTGGCACGCTGAGTCCAGCTTGACTCAGCTGAGTCCCTAACTGCAATTTACTGCTCTAACATGAAGCCGTGCCTGGAAGAAGGGAAAGAGCGAAAAAAGAAAGAAAAAAAATTCTGGCCTTCTGCAAGCAATAGCAAGTAATGAGTGACGGCTGTGTAAAGTCGCACAACCATGCAGTCGACCGGATGATGGTGAGTGTCCGGCACACATCTTGCTCTGCTGCTCCACCTGCGCATACCTGATACGGTGGTGCGCTTACGGGCGGGCTGCCTGGGCCCCAGATGCCTCCTTGATGCGCCACGGAGTGCCGTCGAAGCACCTGTATCACTTCGGTGATCCAAATGCGAATGCAGCCTTGCCGGTCGCCCGCCGGCCTGCCGCCTACGCGACCAGCCTGAGACTGGCCCTGCCGCATTTGGCGCTTCTAAACGCTGCGATCCGGTAGACAGCTCACTGGGCTGCCAAATACGTGACTGGCTTGAGGACAGTTCCATACTGGGCAGGGCGCCCAGCTCAGGTCGCACGCAATAGCGGCGTGAGCTGGGCGCGGTGAGGGTTGGTGATAACTACAGTTTCCTCCTTCCTCCTCCGGAAACTTCCATTTATCACTCCCCCTCACGTGACCGCGGACTCCTGCATATACACTCACACAATAACCACACAACTGTTTGGGGATAGCGCGCTTATTGTATTATGCCAAACTTGGCACGCTGAGTCCAGCTTGACTCAGCTGAGTCCCTAACTGCAATTTACTGCTCTAACATGAAGCCGTGCCTCCCAAAAATAATGGGGGTGGCCTCGCCGCACGCTATCCCCTATTCTTGGTCCCGTCGATCTCTGTGCTGTTCGCTGTAGACCTGTTATGGCATGCCTGATTCGGTATACAGTGAAACCAGTAGCTAAAGACCACCGTGACCAGCGACCAGCCTGGTACTACCGACCACTTCGCCGGGCACGGACGGTCTCACATTCATAATGGTTGTGCGGTGCAAGCCTGCAGCCAAGGACCACCTGCCACCAAGGACCGCTTTCTCTGGCTTAAAGGGGTGGTCGTTAGCCACAGGCTCAACCGCACATGTATCTCTTGCGGGTCAACCCTGACCACCTTCCGGCGGCCTGGAGCTGCCGTCCGGGCACCTTCCCGGCCGCCAGATCCTGTGTCAGCTTGAGGGCGTCTACCAAGGGCATTGCCATGAAGGACTGCTAGGCTTTCCCCTGGTTGGTAGCTCCTGCTGGTGCTGGGCACTACTGAATACGCTGACGATTTGTCAGCTTCCGCGGGTAGTGTTCGCACGGGGGGATACCTGGGCGCCCCAAGCCGGGCAAACAACAGCCGAAGGGCTGTCGTGTTGGATACAAGTGGGACTAGCTACCCGCCTGGTACTATGGACACCTTCGCCGGGCACGGACGGTCTCACATTCACAGTTTGCGGTGCAGGCCTCCAACTAAGGACCACCTGCCCCTCAAGACCGCTTTCTCTGGCCCCAAGGGGTGGCCGCTTAGTCAAAGGCTCCACCGCACATGCATCTCTTGCGGGTCAACCCTGACCACCTTCCGGTGACCTAGAGCTGCCGTCCAGGCCCCTTCCTGGTGGCCAGATCCTGTGTCAGCTTGAGGGGGTCTACCAAGGGAATTGCCATGAAGGACTGCTAGGCTTTCCCCTGATTGGTAGGTCCTGCTGGTGCTGGGCACTACTGAATACGCCGTCACAACTTTTCCGCTTCCACGGGTGGTGTTCGCACGAGGGGGATGCCTGGATGCCCCCCGCAGAGCCGACAACAGAGCCAAAGGGTTGGCGCGTTGTATACAATTATTAGTTTCTCAGTTATTCTTGTATTTTGCCTCTTTAATAGGTCGATGACGGCTTCCCGCCCGCCGATCGTCCAAAAAAAATATGGGGTGAGGCCCCTATCCTGCGACAGGCAATAAATGTGGCCGGGAGTATGCGCTAAGGGCCAGTCAGGACCTGCTGGGTGCCCGAGCTACGGTGCTAACAAGCAAATGCGAACAAGCAAGCTCGAAAGGAGATCTTCGGTTGCACTCCCCATCTCAGCTGCAAACAAACCACGCTCCGAGGGAGAGCTGCCCCTGCATTTTGCAAGCCTAGCTGTAAATATACAAAGCTCCAAGGGGAAATGCCCCTGCATTTTGCAAACATAGCTGTACACATCCAATGCTCCCAGGGGAGCTGCCCCTGCATTTTGCAAACATAGCTGTAAACTTCCAAGGCTCCAAGGGGAGCTGCCCCTGCATTTTGCAAGCATAGCTATAAACATCCAAAGCTCAGGGGAGCTACCCTTGCGTTTTGCAAACCTAGCTGTAAACCAACAAAGCTCAAAGGGAAGCTGTCCCTGCATTTTGCACACATAGTTGTAAGCATCCAAGGCTCCAAGGGGGGCTGACCCTGCATTTGCAAACATAGCTGTAAACATCCAAAGCTCCCAGGGGAGCTGCCTCTGCATTTTGCGACCACACCTGTAAACATCCCACTTCAAAAGCTCCCAGGGGAGCTGCCCCTGCAGTTTGCAAGCATAGCTGTAAACATCCAAAGCTCCAAAGGGGAGCTACCCCTGCGTTTTGCAAACCTAGCAGTAAACCTACGAAGCTCAAAGGGGAGCTGCCCCTGCATTTTGCAAACATAGTTGTAAACGTAGAACTAGAAGGCTCCAAGGGGAGCTGCCCCTGTATTTGCCAATATAGCTGTAAACATCCAAAGTTCCAAGGGGAGCTGCCCCTGCATTTGGCAAACCTAGCTGTAAACCTACAACGCTCTGAGGGGAGCTACCCCTGCATTTTGCAAACCTGGCTGTAAACATCCAAGCCCCAAGGGGAACTGCCCCTGCATTTAGCCAACATAGTGGTAAACATCCAAAGTTTCAAGGAGTGCTGCCCCTGCATTTTGTCCGCACAGCTGTAAACTAGTTTTAAAAGCTCCAAGGGGAGCTGCCCCTGCATTTTGCAAACATACTGCGGCTGTAAACATCCAAAGCTCCAAGGGGAGCTGTCCCTGCATTTTGTCGCGTAGCTGTCAACTAGCTAAAGCTCCAAGGAGAGCTACCCCTGCATTTTGCAAACGTGGCCGTAAACATACCCAGCTCCAAGCCCTTTTTTTTTGTTTCTTCTTCGCAAACATAGCTGTAAACATACCACGCACTAAGGGGAGCTGCCCCTGCTTTCTGCAAGCATCGCTCTAAACGATTACATACAAGGCTCGGAGGGGAGTTGCCCCTGCTTTTTGCAAACATAACTGTACCAGGCCCCAAGGGGAGCTGCCCCTGAATCTTGCAAACATAGCTGTAAACATACAAAGCTCAAAGGGGAGCGGCCCCTGCGTTTTGCAAACATAGCCGCAGCGCCGGGCATAACGCCACCCAGGCGAGGCGCGCTGCCCCTGCCTTGACCAATGCCGCCGCAAACAACATGCGCAAAGGGGCGCTGCCCCTGCATTTGCTCGCATAGCCGCCGTATCAGACCGCCGGGTCAGCCGCCATATCAGACCGCTGGGTCAGCCGCCATATCAGACCGCTGGGTCAGCCGCCGCCGCCATATCAGACCGCTGGGTCAGCCGCCATATCAGACCGCCGGGTCAGTTGCCATATCGGACCCCTGGGCCAACTGCCATGTCGGGCCGCCGGGTCAACCGCCGCATGGGCTAGGGGCGCTGCCCCTGCCTCTGCCGCCGCCACAAACAGAGCTCAAAAGGGAACCACCCCTGCATTTGCTCGCAACGCCGCCGTATCAGGCCGCCGGGTATTCCGCCGCATGGGCGATTACGTAGGGGAATCGCCCCTGCCTCCGCTAGTACAACTGAATAAGCAGCATGGGCCAATCGCCCTGCCCGCCGGGTGCGTATAATGTGTGAGTGTGTGTGTGTAACGCACATACGCGTGTCTGCAATATGCCCTGCGCGGTCGTGACGGATTAATCCGTCGCACCTCGGGTAAAGTGTTAATTACTGAAAGTAAAACAAGGTCGCCAGCCCGCCAATACCGGCACGTACTGCCGGCTCGCCGTGGTATCTAAACAACAATGGCAACAGCGACGACAGCCGCAAGGAAAAAGATAACAGCTTGCCATGTCCAAACAAAGCCCCAAAACAGCAAAGTAGACCCCACATGCTGAGACTTGGTGTAATGCCGCCTAGTACGAGTAGGAAGGGGAGGGGAGCGACAGCACTTAGAGGCGAAGCAGGGTGAGGGATGGAGGAGAGGAGGATAAAGAGAGAGAGAGAGAGAGAGAGAGTATGTGTGTGTGTATGTATGTATGTATGTATGTATGTATGTATGTATGTATGTATGTATGTATGCGTGTGCGTGGGTGTGTGTGTGCTTGCGTGCTTACCCACGTGTGCTGAGAGAGATAGACTACACAGCGAATGAAAAAGGAGGCACGCATTGGTTGAGAAGAAGTTCAGCCGGTTTGCTGCCATGATTAGTTGCTCCCGCATAGCATGAGTTCGGGACTAATCCGAGTCCAGCAGCTGGATTAGGGAGCCGATGAGAGGAAATGGACTAATCGTCCGCGTGAAAGAGCGTCCGCAGCGGAGTTGTCCGTGACCGTAATATGGGTAGTCAGCGAGATATAGCCTTGTGTTCTGCTACCATGCGGGGGCTGAAGTGGGCTAGTTCCGTCACGGTTGGATTTCGGCAAGTCCCGGATTTCAGACTGCTCCAACTGCCTTTTTGTCGCCGTGCAGTATGAATTTCTTGTCGGACTACTTAGGGCCCCAGAGGGCGTAAGCTCGTGTTGCAAGGCGCGATGGTTCTGAAAGTCTGCCAGGCCTCGACCCAGTAGATTAGAGATTCAGTTTTTCTCTTGCCAGAAGAGGAGCCGCCAATGACAATTCCACTCAGTGATTGCCATCGGATTGATCGATTCTAACACGTTTGGCTGCTGGCTGCGTGTGGGCAGGACAGGAAGGAAGCATTGTGGCCAGCTCGACGTATTCCGCACGCCGTATTGTCCTAATCGTCTCCCGTGCGCCAACACATGCGCCGGCCGGCATCATAGCGCCTCCAAGGAACTCAACTAAACTGGTCATACACGACAGTGTCCATGCCTGCATTTTCGGCCGGCATGCTCATCGCCCGAGGCTTGTTGGTCAGGGCCGACGCTGCCGTCGCCGCGGTCTCAAACGAGGAATACCAGCGATCCGCTGCTGAGTAGGATCCATGCTCAGGTACGGGTATAAACCATGTAAACCAACTAGCTTTAGAGCAAACGAGAGCAAAAAAATTCTGGCCTTCTGCAAGCAATAGCAAGTAATGAGTGACGGCTGTGTAAAGTCGCACAACCATGCAGTCGACCGGATGATGGTGAGTGTCCGGCACACATCTTGCTCTGCTGCTCCACCTGCGCATACCTGATACGGTGGTGCGCTTACGGGCGGGCTGCCTGGGCCCCAGATGCCTCCTTGATGCGCCACGGAGTGCCGTCGAAGCACCTGTATCACTTCGGTGATCCAAATGCGAATGCAGCCTTGCCGGTCGCCCGCCGGCCTGCCGCCTACGCGACCAGCCTGAGACTGGCCCTGCCGCATTTGGCGCTTCTAAACGCTGCGATCCGGTAGACAGCTCACTGGGCTGCCAAATACGTGACTGGCTTGAGGACAGTTCCATACTGGGCAGGGCGCCCAGCTCAGGTCGCACGCAATAGCGGCGTGAGCTGGGCGCGGTGAGGGTTGGTGATAACTACAGTTTCCTCCTTCCTCCTCCGGAAACTTCCATTTTTGCTACTCACCACACCATTTTCTGGCCAGGTGCATGCATGAGCATGAGAGAGACCTTGTACACTGCTACGTCACTTTGCGTTCACAGTTCATAATCATGTTCGACGTTCATGACATGAGTTGACGTGACGTCGTGGTACACGGTCTCAGATTGAAAATTAATACTTGGAAAATAATTGTTTGCTGGTCGATGGTGCCAGTATTCCAAACTCTTGATCCTTCGGTCAAATGTTTATGTTCTCGGGAAGAATTTCTCTTGCCATATAGCCACGCTTCAGGACTGCTCGTGATTGTTTCAGTTATGGCGTCAAGAACCACAGATGAAACGCCGAAATCAGATGATGCTCCAGTCGCTGAGAAGTCCAAGGAGAAAATTACTATTATGTTCAAAGCCACCGGCGATGCTCCTATCCTAAAGCAACGCAAATTTCTCATCGATCCAACCAAAGATGTTGCATGGCTTCTGAAATTCCTGCGCAGACAATTAAAATTGCAATTGTCTGATGCTCTCTTCCTGTACGTGAGCCAGAGCTTCGTTCCTCCACCTGATCAGGTAATCAAGAATTTGTATGACTGCTTTGGAACAGATCGCAAACTGATATTCAACTACTCATTAAATCCGGCTTGGGGTTAGCTAGCATTTCGGCACTTTGATCATCCCCTGTTAGTGTTCTAAAGAGCTTTCAGTTCAAGCTTTCAGTCATATAATGACACATGATTCCATTTTGTGTCACATACACATTTACTCCACTTCGAATTTGGCATGCTATAAAAGACAAGAATGCTTACATGGACGTCGTTCACGTTGACTTTGCTCTCATGAAATTAGTCTTGACACGATACAGTTACTGGCGAGGCGGGCCCTTTCCATGCTGGTTTTTAGGTTTTTGTATTTTCGTATATTTTATTTGTGTGTACTGCTGGTGCGATAGATACATCTGTGTACATAACCATGGCCCGTGCATATCATTCTGTATTCTTTCTTTATCATCGGTACTGCACCGAATATCAATTTTATCTCTCCCGTGACTAAAGGACGATGGGTATGAATGACTTGCTTGCATTGTTGCATGCGTGTCACTAGGCAAGATGCCTGTGTTGTGGTAGATCCCCCACGCCCTTCTCCGCACGCCACACAACAGTTCTGGTACTCATTCGGTTCAAGGATACTTCTCAGTTATACAATATGCAAACCGGTGGCGGAGAGAACGGGGGAGAAAGACAAGGAAATAATAAACAACCAACAGTTATAAACAGAGAAAGGGCGGACACATCGAAACGACCAATGAGCGACCAGTACGTACGATACATGTGACAAGAACCAAGACAACAACACCGTGGACGAATCACACCACTCTCGCACCCGAACCTGACTCGCACAGCGCATGCTCCACATAGTCCATGCATGCGCAACAACTAGTCGACAAACGCACTCGCACAGGCGGAAGCAGATCCGCACACTCTGACAACGCATACACCACATATACCACGTCATACGCACCACACCCATATACTGCACACAACGCACCACACCCGTACAGACAGCAGACCATATTTGACACCGGACAGGACAAGACAGCGAGACCAGAGACAACAACGGGTGCAAATAATAAGCGTATCGAATTTCGCAACACCTGTTCACATTATTATTAACTCATTTCTTTTTCTCGAAATAGAACGACCAATGACATTATGTGAGAAGATTTCAATGTCAAATGGAGCGCATCAACATAAGATAACAATAATCTTTTCGCAGTCTGACTCAGACACACCAGCCATTTCAAGTGCACTGTAGAACGGCTAATTTTAGCGAGTAAAAATGTTCCTACTAAAGTAGTTTTCTGAATCAGACCGATTTGCACTGAAATGCTTAAGCGATCCAAGTTTCAGAGTAAAAAAAAGAAAACTACTATAACTGTACTGTACGTGCAAAATGTCGATTAGCGCAGCAAAACTTTAGCGAAAACACTCCTTTCCCTAAATTCGCTAAAATATCACCGGCGCTATAGCTAGCCGTTCTTTTAATACGTAGTATTCATTTCCAGGGTTAGAATTCCCCTAGCTGTATGTTGTCAGGCGTTCATGTCAGAAAGCAGGGTTGAAATCCATGTGATACACAGCATGTATGTCAAAGTGATAAGCCCTCTCCACTACTGAAAGTAATGAATTGTTAACCATTGTATGACCAAAACAGTTGGAACTGCAGGACTACCGTTCGGAGTCTTGCATGGGACATTTCAACATCCATACAATGTCATGTATTCAGCTACATGTACACACCGTCCTACTCAAGGAGTTCTAAATCATCACTACTGTCTTATGATTGTGACTAGGCTAGGGCTGAAACTGGCAGGGGTTTGGTCGGTACCGTATTTCCGGAGCATAAGCCGCACCCCCCCCCCCCCCCCCCCCCCACCCCACCTTTTGCCACAAAATTCATCTATCCTATTTGTCACCGTTGATTCGATTATCGGAGTATAAGCCGCACCCCTTTTTTGGGTGAATTTTGAGTGTTCAAAGTGCAGCTTATACTCCGGAAAATACGGCAAGTTACCATGGATACTGCTCGGGTATATCTATCCAGTTAGCACGGGTACCATATCAGGTATTTTTCTGACAGTTTGTATGTGAGTGTGCACTTGCTCTACATAGAAAGTGTACAGTAAGCACGCAGCCATGCTTTTTCCATGCACCATTGCGAAAACACCGCACTCCAACTACCCAATCGGGTTCTCAGGAGCAAACTGCTACCCTACTACCCGCTCTAAGTACGAGTAGTACGGGTACCCTACTACCCGATGGCACCCCTAATTGTGACACATGAATGTACACTACCTCACACATGCTCAGAGTCAGACAAACCAAAGGACTTGCCGTACTCACGAAGCAACCTGTAAACACAACCTATTATTGTTGCTGACCTCACTTTAAAAAAGAGAAGATTAATAAAAACAAGGTCCGTGCAGCCTTGGTGCTGCGATGAGACCTATGCCATGGAGAATTAAATAAAACCTGATTGAGTGTGACAAAGAATGTACATGAGTGAAGGTTTTGAAGGGAGTGGTAGAAACATGGATCATAAGTTTGTAACCTCACTCAAGTGTTTTAAAAGGAATTTGAAAAAGACGGCAGCACAATAAAGAGCACGATAGCAAAGCCAGAGTGGAACTGGCACTCTAGACTTGGTCTAAGCCTAAGAAAAAGAACTATGGGTACCAGTAGAGACTATAATAGTCTTACAAGGCAAGACCCACCACCTACACTATAGCCTGCATAGTGGAAACGAAACATACTGCACATGCCGAAAGAAAAGAGCACTAAGTCCTAGCTTCTGACATGCCTAACCTAGTCAAATGAAAAAGAAGACCTAAGAAAATCAAGTACAAACACACCCACACAGACATACACACATACACACACACCCACACATACACACACCAGCACTAAGCGACAATCTAGCTCAAGAAAACAGCAGTCTGAAAGAGAGTGAGCTTGACAGGATGACCAGCATCTTTACGCATGGCTAGGATCAGATCACCAGTACAATATGCCAGCATGGCAAATTCTGAAGACATACGCCGGACTCTTGATGATCCTGCCATTCAAATGGCGAGCACGTATATACGTCAGAGGATTGTCTTCAGCTTCGGGAAGGTCGAAGGTAGTGTCCTGCAATGTTGCAGGTGGGCTGATGCGCTCAACTAGTATTCGCTGATGCACAATATTCCTCCAAGAAAAAGACATGAATTCACCCACTTGATCGCCATTGAACGTTGTCTGCAAGGAAGAATGAACAAGAGATTTAAAATATACAAAAGCAGATTCAATGTATGCAGTGCTGCAGACTCATACAAGCTGCTTGTTGAAAAAGGAATAATCTAACCCGAAAGCAATAGATTATAGACATTAGAGAGATTCCGGGGTACGATTTTCCGTGCGAAAATCCGTATGGGCTCTACGGATTTTTTCGAGGCGCGCTCCATACGATTTTTCGGCACGGAGAATCCGTGTGGACTGGCTTTCATACGAACCATGTTTCGTATGGAGATTTTGCGTCATTGGGTGCAGAAAGATGTTTCGCGTACAAATTTGGTACGAGAAACATCGATTTTCCGCGGGAAGTTTTGATTTCGGTACAAATTTTCAAAATAAAAGGCATAGCGCGGGAATGTGACGTGTTTGCGATCGTAACCTAGGCAATGACGGCAAACACATAAGTTCCGTACTCCGGAACATTTCACTGCTCAAAAACGACGTATAAAAAATCCGTAGCGCCTCTACGGATTTTGGCACGAAAATCGTACTCCGGAACCTCTCAATTACAGGGACCTCCAATCACAGCTTACCCTGGCTTTGTTCTTTCGCCGTGAGCGCTCATCAGCGCTGAAGAAGTGGTTGGATAGATGTAGAGATTTCGAAACCAAGACTACCAAAGAATGGCTGTCTGCCAATTCACTGGTCACTTTCGAAATAGCACGGTGATCTCGGTTTATTTCTGCAGAACGAAGTAATCACCAACACAAAAAGCATGGAGAACGGCGAGAGAGAGAGAGAGAGAGAGAGAGAGAGAGAAAGAGAGAGAGAGTGAGAGAGTGAGTGAGAGAGAGAGATAGAGAGAGAGAAAGAGAGAGATAAAGAGAGAGAGAGATGCACACACAAGCAGATACAATTCTACCAGCAACCATCCACAGCCCACATGTTTTTTCAACGGTATGTAAACCGTCTAGCAGCAATGCTGTCTATAATCACAGAAGAATTCCACTACCCAACTAAACATTCCGTGCAAGCAAATCCTGTGAATGTCCACAAGTTATAGCCCCAAAGGTCAATCTCATCTTTCGGGACCAGAAGGAGCATGAAGCAAGACATAACTTTCTAAAGAAACTTATCAAGTCCACACTTACACCTACTACACCTACAACATACACACATGCACGCACACACACACACACCTTGACCTTTGACGCCCATCGCCGGAGGCGATGATAGCAATGCTACGGCAGAAGCCATAGCAACTTGTGCTGGGATTACACCATTCAACAGCTTGCAAGGCTGAAGAATTGACCGTCACTATTCAGCCTGGTCTACACCATACAGCTATTTGGAGTGACATTTTCTGGCCAGTGAATCCCTATTTTTGGTCTTTTTCATTTTTTTTTTCCCCGCACACACATCACACCACATACTCCGGCATGCACTGGCTGTTGGTAACCACCCAGGAGAATGAAAGAAAAGTCAGGAAGAGTCTGAGAAAGAGAAGAAAGACGTGTGACCATAATCGTCGGGAATCGAACCCGCAATCTATCGATTGGAAATCGCTGCACATACCACTGCACCATATGGGACACACACACACACACGCACACACACACACGCACGCACACACGCACACACACACACGCACGCACGCACACAGACACACACACACATACCTCAGACCTCCTCAGACATGCCCATCGCGGAAGCGATGATAGCAAACAGCTATGTTAGACATAGCAACTTGTGCTGGGATTACACCATTCAACAGCTTGCAAGGCTGATGAATTGACCGCCACTACTTTTAGCCTGGTATCCACCACACACCTGTTTGAAGTGACTTTTTCTGGCCAGTGAATCCCTATTTTTCATTTTTCCATTTTTTTCTACACACACACACCACACCACATACTCCGGCATACACTGGCTGTTGGTAACCACCCAGGAGAATGAAAGAAAAGTCAGGAACAGTCCGAGAAAGAGAAGAAAGACGTGTGCGACCATAATCGTCGGGAATTGAACCCGCAACCTCTCGATTGGAAATCGACTGCACATACCACTGCACCATATGGGACACACACATACGCACACACGCACACACACACACACACACACACACACACACATACGCACACACACACACAGTCAAAGCATTGTACATGTACTGTTGTGGACATGGGAATCAGTTGAGAAGTCAAGCGACCACGGGGCATTGGCCTTGCAGCCGTGAGCGCTGCTGGTCCGTTTTACAGTGTGTACGTGAACAATGTGTGCAAGTACGCGCCAAAAGCAATAAAGGCGCCAGCCCCGATCATCCCATCGGACTTCAATGTCCACAACACTCAACAGTAACGTTACATGTATTGACCACCTACCTGAGTAGTCCTTGCTTTTCTTATCGTGATAGTAGTAAGCGGCCACATTGTCTATGAGCAAGAGTTTCACTTGCAAAGCATTGACCAGCAGACGCCTGACAGTGTCTTCTAGAGTAGCTATCAGCTGAAGGTTGGAGCGGCAGTGGTAGACGTAAAGACGAGCCAGGCAAGATATCACAAACTCTTCGCGCTCCTCAAGCGACAGATCCATCTCATAACCAGTGTTTACTCCCGAGAGAGACGCACTGGGACGCGCTGGATCACTGAATTCAAACATTTCGTTCGAGTTATCAATACCGCTCAAGGCCTCCGCTGCATCTGGACCCTTGGCTCCCTCGTGTCTTGCAGTATCACCATCGTCTCCGCAACTATCTGAAAGAGTAGCAGTAACAGTGGCATCATGCTTTCGACATTGGATATGCCGCCTTCTTCTTTCGGTGGCCGATGTGGCACCTATGGTTGATCTTACAGAAGCAAGACCATCACTCATGTTGCTGGCAGACCCAAACTCACTACATGCCATGGGAAGCATTGCCGGTGATGTTGCAGCTGGTGCAGCAGTAGTCTTGGTAGGAGCGAACGCAGAGGTTCTGTGGGTGCCAGTGACATGCCTATCTGCACTGGTATTATACATGAATTGAGTCCGTGCAACTGGATTGCGAGCTGTATCACCCTCACTGTGTGCTGCGTTGGGTGCGTTGGGCAGACTTGCATCACCACTCACACAGGCTGATTGAAGTTTCTGGGCTATATCCTCACCTGCAAAGTCCACACGGATTGCTCTAGCTTGTAGGTTATCATCCTCGGCAGCATCCGCCACAAGGACTCCCAGTGTAGCGTCGCTCCGATCATGGCATAGTGCAGATGCTGCTAAACCCTGGCGCAGCGCTTTTCGTGATGTTACACTATTGTCCAGAAAGATCTTTAGTATGGAGTGCTTAGGGACTTCAAATGGCCCGGTGAAACCACGGCTCAGATCCGTGATGTCCTTGCGAAGAAAAGCCTTCAATTCACGCTCCCAGGCAAAGTAACCTTCCAGCACTGCTTTCTGGTAAGAACTCTCCAGCTCAAGTGGCAATGGTAGATGATCTGCATCCAAACTGAGATCGTCGACTGTGAACAGCACAGATGTGACAGAATACACATGATCGCCAGCAACATTGTACCATGAACTAGTACAGTCGGAGTGGTTTGAAGGTGTTATTCCCCCAGACATTGCGCCAGTGCTGTCCTCAAGTAAGGACGACATGAATGCAGCTACGACACCTTCTTTAGACTGAGGATCAGCACCGACATGACCAGCATTGTAAGTGCGCTGACGTTCACCATTCCGATGTGACAACTGAACCCGGGGAATTTGACTTCTAGCGGTGATAGTTGGCTCACTGAGTTGTAGCACAGGGCCACTTCCTGCAGCCCTCATCAATACTGGCAGGGCTGGTGCTGGTGCAGTGATGGACGACGATTGGTCATGCAGCACAGGAGCAGCACTTGCATCAGCCGAGTGGAGCGATCGATTCTCCATTGGAATCTTTTCATTTGATACACTCGCGTGCTCGGTTTGGACTAAATATGCAGAGTCTCCAGAATTCTGCTGCAGACACGAGACTGCCAAATCCTTCCTCAAGAGCGTCCGGAACGTTCTGCTAGTCTCAAGGAAAATGTGCAGCAAAGCTGGTTTAGGTATTTGAAGTGAGCCAGCGAAGGCCGTACTGACATCAATCAAGTCTCCTTGAAGCAGAGTCTTGAAATCACACTCCCAGTCCAGGTAACACTCCAGTACTTCTTGCTGGTACTGCGCCTCCAGATCAGGCGGCAATGGCAGGCTGTTCAAATCAAGACTGATGCCATCCAACGTGAAAACGGAGGATTCAAGTTCCTCAATATGTGAATCGGGAACACTGTACCGCATGTTGGGAAGGTGCCGAGTCGTCACATCATTTGTTGGTGATTTAACAACTGCAACGGCTCCATTGTGTAGTGATGAATGTTCCGCACCTTCAATGCTAACTGGAGAGACTTCACGCACATCGGCTACAATACCATTTTCACTCATCGCATGCCCTCCAGGTTGCACTGAGGAACACGCCTTGGCAGCTGCACCAAGCATAGAACCTGAACATACCATGTTGCCGTTCGACGACAGCGGAACCCGCGAGTCAGGAGCGCCTGTTTCCAGTACCATCGCAGCAGAGGCTGTCCTCCTCCGCAGTGGAGAGTGTTTTTCATTGTGACTACTATCATCACCAAGAGATGCTTGTGGTATAGCAGCCGTGCTGTGGCTTTCAACGATGCTTCGACTTCTGCAGTGTGCTGCATGGCTGGACACCGGCGAAGATACAGGTTGGATACGATCAAGTGTGTGTGAAAGCTGCATCATAGAGTCAGGAATGTCGGCCTGACTGCACTGGTTGGAAAATGGCTGGTTGGCCACTGGATTAGATGACCTGCTAACATCTACAGTGGGAGCAGCCCTCTCCATGCTAGCTTGTGTGGCGGTTTTGCTTTTTCGACGTTTTGTGCAAGCGCTTCCGTCACCAGTACTGCTATCATTATCCGGAGATGTTTCTGGTATCATGGTGATGTCACGTTTCTGGACAGCTGCAGTAGTTCGATGATGAATTAAATGGCTGGCTGTGGCGGCTTCCGCTGAGATGTGCACACTGCCAAAGGTCTTGTTAGCCACACTTGTGTGAGCTGGGCAGATAGCCATAGACTTTGTGTGGCATGTTGAATCATCACCAACAGAAGTGGTTTCACAGAAAAGAGGCGAGGACTTTGTAGGTTTGGGCTGAGAATTTTCTTGTTCAGTGTTGCTGTCGTGGCTGCAGCTGTCATCGAGCGATGTCTCAGGGACGGTGGTGATTCGCTTTGGCGACGCATTAGCGCTCAGGTGTTTCTTGTTGCGTTTCCGCTTAGCCCGGTTCACTGGTTCACGAGTTGTTTCCACACCCGAGCTGTCAGATGAGGATGCCGGACAACTTGATCTTGCCCTCTTGTTCTTTTTCGGAGTTTGTTTCATGGACTTGTTAGCGTCTGTTGCATCCGGAACATCTAGGTTGCACTGTGACAATTTAGATGTGTTATGGGGTGCACGTATAGATGCATCAAACACCTTGAGACCTCCTATCAATGACTGGTGGTATCCTTGCTTCGGCTGAAATGAAAGTGGCTTCGGCTTTTCCATATCATCAACATCTTCAGCAGATGAATCATCTGTGCTCGAAGGGAGCTTGACATCATCAACATCTGACCATTCATCATCTTTACCTGGAAGTACTTTTACAGGAGAAGCTTGGCTGGGAAAATTGGGTGGGGCACAGCTTGAGGTTGCGACAGCCACGGAAGGCCCAGCAACGCTAGGTTTACACGCAGCCTCTGTGGCATTATCAACATCACTGCAAGTGGCTTGTTCACCCCAGCGGCTTGCATGCTCTGCCACCGACAGGGTAGCAGCACTATCGCGTCCGTATGGAGCAGACGTAGAGCATTGGAGCGGGATGCTTTCAATATCACCTTCCGTACTGACAGATGCGGCATGGGGATCTAGCGGAGCTGATTGTAGTCTATGCTCTAGCAGTGAGGCCAGGCGCAGTATGCTGAACCTATAGTCATTGTCAATCCACACTGCAGATTTCCCAAGACCAGAAAGACGTCTTCCTTTCCAGGTCTGAGGCATGATACACTGCACGACGCAATGCAATAAACATTCTGTCTTGCCAGTTCCCTCATCGCCACATATCTCCACTATTCGGCCATAATTGGTGTTGGAGAGATGCTGGTCACTGCTCAGCTCAGGCACGTGGAGAAACGGCAATCCAAAATCAGTTGTCAGGATCTGTGGTGAAACAACGAGACACAAACACACACAAACAATCGTAAACATGCACATATAAACATCATAGCAGCATTCAGGTGTGCATTAGTGCAACAGCAGCTGAGAAGTCTACTGCAGATTGGAAGAAAACGGCGGTGTTGATTTGGCGGTTGTTGAAACAAGTGCACGTCAATACAAAGCTCGTGCTAGTTGGAATCTGACATGACACCAGTGCATACACCAACTCACTGGTCGCTGTGTGGAGCTAGCTGCTGCTCAAAGGTGAAACGAGTACGGAATAACTGTACTAGTACCACACGAACTGCGTGTATAATGTATGCATCGCATGACCTAAAGTCAAGGATCTCCCACCCGCTTCACTTCCAAACCATGACAGCGAAGAAGTCCAGGTGGTGTGCGCTCTCGTGGGTTTTACATTTACTTGTACTTCCCTACATTATGCATATCTGTGGCAGAAGGTGGACTTGGGGATTATCTGGATCAGAAAAGGTACAGTGCTGCTCAATGAAATCCGATCAAGCGAGTCAATGCCACGCCCGGCACTGTGCAGACCTTGATCTGCGAACCCTGGGATGTGAACTGGCCCAGTACAGGGTACAAACTTGGTTCACATGATCGGTTTTCATTGAGCGGCACTGTGAGTTGTTTTCCTCTTTGCCTGGATGACTTCGCAATGTAGTTGGTCTTCAATACTTCCTTTTTGCACAATGTAATTGAACTTATGAGTAGAAAAATCAATCAGATTGTTTATTTCTTTTTCACCTCTCCTATTAAAATAAATAAAATTCCAATCTCACTTTCAAACTTACTTCCTCGGCTTCTGGATCCTCAGAAAGCCTTTCCTTTTTTGCTTCTTCATACGCTTCACATCCCACTTTCCATCTCTGCATGCTGGCCTAAAAACTTCGTCAACTGCTTGAAAAATACATCCCATGGAAGGGAATCCATCCTTTCATTTTCCTCTACATGCCTTTGCAATGTGAGGGAAAGCAAGAAAATCGACAATTCGACAGATAACCAGCTACATATAGATGTAGAAGGTAACTCCTAACATGTGTCGTTCTAATCTTTACTTGCTTGAAGCATTCACAGTCACAGTCGGGTCTGTACCTGAAATGAAAGGACGGTGGAAGATTTCAGGTAGAACAAAGCAATGGTTTGTCGAGACCCTTTCTCGGTCTACAAAGTAGGCTACAGCAGTACAGACGTGTAGCTATGGATAATTATGCAGTATGTACATCTTCAATGCTACATCATGACTGATTGTTTGTCTGTCACGACATGATATTTGACTCCAGCTCCATGCTCCAGTGCATGCAGTAGAGGTAATCGAATTTCCCGCGGTTTCTGCTAACCCACGTGTACGTACGTAGATCTACGTGCTTCTTTTTTTTGTACAGTCATTCGCGAATTGTCGTTATATCCGCAGTCGTTATCAGCGAAGTTAGTTGACTGTATTTACTTGGCTCCGGAATCCGCTAGCTGCATGCATGCAAAGCGCCTTTTCTTTTCTTTTTTATTAAAACCACAAATTGGCACAATACTGTCACAAATCTACAAAAAGGTACAATAAATGTGTCATGATTGTACAAGAGTTTCGATCAGGGAGTCGTGAATAGTATTTGACGACTCCCTGGTTTCGATCAATCATCAAACGTTACTCTTGACAATAATAATAATTATGAATTTATGTACAGTGTACTTCAGTATGACATGAATTGATGATGCAAAGCCTATTCCCGGTTTGTTTCTTCTTCCCAGCTTCGATCACACACTCACAGACGAAAGAAGATTGGTCAAATAATTTCACCTTGTCAGCGAAACACCAATGCCAAGAAATAGAAACAGGCTAGAATTCGATTGAAAATTTGACATCCTGCAAGTCACTAAAAATGGTGGCTTGCACCACAACAGTCAGCAAAATACTTGTATTAAATCTGGGAAAAGTACACTTGCAAATGGCGAGACACTCAGCTTTCCGTCAGCTGGCAAGAGCAATTCTCAGCAAAAATATACACAGGGAAAGTGAGAAAAATATACCAGCATGAGCAATAGCAGTGTAATCCAGCCAGGATCAGAGCACGAGTCAGCATGAGCTAACCCAAAATGTAATGCCATGATCTAAGGCGGCCGGTCTACTGTGGGAAGAAAAAGCGGAAGGTAAAGTGCAAAGCAAGGAGTGCAAACAGAAGCATGCCAATTAGGCCAGGCGCGGATACACCGGTGCAGTGCTGACGAGCCAATGAAAGAAAATCAAGCATATACCCTTCGTTGCTTTGATGGGGGTAGTTGCGATCACCGAGATTGTGATGATCCAGGAAGGCGCGGAAAGACTTCTCAGTGCTAGTGAGAGGAGGGAAATACTCACCGACTTCTTCTCTCCTCCACCAGGCAGAAGTGGCGTCATCTAGTTTGGTGAAATGATAATGATACAGCTTTCCACGGATGTATTTCGGTGGTGTTTGGAACGGGCTTCGATGGATGAGGTCCAAGACGGTCTTCTCACCGGCTAGAAGGCGGTCAACCATGCTAATGAGCCATGGATTATCCTGGTACCTGCCTAGTGCAGCAAACCACATTTGCCAGTCAAGGCGAGGCTGATGTGGAGTGACAATGGGCGGTTGGCCGGACACGTTGCCAGGCTTGTACAGAAAATCGTACTCTTTCCAGCCACTGGATAAGTCATTGCTTCCTTCCACGATCACCTCTGGACGACCACCGACACCAGTCATGCGTCGGAACAAACCATACGGGCTCGTCAGGTGAATCGACGACGTCTGGTGATGCCATTGGTGAACAACAGGCCAGAGACGAGACTGAAGACCCTGATCCAATACACTATGTGGTACCAAGCTGATCGTAAACATGAACACGGCCGCAGAGCTTATCAGCACAATGTGAACGATAGACGACAGGAAAGAGAAGACAGACCTCTGCTCCAGGCAGTGCAGCACACCTTCAGCAAGCTTCACAGCAAGTGAGAAAACAGCCATCCAAATGGTCAATGGCATAACATACTTCAAAGCTGCAAAAAACTCTTGCTCCGAGAAGTTGACCGACGTCTCAACAAATTGCCCGTTGCTGTTAAAGTTCACGTTGAAGTAGACAGCGGTCAAATACAAGACCACAGCACTGACACCAAAGAAAACGATACGACTAGCAGCTTTGTGAATAAACATGCTTGCTTTCAAGCCAACAACGGAAGCGAGTGCCCTGACCGACCAAGTCTGCTGTGTGCACTTCTCCGCTGCAGACTTAGACATGAAGACCTTGTCATCCAACAGAGGCAAGCAGAGAACACAGGTCAGGAGATTGAAGAAATTATAGTTCCCGGTTAGAATGATAGAAATTTGGAATATAATCTGCAGCCAGAATCCCAGAAGACGCAGACTCCTGACGGGTAAAAAGAATAAGAATGGAGCGGCAATCTCAATAACGTACGTCGCAACCACACTCAGTCGGCGGAACCACTCCGGCGAGTGATGGAAGAACCATGCTAGCGGTAGTGGTATGCACTGGCTTTCGAAATGGTAATCAAGAGCCGTCAATCCCCACCAAGTTGGACAACGGCTAGTCAACTTGACGACACCACTAGCAAACATTAGGCGAAACAAGAGCCACTTCACCAGCCACAAGCCAATGTTATAGTTGCGTGGTTTACCACCAAACATGGGTGCTACAAATATGGCCAAAAACCCAGTTTCGAGCAGCAGAATGTCCCACTGAAACGAGAGGAAGGTTTGTCCCACCTGGTACACTGATAGGTACATCAGCCATAATACAAAGAAGGATACTGAGGACCGAGCCCGCTCCCATAACAGCATCAGTCCTGATAGGGCACAACCCAGCAAACACAGTAATTCCATTCCATGTTCTGGATCCAATCCAATTGAGGGCATGAACCACAGCAAAGTATGGCCCTTCTTCAAGAAGTCGATCAAAGGATCCTCTGACAGTGGCAGTAGGCCATGCACAGGGAGAATTCCATTGCGACCGTACAAGCCAGGAATTTGGCAATACAAAGACAGGAAAGCAATCAAAAATATGCCGCTAATGCATCGAAGGAACAGCCCAGCAACAATTGTCTGCATTTTGAAATCTAGTTCAAATTCTCTAAACAACGATAGTGGCTTGGACGACGGCCCTGCTATTTGATTCCAAGTTATGTGGTTGGCAAGACGGAGCAACGTCTACCTTTAGTCTAGAGGTGTCTACTTCATGACAAAAATCTAAAGTAACGGAAACAAAGGATATCTTTCGCAGCCTTCTCTTTCTTGTCACATCGAGTAAAAAAATAATCGCCTCCGGATTACGTCACCAGAAGCGCAAAAACCATGGAAACAGTTTTTTCGGCGACTCTGCACAAGATCGAGTCCCGATAATCCCGAGTCGAGATGGAGTCAAATGACCAGATATGACGATGAATATCATGATTTGAATTTCCAGCCCAACCTAAACCTCAGTGCCTTCGGTGCAGGGAAGCAAACAGTATGCCATTGCCGGCGAAATTAGCTGAAAGGCTGAAGAAGAGAGGCTTGCTGAAAGAGGAAGGTACGTAGTTGACCACTGGATGTAAATAGTGAATTACCACAACCCACGTAAAATGTTTAATACTGAGACTCCCTATTGAGAGAAAATTGATTGGTGAATAAGCAAGAATAAAACTCTGATCTAATTACAAATTTGAGAAGAAGTAGCGACGACCCGGCCATTATGGAATCCAATACACCACATCCCCACATTGCGCTCTTGTTCAATATCATATGCCTCCACTGATGAGCTCAGGAGGAGCGAAACAGCTGTCTGGAGGGTCATTGTCAATATCAATCTATATACGGAATTGTCCTCGCTGTGGTGATGGTGATGTGAGTGCAGAGTTTGGATCGGCCAAGAGCGCAATGTGGTGGTGTGGTGAATTTAATTACAAATTTATAAGAAGAAAAGAGGACCAAAGAGCTACATGTTACGCTATAAAATCCACTAACACCACCAGTTACTTGACAATCAGCTCTTGCGATAACATTGCATGACACTGACCAACGGTACTGACGTTCTACACCTAACTGGCAATCAGCACACCTGATGACCTGCACACCTGATGAGGCGTCCTTACCTATACGGCGAAACAATCGTCGTGTGAAACTGCTGCTTGTTACTGCTGCTTATTTTTCCATCTAAATTGTCTTGGTCGCAGTACTGTACTGTAGTACTGAGGCGTTTGGCTCTTCACGATTCATGTTTGCTTAGCTTCCCCGCCGATTGATCTTCCAATCGTTAGAGCCACACACGTTGTGTGGTATGTTGCTATCCGTCCTTGAATCGTGGTTTGACCGTTTTGTCTAATGGTCTTACCACTATCGTCCTCGACATACATGTACATCCGCCAGCGTCCTTCACAACTGAGACTTTCTGCTCGTGCTTGCAGGGGCGTCGGACACGGTACGGTCACTACGGTATTGACCGTACCACTATTTGCCCCAAGTACTGTACCCTGTGAATCAATAAAATGCACTGATTTGGGATCTTGTCTTGGTTGCGCTCACCTTCCCCTCCTTATGTTATTTCTATAACTTAGAACCTTCCTAGTTGGAAGGCTGTTGGAGTGCGCATCCGAGATGTGCTAGAGCTGATTGGCAGTTAGGTGTAGAACGTCAGTACCGTTGGTCAGTGTCGTGCAATGTTATCCCATGAGCTGATTGTAAAGTAACTGGTGGTATTAGTGGATATTATAGCGTAACTTGTAGCTCTTTGGTCCTCTTTTCTTCTTATAAATTAATCCTTGCCTCTCCACCCAAGTCTAATTATGCACAAATCTCAAAACAAAACGAGCAATTTCACGAAGCAACTTGGAGTAAATGATGTGCCTTGTAAGAAGCATCAATCAATCAAAACACAGTGACGGAAAAGAGGCACGGAGGCCAGAAAGCGCTCTGATGGAGACGCAAAGAAAACATGAGAGCCCGCTAGAGCTCCAAGTCACAGAGGAAGGGCAGTGACAAGTGCGGACAATAGAGCGCATAGAAAGCATAAATGCTAGCATAGCGTCATCCGTGACACATGCATTGATTACTGAATAGACTGAAGCCTGACCCATTGCACAGTAGCCAACAGAGCAGAGTATCAATGCACCTTAGTTTCACTCATGCATGACCTGCACTGCAGTGATGCTCAATGAAATCCTATCATGGGAGTCAAGTTTGCACCATGTAATAATAATAATAACACAGTTGCGCCTAATGGAACATTATTATTGTGCAGCACTAGTGTTCGGTCCGCTGCTGTCTCTTGATGAATTTTTCCATTGTTCTAGTTCAGTATCATTAGTTGTAGATCATCGCTCCCCATGTCGGTTTGTCCCTTGCCAGCTCAGTCGCCAGGTCGAGAGCGCCATGTGCCAGTGCTCATCCCAGTGTTCACATGTCTTGGGCGGCACTGCGCCCATGGGCCCAGCATGGCATTGACTCGCTTGATTGGATTTCATTGAGCAACACTGTACAAGGCTACAGTTTTGTCTAACGAATGCAGCATTGCCGAGATTGGAGAGTTCCACCGCAAACAGTCCTCGGTGCAATACTTGAAGTAGAGACACTCATACTTCCAGACTGAGATGCTGATATTACTGGCCAGACTTTGGCACGCAAGTCTTATACTACAGTACTGTCTGGTGCCGAAGAACGGGGGGGGGGGGCAGGGTCCTAGTCCAAGCCGTTCCTATTTTTCATGTGGAAATCTCTATTAGTAGTTGAGCCACCTTGTACATACGGGTATTCGGTACCTGGTAAAATTCTAGCCTGTTCGTTCTTCGGCGCCCGACAGTATGGTAGCAGTACTGTGGCTGGGTTGCTAGACTCTAGGGCAACATAGTGGGAGGGACCATGCAAGAAATTTCTTGGATTCGTATTGTAAATCGCACCGGGTCAGTTCACACAACGAAAATATGGCCACAAATCGATCATTCCGGGTGCTTGCTGCGCCCGTAAGTTGCATTTTGTGTGACAAGGGCCACAAGGCAATAGTGGGACATGGAAAAAATGGGTGATCTGTTTGTTTCCCCCTGCTGCCCAGCCCCCCCCCCCCCCAAAGTTTTTTCCTGGCTAGAACCTGTAATACATGTATACACTGTAGTAGAATCTTTGTCCATTGTTAGCATACATGTGTAGATCGGGATCGGGAATTCATGTACTGTTGTTAAGGTTGTACAGATGTCATACATTGTATGACTTTTGTGTGTGATTTGCTGCATCAGAAGTGAAGCGTGGATGTGTGAATGCAAGCAATGCCTTCCATACATGTTGTGACTACTGCTATCAAAGATATGGTGTGGGGAAGCAGAAGGTATGGCATTGAAATGTTGTTCCTACATTTTGTGTTGTGATCATTCCTTTGTTGATTATTAAAATTCATGTAGCACTTAATATCTATCTACAAGTACAAGTACATAATATTCATTATATATTCATTAACTGGTTGATTATAATTATTATCATGGCATTCAGAGTATTTTGACTGCAATGGTGGTCTTTATAGGTTTGTTTTGTGGGTGGACTGGTTTCATTTGAATTTCAAATCAAGTTATTTGATCGGGTCTCCACAACTGCAATAAGATACTACGGTCTCACGCTGCAAACCGTGTTTCAGCAGAAGTTCACCAGTATGTAGAAACTACAAACTGTAGAAACTACAAACTCTAGAAGTTAACATGTAGAAGAAAACCTCCTGGCTGTAGAGCCCTATACACCATGGGTTGGTGATGCCAGGGGTTCACTCTGCTTGCTTGCTGAGTGATGCCAATGTATACTTCATTTCGCGTGCAGGTACGCCCGCCATGACGAAAATGTTGACTTTTTTTAGAGGTCGACTAATTGGGCCGGAATATTGGCCCCATGGCCGATCATCGCTATACATATCGCGAAGCATTCCCCCTACCCGAGATGAAGTATAAATGAGGCTTAAATCGTCCATTGTTGCTACAAGTATGCAGTACATATTGCTAACACTCTTGTTATGTTCATGTCTTGCTCTTTGTCGTTAATCCAGGGCATTGAACTTCCAGGAACATGGCTGCGCGTAGAGTCAGATGCAAGGTGAGGTGACCAGTGAATACCAGGTACCTGGCAGTGCCCTTGCCGACCAGTAGCTGAAACAGGAGACGTGAACTGCTAAAGTGTATGTACATGGCCTTGTATGTGTGCTTGGCAAGATGGAACTTAGCACCCTGGCAGGTGCATGTGCATGCATTCAGTGTGCAGAGGAAACAATGTAGTAATGCGTGCTAAGTAGGCTGCGGGCTAGGTCATCACCTGGAAACTGTATGAGAACCAAAGGCAGTACTTGTATACTTGTGCCTGTGTTGTGTGGATGTGTGTACTTACATGATGCGCATGTTATTTCATACTGTACGTCTTGCTGCTTCTTGTTTCTGCACCACTATTCGCCAGGTCTTTCGGCTTTGTGTACTTCTGGGATCCTGTCAATCGGAAAATTGCCTGGCTATCACCCGAAGGTACGTGGTACATGTATGGCCATTGTTAACACAGTGCATGCGCTCAACACTTATTTACCTGCATATTGAACTGAGCTGGAAGTGCTACAATGCTGTACTGCAGTAAGTTCTGTCGTAATGGATCATTATGTGGCCGCTTATGTTCAACCTTGGCATGTTGGCCACGTGGGATGAGCTCTGCAATGCTTCAACACACTATGATAGACCCACCCCTGGCGGGGAAGGAATATGACCTTGACCAGCGTTTCCTTACTTTGTCTTGCAATAGATAATGCTTATCAGTGTTCATTACTTTCAACTTTTTCTTTTCTTCTTGTTGGCCTAACAGATGCGGAGCATGAAGCTGTAGACTTGCCTCCACTTGGTAAGACCTTCCTTAGTGGCATTGACCACAGGACACTCACCTGCTTCCTGTGTGCCAGTACATGTTTTGTGCAAGAGTCCTTGTCCTTTGGCTTTGTAGCTGACTATTTTGTACCTTACCCATATCGCCAGTGCAATGAACAACGGGGCTAAGCTGAATTTCATGCACAAAGCACCTATCAAACACCAGACGAATGCCGGCGTTTGGAGGAAGATACATGTACTAGATACATACATGGGGGTTGTGAGAATACTTGCCCATGTTTGCCCATGTCTGTCGGATGTGCTTGCTTGTAGAATTTGCTGTTGACATCACGAATGATGGCTCCAGTGTGCCGACGGTAGTGCCTGAAGTGGCTCCGCACTCGAAGCAAGTTAGCTTCAAGGATGCTGAGGTGAGTGGATCCTTACTGGTACGAGATAGAGGTGATGCGATTATGTTGATTTTCTGAGATTTATGTACACATCCAGCTCTGGTTGCCACTGCATACAAGGCATATAGGATGATGTCATTCGCAGCACCGCTATTGGTATTCACATGGTTATCAAGTACAGAACACTACCTTGTGATATAGGTGTGATGAGTTACCATAGTCGCGCGCACACATATGTGTACTTCCTTGTATTGGCACAAACGAGAGAGCTTGGAAGCTCAGGGCCCTACGCTATGCTTTTTTGCCTTGATGACCTAGACAAAAAAAGCATACGGATGTTATAAATTGTTGCATAAATAATGACAGTCCATTGCACGCCTGAAAAAAGTATTTAGTTTATTAGGCGGGTTACAGAACTATCGACTTATCGTTCGCTGGCTTACTTGTAGTTTGATAACGCTTCGCTCTTCATTGAGATATCTACCATTCTCTCTTTTTTTCTCCTTATTTTCTCCCCAACCCTCCTTCCCTGTAACATAATAACATATTCGCTGCCTTGTCATTGAGCATTTGTGCTCGTTTGGATTTGCGAGTTCAAACGAGAGAGCTTGGAAGCTCAGGGCCCTGCGCTATGCTTTGTTGCCTAGCTCATCGTGTATGTTGTTAGAACTGATGGAAATGCTTTTTCCTTTGATTAGCTACATCATTGTATTGCAAAAACGTTTCACTGAGATACTGAAGTCACGTCTTCTGCATAGCTATGGGACCGGCGCTGACTCTGCCGATCACCGGCGTTCTGGAGTCAACGGGATGTCTGTCCTGACGTTTCCTGGGACCAGCGCTGACTCTGCCGATCACGGGCGTTCTTCTTCTTCTTATTATTATACTGACGGCAACTAACATCCATTCTGATTGCATTTACTCGTCTCCCTACTTCGTATTTCTTTCCAGAAAATCTCCCCATACAGCAGGGAGTCGTTTACAGAACATGACACCCTGCTATACATCTACATGACTGTATATACGTTATAATTATTATGCTATCGGCCTATATGCGATTCCCGGGCTGGTCGACAGGCGGCCCAGCCAGCCAGCTAGTGGGATCTCGGCCTCGCACACAAATCCACACAAAATGTTACTGCACTGAATGCATTCCCCCGATACACTTCGCATATATACTCATTCTGTTGATGGTACCGTACTCTTGATGGTACGGGACAGGTAAGGGATAGCGCCAGGCATGTCGATGGCACAAACAAACAAAAATATTGTGGCCAGCTGTCTTTGCTGGTACGGTACAGTACGGGACAGATACGGGATAGCGCCAGGCGTGACACAAACAAACAAACAAACAAACAAACAAACAAACAAACAAACACCAAATTAAAGCTGTGTGGACCCTGGCTAGCGCCAGACGTTACTGAAGTAACGTCTTCTGCATAGCTACGGGAATAAAGTATACATACATACATACACATAAATTCATATAAGTTTTTCCTTTTTTTTAAAGACATAACCTGGGATTCGAACCCGCACTATCGCCGTGCATGCATCCCCCGATACACTTCGCATACAAACTAATTCTTCCAAGTTGCTTCACGTTATGATCTTGCATTTGAAAGCCCTATTTGAATATGCATTGTGGCCAGCCGTCTTTGATAGCACGGTACGGTACGGGACAGGTACGGACAGGTACGGTTGAGGGTAATACGACACCGTCTACCGCCTTGATGAACTAGGCAAAAAAAGCATAGAGATGTTATAAATTTTTCAATTCCCCTTTTTTTTAGCATAACCTGGGATTAGAACCCGCACTATCGCCCTACATGCATTCCCCCATACACTTCGCATTCATACTCATTCTACCAAGTTGCTTTACGTTATGATCTTGCGTTTGAAAGCCCTATTTGAATATTGCGGCCAGCTGTATGTGGCCAGCTCTGTTTGATGGTACGGTACGGTACGGGACAGATACGGGATAGCGCCAGGCGTGACACAAACACACAAACACACAAACACCAAATTAAAGCTGTGTGGACCCTGGCTAGCGCCAGACGTTACTGAAGTAACGTCTTCTGCATAGCTACGGGAATAAAGGCATGGTCAAATATTGAAGTTATGAACAGGATTGGTTTTACTTGTAGAGTATTGCTCTCGGCCTATACATTCAACTCCACGCTGATACATGTACTAATGAAAGCACACCATTACTTTCGCCACTGTTGTGATATGTTTTCCAGTACATATCGCATACTGGTATGCTTTGAATAGAACCCAATTCACTGCCTCTCGCTCTATGTCGCCCGGGATCATCCGTTTCTTTCAGAGTCACATGAACGCTGATAATTAGGAGTAGAGTGGTTTCTAAACACGATGCTGGCTTTATAGGCAGCATGAGGCTGTGTATGGGTGCAGGTATGTGTGATGCGGCAGTTGAGCCTACGAGTACACTCATTTGCTTGTCACCAGAAAGAGTATAACTGTCACCTGTTATTCGCATTTTGTCATTGTGTTGTTTTTGGCTACCTGTTAGGCTCCACCTAAGGATACTCGTCTAACAATGAGAAGAGAGAAGACATCGTCTCGGGCTGCTCCGTATGGAAAGAGAGGTGAGTGATTGCACTTGACACATACAACTACATCAAGAGTACATCCCCCCCCCCCCCAGAGTGTACAACACCTGATCCAGCTTTCTGCATAGGGTCTTGGTCGAGCGTAATCGGATCTTTGCGTCATAATACCGTACACTGAGGGGAACCCCGGACACTCTGGGGGGGGGGGGTATGCACTCTTGCTACGTGTTGTCTACTTGTAAGTTACTAGCCAGTCACTACCGTGCTTGGAATTCTTTTTCTATTGGAGCACTTTGGACTGTGACGTCTTGAAACACTAACCTCCTTCCTTCCTCCGTATTGTGAAGCCTGCCCTGTACAGAGTACGACAGCAACATACATCAACATTGGCACCTCTATATGGTCATGTCCTTGCAAGTGAAACTGTAATGCAACAGTTTACAACTAAAAAAAATTATGTTATGCTCTCGTGTATTTGGTGTTTCTGCGTATGATGTCTAGGCGGTGCAAAATCATCGGAAGCGGATCCGATGGATCCGTCGTCGTACTCGGACGCTCCTGTGTAAGTCAATAGGGTCACTTTCTTGCTGCACTTTTGTACAGTGCCCTGTTCTGTAACTTCTGTTCCATTAGCTTTGTGTGACGCACAACTTTGTTTCTGAGTTTTTGGCTTCTACTATTCCCTGCAGACACTAGCTCCAAAAATTGTTCGGTTCACACATGCCTCGCTTCGATTATCCATGGCTTCGCACATCCGTAAATTGCTTATGAACATACCGTAATGGCACGTATTCATCTAAAATGGCGGACGCCCACGCTGCATACATGGTATGGGCGCACGTGAGCCACGCTGTGGGGACACTTGTTCGATTCCGCATACAAATGTATACAAATGCGTGGAAAAGAAGTTTCTCTAATCGCTGGAACTTGTGAGTTTCTTTCGATATAGACTACTGGTCTTCAAGGTATACAATAGTAGTGACCCAACGAAGTGGAATTTGCGGAATACAACGTTCGAGACGGCTCAACAAGTCAAGAGTAAAGTGCGAATTTACTATGTACGCAAATGAGAAAACCTACTTGTTTCCCCGCAGCCCTAGTCACGTGCGCCTTCAGTGAATACGTGCCATTCCGCGCATATAAGCCCATGGGCTTATATGTGAAATGATGCAGTTTGGGGATTAAATATCCAGTAAAACATGTTCGTTTTTTAGCCCATGGGCCAATATTCGAATTTTGAAGGTTCATGAAAAAGTACAAGTCTGTGCTCATAGTGGGTCTACCATACTCTACTGGTAAACTGCACTGAACTGCTGTACCATGGTAGGAAGAGTCCATTCTGTGAAAAATTCTACTTGACACGTGAGTTGCATTTGTGTCTGTTTATTAGCCCATGGGCTTATATCCGGATATAGGCCCCTGGGCTTATATGCGCAGAATTACGGTGATTATGATCCACTGAATTTCATGCGTTAGGGCAACCTTTATGGCACTTACTGCACTACTGCAATTGTAACTCTCAATACAATTGTACCGTAAAGTACCGCCAGAGCGTCCCACCAACTCGTCCTTTCATGGTCGTGCTGTGGAGGTGGTGTCGTGTCTGAAGGTCATACTCTTTTTTCTGCAATGACGGCTGTGGGTAGCTTATACATGTTCACCACTGTCAAGTAATAGTTCTATGCCATGTGGATATCCTGCAGCACATTTACTGCCTTTGCGCCAGGGCACGTCTCACTTAAGTGTGCCCTTGAGTGCCTTCTCTCTATCTCTATCTATCTATCTCTATCTCTCACTCTATCTCTCACTCTCACTCATTCTCTCTCTCTCTCTCTCTCTCTCTCTCTCTCTCTCTCTCTCTCTCTCTCTCTCTCTCTCTCTCTCTCTCTCTTTCGCTCTCTTTCTGAACCTTAAAACTGCAAACAGTGTTATCTTGAATCTGCTTGAAGTATATCATGTGTGTGTGTGTGTGTGTGTGTGTGTGAGTGTGTGTGTGTGTGTGTGTGTGTGTGTGTGTGTGTGTGTGCGTGTGTGTGTGCGTGTGTGTGTGTGCGTGTGTGTGTGCGTGCGTGTGTGTGCATGGGAATTTCTTTCCTTGTTTGCCGACAATACAGAGGCAACTGGTCGGCTGGATTAAAAAATAAGGATGATGCAAAAACTGGTGCCGATACAACTGCAGGTGGAGTTCTTTATCAATCTCGGCCCTATCCCAGCCCTGGTGCTATTCTCAAAGCTAACAAATCGGGCGCAAACACCTCCATTGGTCCTAAACCTACCGACTAGCCCAGTGTTGCCTTTTGCAACTCAATAAGCTATGTATTTGTATATTATGTTTTTGTACATATGCACAGGAACTAGATTTGTTATTGTACATACTTGACTTAGCCCCTTGTTGCTTCTTTGTAGAGTATTTGCCATTGTTGGTTAACGTGTTGCTCTGGTTCCTGTTCACTCGTAAACATGCTGGTGCAGTGTTGGCCCTCTCTTTTTGTCTCCAGCAGTACTTTATTATTTTGTTGTGTCTGTACAGTTGTGCTTTTGCTCGTTTCTATTGGATTCGTGATAATTATTATGCTTTTCCTTATTTCATGATTGATTATTGCAATGTCCTCCATACAACTGAGTTGGTTTCGATAGTTGGATATACCGGTACATGTATTAGATTGAATGTGCATGCGGGCTCCTATGGACGGTGACATCCCCGGGCAAGAAATGAAACAGCACGCCCAGGTCTTGGATAGGTTTCTTGTGTACCTGTTCTTCGGTACGCCGACTGCAAACATAACTCTGTGTTGCCGATGTGACTCTTTCAAAACATGTAAAGCAGATATTGTGGCAAGAGTACAGTCATACTGGGAACATGTTCATGATAATGCACTCAGTGGTTCAATTCTGTATCCACACACTTATCATATTTTGATGTCGCTAGCTACAGTTGCATGTGCGTGCACACTTCGCCCAGAGAGGGAAAATATATACATTTACTGTAAAACGGTAAGCACTCAGCCTGCTGAGTAGGCGTATTTTTCAATGTCGCTGTCTACAATACAATTGCATGGTTCTAGCTATCATCACGTGTACATTATGATTGTACTCTTGCCACGGCGCGTTCACCATTCAATTATACACAGATTTCGCCAGAATCTTCAGACAATAATTCCACTGATTCCCATATTAAAGTGAAGGCAGATCGAATCTCCAACTCATAGCTCCCACCATGCACATTTGATCCACGTTCTGCTGTCATAATAGGACTGATTTTAGGATTATGCACTATCTTTTCTCAAGCTAGTGGATTGTAACACTATAGTTGAAGAATTGATGAATTCCAGTTGTTAGCTTGTTTGTTTACATGGCTGTGACCAGCTCATTCAGATTCTGCTCATTCAAGAATATTTTCAACGCTGGGTCCAGAATGAGTAACTGAACACATCCATTGCTCGAAGCAGGGAGCACTCCCCAGGTTGCAGACACCAACATCAGCTCACGGGTAAAGCCATTCTTGAGAAGCACAAGACTAAAACACACCAGAGCATAGCATCAGCCAAGACGAACTGATTCTGATAACAATAACAAAATAAGAGATGCAACGAGTGCCCAACACCTCTGTTGTAGGTATCTTCGTCGCGACATTAAAAAAGAGAACAAAATCTGAAACTGACAGAATTTGTAACACCGGCACGCTTCTTTGGACAGCACATGATAGTAACTTTTGAGGTGGGAACGAGCGTATGACAAAGAACTAATGATCGTCACCTATGAGGTAAGACCCAAGCTCTAATTAGAAAACAGTGCTAGCAATACGAGCATGATGCAGTGACAGACCACTACGGCGCACACCAAATCAGTATGAACCCTCGCACGCTCGTACACACGCGCACACACACACACATATACAGCCAGGCGGTCTAGTGAAAGCTACTAATAAGCTAGTATGGCGCTCGTACACCAGCTGAGACAGTGCAGCAGACACACGCATGTGGAGAACATCAAGGTGGTTTGTAGAAACCCTTGAGAATGTCACACAAGTTCAGGGGATTCAAAGCGAATAGAAATCAGTAGGCAGTATATCTACCAGAAACACAATGAATCATCGCAGCCTGGCACATGAACACAGCCGTATAAAAATTAAAACTTTCATCATGACATATTTTAGGAGGTCAAGGATTTATAAGCTTATGCACTCACGACACAAAAAAGTAGCATCCGAATAGTCATTTCCTCTCTCCATGATGAAGTTAAATGTTGTCAATGTCAAGATCATCATCTTCTTCCTCCTCTTCCTCCTCGCCAGCTGCAATTCTCTCGGCTTTCTTTTTCTCTTCATCTTCCTTTTCTACCTGCGACTGAGATTTGTGTGTGTAGACAACCTCAACACCATCTTCCTCTTCTTCCGATGATTCCTCATCGGCCTCCTTCAGCCACTTGATGAACATGTCCGCCTTTTCACGAATTGTCTGAGCGGTTTTCTTGTCAACAAATTTCTTGGACACCTGTTGGAAAGAAATGAGTGAACAGCAGAAGTTCATACCATTTGATTAGCAGTTTGAATTGAACATGAGCTGCCAGGAGTAAAGCCCCGGTGCCAAGCAGTCGACACGGACGTGTGGGAGTCTGGCATACCGTAAAAGCCCGTGTATAGGCCCCCGGGCGTATAGAATAGCAGCCTCGATTTCCTGGGCGTATACAAGGGCACGGGCGTTATTTTGGAACCGGGCGTATACTTGGAATAGGGATAGCAGTAAGTATTGGGTATCAGTTCCTGTACATGTTCTGGTGTTTCCGGCATACCTGGGCGTATACATGGGCATGGGCGCTATTTTGAAACAAAAGTGTTGTCTTCCCCTGACTGGGCGTGTACACGGAGGGTGGGCGTTATTTCGAGTGGGCGTATACAGGGGCTTTTACGGTATCTCCTATCCTGAGATATGGGGACCAACTCTTCCGAATTTCAAATCTACTGAGATCTGAAGCTTTGGCTGAAAAGACAGATATAGTCATGCAACCAGTCTTTTAATTATTCACTATTCTCCGCATCCACAGAGAAACAAGTTAAAAAAATCATCTCTTGCCAAGAATATTGAAAATACAGCTAACTGATGGAACATACATATTCGTGCATAAAAGGCAACAAACAAAAACAACTCTTAGTTACGACAAGAGAGAAAAAGAGAAAGAGAGAGAGAGAGAGAGAGAGAGAGAGAGAGAGAGAGAGAGAGAAACTAAGACCAAGGAAATAAAACGATGCTATCAAGTTCATACCTTCTCATGCCACTCAATGAAGACATCCTCCTCAACCAAATCATTGTCATAACACGTCTTCAGAATCAATGGAACACGAGTGATGAGCTCTGGGTGCTTTTTGCCCGTTAGCTTTTCAATAGCGCCAAGAAGATGCTTCTGTGCTTTCTTTTTGCCATGAGTAAACTGCAAATGGTCAAAGCAAAGGGATACAATCATCATGCACAATCATGTTTGAAGGAAAGGGAGGGTTAGGGGTTAGTACATGCTGCACACTAACATGCACCACTGGCCACTACTGCTACCAAGAGTACATAACCCCAAGAGTATGCAACTTTACATATGGAGACTGGTGCGGCACGCTGCCCACATTACGTAACCATTATCCTGGTCCTGGACTGCCAATATGGTGAAAGTCCCAGTGTGATTGGAGCAGCCAATACAAAGTTCTATCATGTGAACCTTTTGCCTCAATTCTGTGATATCAGATTTTTAAAGAGACAGTGAAACCTGTCTAAGGCGACCCCTCAAGGGACGAGAAAAAGTGGTTGCCGTGGCCAAGTGGTCTTCTTATCCAGGTTCAGTGGGTCACGTGACCATATCCACATGCGACACATCATTTTGATCAGTGTATCACGTGCACAGTGCACACACCTATGCTACTCTCGCACGACTCATGTGCCTGGGGTCCTCAGACCTGTCAAGTGTTGTGCATGCACCATTACATGCACATCTACACTTCCTGCACCGATGTGTAGATCTACCAATACCATGCATGGTGCACCAGGCAATGCATACATTTACATGTACGAGCACTGTGCAACGCGGTCGCGGGTGGGTGGTCGTCAGTCGCATTGAGCGTGGTCGCCTTATCCGAGCTGTTTTGAATGTGAATGCGTCCGTGACAAGGAAAAGTGGCCGCCATGGTCGAGTGGTCGCCATTACAGGTTTGACTATACATGTATGTGATGTCATGATGATGTCATGATGGCAAACTTGTATGGGAGTTGACATGAAATAACCAAATTCTTTTTTCGCTTCACACCAAGAAGAACAGGCACTTTCTTCTTCCTTGTTCATCTGTAACTATGAGCTTATCAGCACACGAAGCACAGAAGCCATATTATAGTTTCGACTACAGTCCATTCACAAAAAGATGGGCCCTGGCTCTGGCGAGCTCCCGTATTAGGCGATTTTTCAAGATTTTATCGTACACAGTGCAGTGCTGTGAAATTTGAAAAAGGGTCCAAAAACTTGGGCAAAAAGGGTACCTGAACTGGGGTTCGAACCGTACAATGCACTGTTGCAGGCAGGGTCAAACGGCCTGGATTTTGATGGGTTTCCAATTCATTGCTCTTCGGGCAAAACCTGGCCGAAATCCTATTCTTGCTATGGCTTGCTTTTTGGAGAAAAAAATAGACTTCAGAAACATAATTGGAAGCGGATTCCATAGGAAAATTCTAAAAAAACTCAACATCTGCCCCATTTATGGCCAAAAGCTAGAAGTCCATCTTTTTCTGAATGGCAGTGTTGTCACATCATTCTAGCCAAATATCAGTAGCATGAAAAAATAAAATGCATCATCCGGGGGCTTTGCCCCCGGACCCTCCCCCCCCCCCTCCCCTATAGCGACCTCGATATACACACATGCGGCACTGATAAGAAAAAAACATTAATGGTTTTGCGTGACACTCAGGCTGAGTTTGCCGATTTTCCCCCGAGACGGATGATGATTTCGCTTAGCGCCTCATGAGAGAGCTATGGAAACACTCGTGATGCGCAGTAAAAGTCAAAAATCTGGACCACGACTCCTAAACCATGCATAAGGTCAAACTTGAACACTTTCATGGCCGTTGTCGGCAGGAGGAGGTCAATTGTCTGTAGGTCGTGACATGCCTCAAAAATCGGCAGGCTACTGACATGTCGGCAGGTGTGGCAACACAGGAATGGACTGTAGGCCTTCTGTACCATTACTTTCAAATCGAATACAATGGTGATTAACACGGCAGCAAGCAAGTTAAAGTGCCGGTTATAAGGACTTGCTTGCTGCCATGTCAGTCTGGACCATGCGCTTATATTAAAGACTGCGCTTTTAGTTTTTCATCCATCTGGTACATGTACATTGGTTAATATTGTTTTGTTTAATATACCAGTAGCACAAAGTTTCCCACCAGGTACCGTGAATGGCAGGTTGTACTTTATATCACGGCAATCACAGACTTGCGCCACTATGTGTGTATGTGATACTGTGTGACGTCAAACATGCATGGACATGACCCATATAGTTCGCTTATATCGGAGACTGGGCTTGTATATCTTCGAAGCCCTCTTGGAGCGCGCTTCTAAAAGAGACTGGGCTTGTAATAGAGAAAATACGGTACCAGCAATTTATTGCGCATGCAGTGACCCCGGTCCACACAATCCGGCCAGAAGACACATAATGACGTCCCAGACAGGTTGCACTGATTCCCCTGGGACTTTCACCATTGGAATCATTCATTTCAGGGTGAACTCCTCCTACTAGTCAGTAGTATAATTATTATGTTGTATCACATGTATCTCCACATGTATCTCAACAGTCTGCTCACACCTCTCACCTGCAAAAGAAATCGCCGGTACTCCTGCAGCTGTTTAACCACAGTCTCATCAAACAGAATCTCGCAGGCAATGAACACTCCTTTCTCCAGTACTTCAAGCCGCTTGGCCTCTTCATAAACCGTACGATTCGCAGGCACCAATGTCTTCTTCTTCTTCTCTGCCTCGACATAGGAGAACAAGCGTTCCAGACGGTCATCCTCAGACAATTCCAAGTCGTCTGTAACAGCCAGTGACGCAGCTGCCATCGACAAAGCAGTCTGCCGTATCTTGACAGCATCAGCACTAGTGTCCACTGACCAGTCTTCATCGGCTGCCTCGGTTGGTGCTGCAACGGATGGTAAGCCTCCCATGCCATTCATCTATAGTGAGAGTAAAAGCAAAGAATACTGTATAAACGAACTAGGATTTTAGAAGGCAGTGCAAGATGGGACTACAATATACATTTCACATGATGGGTAAAGGCAATTATTGTGCATTAGATGGGACTATAGCTTGGGATAGAGAATGCAGCTAGCTGTGCGAACAGTCAAAAGTTACCATTGCACCGGGTGAAGTAGCTTCTTCATCAACGGACCCAGAAGCAGTAGCACCAGAGTCAGCGTCACGTTTGCCCTTTCCTGACTTCGACTTAGTTTTACTGGACAAAAAGAGAGCAACACATGAGTTAAGAATGTCAATAAACGTGCACGTACAACAGGCATGACTGCATAGCTGCAATATTACAGCCAGTCAAGAACAGATATGTGTAGCAAGTACAATGGCCATGTGACTACACGTAACAATATCACTTACAGTACTCGGGTGGGGACACCGAGATTAAGGTGAACTAGACAGCAAATCAGAGGTATAGAGATAGATAGATAGAGAGAGAGAGACTAGCCGTACCTTTTGCTTGGTGTTGACGATGATGCTGACAGTCCATCTGCTGACGGGGGGTTCTTCAAGATGAAGGTAGTAAGCTTGTGGCGCATGTCAATGATACCACGGTGGCCACATGCAATGCAAATCTGGTTAATTGTCTGTTTCTTTGTGACCTCCTGCACAGAAAGGAAAGATACAACTTCGATCAAACAACATAAAGGCAAGTCAGGGCAGCACAGCTGCAACACCAATAACTCCACTTTACGAGCCTCCCCCCCCCCCCCCCCCCCCGTGCAACCAACTAGTAACCTGCATTTCAATGTGGGAATGTAAAGACCTAGAACAGAACTCGCATCCCAAGCCCACTTCTACAGGAACATATGAATATTGAATAATGATACGATGTCATATTAAAACAGAAACTTACCAAATTAGTTTCTGGATTACCACACTCAGCACACAAGACAAACTTCTTGATAAAGCCATCAAGAAGACCCTGCAGCTTTGGCGCATCATGGGAACCGTTCACAATGTAGCGCTCATTCTTGGCATCCATTTGTGTCTGTGCACCAAGCTCACATCCAAAGTACTTGGTCGAATCTAGAAGCATGGGAAAGATACATGGATGATTGAAAGTCGCTCAAAAGATATTTTTCATGAAAGCTACCTGTCCACACATACCGTCCATAGAGGCTGTACAGGGGCAAGTACTCATTGCAGCCTTCAGACTTTAGCAGCAAGAACCACTGAACAACGCCACACAGGTATCTATGACGTGCTACATCAAACTTCGGAGACCAATGAACAATACTGAATAATGATGGACAAGCATTTTTGACACTGCTAACAATATCCGACATAGATGAAGTGAAAACATATCAACAATACCATGTACAACTTTGCATACGGTGTCTGGACAGCGGAATTCATTGTTTACGTCATTTTTGATCAGTCATGGAAGTTGCGATCCGCGACTCCACTGTTGCACTGTATCGATACGATCTGTGACATAAGCTTTCACTATGCATTAACATCAAAATGACGTAAATGATGCGTTTGTCAAAACACTACGTAAGTCACAACCTCAAGGTTTATGTAGTCGTGTAAAAAAAGTTGTCAATACGGGTAGGCGTATGAAACCTGGCTTGTAATAAGCACCAACACCAGCTGAAGAAGTAGAAATGTTCATGTGCATATACAGCTATGTTATGCTTACAAGATGGGGGACGATGCAAAGATTTCGCGATGTCTACCATGTTCACAATCACCGTCTTAATGCCATTGCCTTTGCCTTCCACCTGAGAGAAACACACACAATAGGGAATTTTCTTCTGGGCCTTAAAGCGGATGAATATCGGCATAGCATTCATTGAAGAAAAGGGCAGGCATAAATCCTGGCACAATAGGAAGGTTCCGGAGTACGATTTTTCTTGCCAAAAACCGTAGAGGCTCTACGGATTTTTTATACGTCGTTTTCAAGCAGTGAAATGTTCCGGAGTACGCTTATGTGTTTGCCGTCATTGCCTAGGTTACAATCGCAAACACGTCACGTTTCCGCGCTATGCCTTTATACTTTGAATATTTGTACTGAGATCAAAACTTCCCGCGAAAAATCGATGTTTCTCGTACCAAATTCGTACGCGAAAAATCTTTCTGCACCCTATGACGCAAAATCTCCATACGAAACATGGTTCATATGAAAGCCAGTCCACACGGATTATCCGTGCCAAAAAATCGTATGGAGCACCCCTGGAAAAATCCGTAGCGCCCATTCGGATTTTGGCAAGGAAAATCGTACCCCGGAACCTCTCTATTATCACTGACTTTCCCGGTTACATCAGTGCTTTCCCAGACAATCTTGACTTTTCCCCCAGTCAGTGATCTCCAGCACTTTAATATTGCCTGTTATCACTTCCTAGTATTGACTCCCATAGATTTTTGCTATACCTAAGCAGTCAAATATTCCTGCATATTTCACTCCTTAGGGCTATATTGACTGCTTTGGCTAGTCGTGATAAATCTAATATTGACTTCGTACTTGGTCAGTATAGGAAATAAAAACCTCGTAAAAGACCTCGGCTTTGCCGAGGTCCTTTACTCGGTTTTTATTTCCTGTATTGACCTCGTACTCAGTCAATATTAAATTGTACTTACCATTCAGTTTCTACCATTCGTCTATCAATGGAAAACCACCTCGCACCATAACATAAGTATCAGCATGACTGAATAGTTCTCTCCACTGCCTTACACATCATAATGTATGTACTTCTACAACACAGAACCAAAACCGTAAGTACTAGTAAGTAGTAGTCGCCCTCAGTGATGCATAACCAAAGGCAAAGGTTATCTACTGCCAACCCACACATGCATGCACAGCTGCAGCTGTACTTAGTGGCACTACACGTACATGTACTACTGTTTACTAGTCAACAAATGAGAACGAGTAAATAGTTTTAGTATGCTTTACGTACGAGAAAGCAGTCTACAGTGTAGTTGTTTGTTTGGAACAATAAACATCACAAATACTGGTAACACTAGAACACAAAAAAAGTGAGTCAAGGTACAAAAACACAACAAGCAGTGCGCCAGGACAGACAGGATCATTCAACCAACGTTGCCATATCCATTAGACTAAATACCTTGGCAAGAAGCTTCGGCATTTTGTAGCGGTAGAAGTCATCTGCGACTCCTGTGTTGATATTGATTGTAGCCATCTTGAAGACTTGTTGGTAGACAACATGAACGGATCACTTCAGGAATTCAAGGATCGCATTATAGCTCAAAAAGAGCTTAGTAAATGAGCCCGTCGTTGAGCAAGGCAACACCGCTTCAGTGCACAACCAACCAGTGCAAGAGAACACGAGATATCGATCCTACAACTTGTACAAGGCCACTGACATACAACCCTCAAGGTTTCATCAACTCAGCAGTTCTGGTTCTCAACAAGACTGTTTGAGCAGCACCATGCATGTACATCAACGCTACAGCTAGCAGTAGGCCAGGCCAGGGTTGGAGAGCCAAATCAGCAGAGCTGTAGCTAGCTGCATTCTGCCATTCATGCCGCAAAAAAACATGGTCTTTCCACTTATTTTTTGCCAACCGGGGTAACCCCAGGCCGGCCCGCGTGCACTTCACGTGGGCCACAAGTATGATTCATTTTGCAATGATAACAATACACGAAATGAAAATTTCATTTCGAATGTTTTAGTTACTGTATGTTAGCTTGCAATTTTGAGAGATTTTAAACAGCAACAGCAAATGTCTCGAACATAGTGAAAATCAAAATACTGAGTTTGCCCGTAACGGAGGTATTACTGTAGGTGACGGTGATAATGATATTGAGTATTCTCCATTGTAGTGATTCCTGGGTGATGGATTTCTCTGAGCAGTACGTGGAATGTAGCGAATAACAAAAAGTGAGAGAATGTTGAGGAACGCTTCATTATTCAGGTCATGGGTTCCTGTCCACCCTGGAACAGGATTGTTGAGAATTTCCAAAAGGCACGAGAGGTCTGATGCTCGTACCAACGTCAAGACATTGGAGACCTTCTCCACTGTTCGAGAGGGAAAGATATTTTTACAATCATGTGACAAATTGACGGAGCGGGTTGCGATGACCGGATTCAAAAGAGCTTATTCATTGGCCGTTTCAGAGATACGCAGCTCTCCCCATATTTTGAATGCTGGTGTGGTTTCAAGTGACCTGGCTTATTTGGCTGTCAAGGTGGCACAATCTGGCTTATCGGATAAGAATTTTGCATTAGTTTTGGAAGGTCTTGGTCGACTGGAGATATCGTGCGTTGATTTCCTATCAGAGAATCCGCGCCATGAGTCACTGGTCCATGCGCTGACCCATTGTTGCAGACAAGGTGTTCAGTCCAGTGCCTTGAGTACATCCTTCCTCAATCTTATTCTGAACAAAAGGCATGAAGTCAGCAATAGCCAGTTATTGGAATACCTTCCATTGCTAGCTTCCCTGAGCTATGGCGGCAACAAAGTATCAACTGAGATGTCAAGGTTTTTGCGGCGTCGATTCTACGGTGAGACTGTTGCGACAACTGATATCCCAGCTCTGACTGTGTTCTGTGCCCGTGCTGGGTACTCATTGCTGTGCAATGATATCCTTGAAGCGTATCACAACGATCTCCTCTTACGGCCTGATGTGTTGCTGAAGATCGCTGGTCACTGTCGACTCCCGCCAGCCTTGCAGCACCATCTGGTTCATCATCTTCAGCTGGATGTGAAGCAGTTTCCTGCAGCAGACTTGGCTGATGCTGTACGTGCTTTTGGAAGTGCAATTCCCCAAGCACTAGAGACTGAAATGATGCTTGCTATCCTTTCCAAAGCAAATCAGCTGTCCTGTAAGCAGCTTGTCAGTACGATGTACAAGGCATGTAAAATCAACATGAAGCCTCTTCCAGCAGAGAGTGCACTGGAGTGCATCTCATTCTTGTGCATGCATATGGAACAACTGGATGCCAAGGATCTGTGCATAGCACTGGAGTTTGCCGAGCTCTTCAAAATTGATGTTGAGAACTTTGTACGCCTTGCATGTATAGAGGTGACCGAGAGAATTTCATTCATGGTGAAGCCGCAGTCCAAGCTACTGCCTCTGCTTAGGTTGATCAAAATCAGGGATATGAAGCTCAGGTGTGCATTGCCTGATAATAATGGCTTGCGCATCTTGGCTGATATTCTGACTTCAACACCACTGCGGCCCTTGTGGGTTTATGCAGATCTTGTGGAGTTTTTGAATGGAGGAAACTATCTACTCTCCAACTTGGTCAGTATGGTTGGCAGCAGCGCACTCTGTCACCTCCCGTCAACCTTTTTGCAGGGAATTTGCAAAGTGGCTGTTGACTCTCGTGTTCCTCTGTTGGTGTTGCCTTTCGTTAATGAGCTGGTAAGCCGCGTGGATGAGGTGGAGTCTGCTATAGACATGCTCTTGTGGATGTCAGAGTATGTTCCTCTATCATCGAATGAATCTATCTGGAAGCAGATTGTGGAGCGAACCGTCGCTTCCAAGCTAAATGACTCTCAACCACCAGAAAAGGTTAGTGTACTGCAACTGTTACTGCTTTTGCTATTGTTCAGTCTATACTGCATCAGGTAAACTACAGTTGTGCTAACTGTGTGTAGTCCGACCTAAAGTGCATGTTTGGCACCCCGGACTTGCACGCCGTCCACGCACGGGCAGCAGTACGAATGCAGCAGGATGAACACACGTACACATATAGTGATGTATGCAATACTCGCACAGCAATGATACAACCGAGGCCTTCTTTGCCGTTGCTGAAACTTTCGTGTTTGGAAGAAAGCATTTATCAGACAGGGGCGGATCCAGGGGGGTGCGAAGGGTGCAAATGAACCCGTCAGGATTTTTCCAAAAAAAACAAAAAGTCAGGCCAGGCCCAGGGCCCCAGGCTCGCTGCGCGGAAGATGAGGATGACCAACATTCTCCAGGATGCGGAGTGAGGAACTGAACAGCCGCCCTGAATTCTGACTAGAGTTGACATTGTGTATATAGCATGTACATAGCATAATCTGTGTCTGACTGAGAATCATACCGGTAGCAGTCGTAAATTACTTGTAAATTTTGACATTCAATGTGTAACTAATCATACTACTCATCTTGGCGCTATGTGTAATTATGATACAGTAACACACATAACATACTATGTCTTTGGTTTACTACTGCAAAAGAAAATATGTAAGTTTCATCCTCGCACCCCTCAGCTTTGGGGTCTGGATCCGCCCCTGTCAGACATCATTGGTACAGTATCATACTTCAAGTACGTAGATGCTGCATCCGAGCAGCATGATGCTTGTGTTTTAAATTGTTTTTTTTCCAGACACTTCACTGAGTATAAATGGAAAAGAAGGACTTGGTTGTGTCCTTGGCTGTATGAGTATTGTGTTGCTGGCTCTGGCCACTGGACATCGAACACTATACACTGTACAGCCTGAAGATTTTAGACACATGTCTGTAGTGATGTATAATTGGGAATTACTAGTAGTCCAAGGCGCCAGCTTTGTACTTTGGGTAGAATTTCACCTGGCCGAACTGAACATTACCACCACGGAGTTGTAGCTTACAGGGAGACGGCGCGGGCAAGGGTAACACTACATCATGTGGGTTTCAACCTCGGGCTGCCTGTTGCAAGTTGGCATTGGGTCAGGGCCGATTTATACATGCTCACATAATTATAGTATTGCTTGTCTGGGCCGTGCTTGGGGTCATCAAGTCAAGGCCGTGACCGTGATCACGAATGGCATAGTCAACGGATCACATAGAACTTCCAAACCGGGATCGAAACGCTTTTCATTTCGGTTACTTTGATCTCGTGTCGTCTCCCTAGATGCTGTGACTTCCTGATTGGCATCAACTAGTAATTTTATGTTTGCCCAGTTTGAGGTAGAGATATGCATTGTTGCATTACCTTGAGTCTTCTTGCGCTGTAATGTTAATGCGCACTTTCTAGTGTGCGGATACCGGTAGTTGTTTGGAGTTCAATATGGTTAGGAAGTTAGATATGGATGCTTTGTAGACCCGACAATACTGAAATTGGTGTCCATCGCGTAGAATCTCGCCGCGGATGGCGGTGGTAGTGGGGATATGTTTAGTTGAGTCAGACTATAGCGTTATTGTGTAAGATGGTCTACTTGAGTATTCGTTTCAGCTTGGCTGTAACTTGGACATGCTTCTATGCTATGTTTATGTGCAATGCAGTGGCTAGGTCTTCTGCTAGTTCTCAGTGGCAATGAACTGAGCCAACTGGTAGGGCAGCACATTGTCTCTCTCGTTCAAAGTGGCTCTGTACAGTGGCCAGTACGCAGTGTTGTGGAAGCAATCATCAGCCTGGCATCTGCCAACATCACCTGCCTGGAGATTGTGACAACACTCTCCCAAATGCCCAATGTTGTTCAGAGCCTTGAGGTACTGCCAGTGCATCTGCTGGGGAATCTTGTGTACAGCTGTGGGCGTTTGGGATTTGTGGTGCCACAAACTCTCCGAGAACCAATCTTGGCTGACCGTTACAATGTTTTCAACAAGATCAATCTTTACTGGGCACTCATCGCCGGTAATTCTAAGGACGTGGATGATGATTGTACCAGCCTTCTACAATCTATTTCTGCCGGAGGTAAGTGTGTGTGCCGTGTTATTGTCTGTATTACCAAGAGTACATGCCCCCCCCCCCCAGAGTGTGCAACTCGACTATGGGAACTTTCCCGACAAAATTTCAAGTTGACGAATCCGGAACCTGTGGTGGACTAAAGCCCATCTGATCCTGTCCAAATTATTGCAAAGATAAACGTGTCATGCGTTGACACTAGTCATAGCCCGAAATTGCCGGCAATTCTCTGAGCAATATATCGAAAATTCGAAATACCAGATCGCCGGCAATTTTTGAGCAATTTATCGAAAAACTTTAGATTTCAGATGGGATTTAAACAATCGACGAGGAGACAATAGTTGTAAAATGGCAATAAATAAGATAAATTGTGCACTCATAACAACAGCAAAAATGAAGAAAGTCAAGTTCCATAACGTTTTCTTGTGACTGTCATCAGTGGAACGCCGTCACATAAAAATGTAATAACTAAAACACACACTTATATACATGTAGCTAATATGGTTTCAGGTAGAAATACAGCTTCGCTTTTTGTACTTGTTAGCTGCTGTATTTCTACCTGAAACCATATTAGCTACATGTATATAAGTGTGTGTTTTAGTTATTACATTTTTATGTGACGGCGTTCCACTGATGACAGTCACAAGAAAACGTTATGGAACTTGACTTTCTTCATTTTTGCTGTTGTTATGAGTGCACAATTTATCTTATTTATTGCCATTTCAGATGGGAATTTGGAATTTTCTCCCTAAAACTGGGCTTGTAGTTGTACTGTAGAAGGATAGACAGAGAGTGCACTGATGTCCATGCTGGTGTTTTTTTTTGGACTGTGGTGGACTACCTGGCAGGTCCTTTGCTTCACACTGTCTATAAAACCACCAATAAGCATCACAAAGTAGTTTTGAGCTTGATCTGAAGCATTCCAAACCATCCTTATGCATCACACATCACTTTTACAGGCAAAGAGTTCCTTTTGTTTTACAACCGAGCCACTTTTACGAGCAAACAGAAATGTGCCAGTACTAACAAGAATATTATTATAACCGTATTAGGAGAATATCCAGCAAGCAGTGGTATTTGAACACACATGCAACGCAAGTACATGTACCAGACTACTTGTTGTGGTGTCTACAAACAATTAAATTGACATACAAACTGACAGTGACATACACATGGTTATTAAACCAGGGTCGTCATATTTGGAATCGGAAGTGACAACAAACGAAGCGCAGGCATGGTATAGGCAAACTTCTCTATCCATGAGTGGCCATCACTGTAGGTGGTGAGACCAGCTATTACTGTGAGGGCAGTTCATCACCGCAGAACTTGGCAGAGTTCATCCGGGCCATGAGAGTAGCCTCAATGGTCTCCTCGAGCGACCTCTCCTGCCTGTCGCTGAGCAGTGAGTTCAGCAATGAGAAAGCCCTCTCGCTGGCTGCACTTGAAGGTTGTACCAGCAGGACAAGCTTCAGCAGACTTCTCAGGTTCGGGAACTCATCAGCATGTCGGCGCCACCACGCCATTGGCTGCACTGACCCATCCGATTCCTCAACAGCAGCTGCCTACAGTGGTACTTCGGGCACGATCTCACCAGAGAGTGCGGCAAAGGCACGATCTCACCAGAGAGTGGGGCAAAGGCACGATCTCACCAGAGAGTGGGGCAAAGGCGGGTTGGTTGGGAAGAGAGGCCACAAACTCTCCAGTTGTTGGTCTCTTGTCAGCCATGGTGTGAGGATGAAGGAGGCCTGCCATCTTGAAGAAAGCCATTTCACGCTCGAACTCAGCAGGTTGACCATCAGTGCCCACAAACTTCTTCAGAAAGTGCTGATATCCTGGCTGGACACACTGCTTGCCATACTCCACCAACTGCTGCTGATGCTGCTCGTTATCCGGGTAGAGTCTTTGACATAAGGCTGTCAGGTGTGGAAAGTGTCCCATATCGAAATGGGCTTGGATACCCTTGATCACCCTGTACGCAACAAGAGAGAGTGGACCGTCGCCTTCGAGATGGTAGGTCGCCTTCACGAACACTTCACCCGCATCAACCACAGCAGCCATCTGCACCTGGACAAGGTTTCGTATCTGCGGAGTGTCTAACATTACCAACAGTTTGCGAACTGTGGCAGGTGATAGCTCTCTTTGCGCTGCAATGAACCCATGCACATCGGGAAACAGCTCCACAACCTGCTTGATCACCTCCCATCGTGACCACCACCTCGTCTTCGATAGCAGCTTCACGTCGAGTCCAGTCTGCTCCCGGAAAGCAATGCGGGCCTTGAACGAGTGGCTGAAGAGTGAAATCCAGGTGTTGACGAACTCCAATGCGTTCGGAAGTTGGAAATTCTGGCCCACGCGATCAAGAGTGTGGCTGAAGCAGGTCACATCAATCAAAGATGGGAAGATCTGGTTCAGGTTGTTGATGGCGGCAGAGTTGACAGATGCACGGTCTCTCATTGCTGCAATGACGTTGTGGCGTAACACATGGATATTCTCCATGATGCAGTCGAATACTGCTCCCGACACATCAGCAGCGTTCATGGACCTCTCGATGCACTTCAGGTTTGCAAGTCATCAGTGACATAACGCACGACAAGAGCAAAGGCTTCTCCAAGCCGCGTTGACCCATCGAAAATGATGGAAGTCCGAACTCCTTGAAGCTCCTTGGTCAGGTCTGCGCGGTACATCTTGTGTACGACAGGGATGCACTCCCGAAGGTGATTTGCAGATGTCAGGCGCTGTCCATTCTCCTCCAGAAGATCGCGGAAGTTGCCAGTCACTTTAGAAATTGGAATGCCAGACTCCAGCATTCAGTGGGTCACAACGGTAGAGCCTGGTGCTCTCAGGCAGATTCTCCCCTGAAGGGTGGTATTGGCTGGCGTAGTTGCGCAAGTGACCGGTGATGGTCTCTTTGATTTATTTTCTTTGCTTGTTTTGTGTTTCGTAGAGTATATATGGGTTTTGATGAAGCTCATCTTCGTGCCAAGCTCTTCTCTGCAGCACGAGCAGAACAAGGTGCCTGCCTCAACGGTCAAGCATTCTCCTGGGAACTTGGGAACTCTGTCCTTGGGGGACACTCCCTTCACGAAGCTTGCACTATTGGTATCTGACCTCCCAGGGCAGGAACACTTAGCAGAGTTGCCTGGGGTTACATTGGTTGGTACTGATTGTTTCCTCGAGATTTCAGCTGGCTTTGGTGGTTGAAAGCGAGCACAAAAGTCCCGCACGGGCGGATCTTCAGGAGCAGGTTGCGGACCATCACCACTGCTACTATTTGGTTGCTCATCATCAGCCACTTCAATGATAGACGGCTCCTGGGACGCCACTTCCTCAAGACAAATAACAAGAACTCATGATATAGGAGCTTGATGACAAGAGCAATTTGAAAGCAATATTTCGACTCTAGGCTACACTGCAATTGATATACATAAGATCAAATTTTCGGGCAAGGCCCATCATCAGGATGATGGGCCTTGCCCGAAAATTTGATCTTATGTATATCAATTGCAGTGTAGCCTAGAGACCGTTAGAGAGAGTGTGTACAAGGTGTGTGTACAGGATGTATGGATTCAAGTATTGGCTACAGTGGAGTCTCCAAACCTTGAGAAAAATATTTCGACTGCCAAAAGAAATGCCAGGCAAGGTTTCGAAAAGGAGGCGGCAAAATATTGCCGCAATTTATCGGCCCGGGCCGGGCAATTTCGGGCTTTAACTAGTTGACACCTGTACACATGTTGTAAATCACTGTTGCTGGGAGCATTGCATCCTAAATAATGACGTCAACTTGAAATTTTGCCGGGATAGCAGGGTATGTGGGAGTTGCACACTCCTGGAGAGTTATGTACTTTTGGTATTACATGTACTTGTACAAGCAACCTGGGCGGTTTCGCTTCATGGTGACAAAACTTATGAAAACGACAAGTAAAATTGTCTACTATATATTGTGGTATGCTGCGAGATAACGTATGAAAAATTTGTACGTTTACGTTTTCTAAGTAATTTTTCTTCCATAAAATAAAGGCCAGCTTGGAGGCAGGTTGCCACCATAGTGTGTGTGTGTGTGTGTGTGTGTGTGTGTGTGTTTGTTGAATATTTCCATAGATACACTTTTTCATGATTTCCAGCCAGTCTCTATTGCATGTGCGTGTGGTTTGATGTTTGTCCTGATGTAGACCTGAAAGGGGCATCCAACGACATCATCCAGAGACTTCAACAGTTGCACACCCATAGCATCATCAAGAAAGGAGCATCTGCCGCATTGAGAGATGACACTGCTAGATTTGTGTCGTCCAAGTTGATTGGCGAGTGTTACATTCAAGCCGATCCTGTTGTTCAGGACTTGGCAACCCGTGTAAGGAGTCAAGTAGGAGAAGATTACGTCCTGTACAATTGCACAACGGCTGGTGGTGGCATTGTTGATGTGGCTTTGCAACTGGATGGCAACAACCAGCTAGTGGCATGGCAAGATAAAGGCACGCACACTACCATATCAAAGAAGGCGATTCCATTGGCACAGCGGACGTCATACAAGAACATGAAGGCAATCGCCGATCCAGTGATGCAACGGCTACCTGCATCGGATGGTGTGAGACGGTTTGCTCTTCTTGTCATTGATGAAAAGAAGCATCATGTAGCTGGGTCGAAACGAATGGTAGGGGAATCCGTTCTACGTGTCTTGGCACTGCAGTCACTGGGTTGGCATGTCATCAAGGTAGGTTGGTTTTGTTTGTATTGTGCACTAACTTTGCTATTTTACCAAGAGTTCATGGCCCAAAGAGTATTAAAGGGGAAGTTAAGGCAAAAATTAAAATTTCACCAGTTGTAGTCTTCGGGGTGCTGAGTCGAATGGTCGTGGTCCGAGGAAGCTGAGACGCTCCCTTCCTACTTGAATCCCAATCGAACTCGCGCACTTCCACTGAAACTGGGTGACTGCGCCCTACAAGATGGGGATTTGTATGCAAAATGTCACTAAAAGCGCCATTTTGTTCTTATAAAAGCACGGATGACCGCGATTGGCCCAGATGTTGTAGTCTTTTGGACGCTGAGTCGACTGGTTTTGGTCCGAAAATGCTGCGATGCAGCGTTCCTCCTTTATTCCCAATCGAACATGGTTGAACAAGCGGTCACGTGCTCCTGCGTACGCTAGTCACCTGGTCGCCGTGCCTGCAGGGTACAACTTACTAGCCTGTTTGACCTTTTTTGGGTGCAGTCCTGTCACTCGAGTTGAACTCGAGTTGAACTCGAGTTGAACCTTGGTGTGAAAGTTGTCGCCTGCTGGCGTGGTGACCAGGTGATTTGGGCACCCAGGAGCACGTGACCGCTTGTTCAACCATGTTCGATTGGGAATAAAGGAGGAACGCTGCATTGCAGCCTTTTCGGACCAAAACCAGTCGACCCTGCGTCCAAAAGACTACAACATATGGGCCAATCGCGGTCATCCATGCTTTAATAAGAACGAAATGGCGCTTTTAGTGACATTTTGCATACAAATCCCCATCTAGTAGGGCGCAGTCACCCAGTTTTGGTGGAAGTGCGCGAGTTTGATTGGGATTCAAGTAGGAAGGGAGCGTCTCAGCTTCCTCGGACCACGACCATTCGACTCAGCACCCCGAAGACTACAACTGGTGAAATTTTAATTTTTGCCTTAACTTCCCCTTTAAACTCTGATTTCCAAGCTATGGGTGCCCTCATTACATAGTGAAATGACGATCAAGCTGACAGAAAATTTGTTTTCCTACGGTTTAGGAGCAACGTTTTCTTCGGGGGGGGGGGGGGAGGAGGGAGGATGTCATTGAGCAGCACTGTACGTGACCTTTTTTGGTTGCACTTGCAAATACTTGTATTTTTTGCAGTAGGCCGCATGCATAGATCCAGAAACACAAGAAACCGCATTTCAACTACCTCCGAAGTTCAGAGTTTTGGTGAATCTCCTCGATTTTCGAGAGGATATAAGAACACTTCTCCAACTTTCCACTCGCGGAATCTCGGACTTATACAAGAGGATCAAGGAACGCACCCAAATTACATGTAGTCCCATTTCTGACTTGGTCTGTTGTATTTTGTATACTGAGTATCCCGGACATGGGCAGTCCTATGCAAGACTTTGGGAAAAGTGATTGCATTTTCGTAATAACTCTTAGTCTGTGAATGTGCGGTGTTAGTAAACGGCACTTTCTCACTCCTAGTAATTTTGGGTTTACTTGCCCTGACCGATTGGGATTAGCATGATGAAGTGGTAATTTTGTTGTTTATTTTGGCGTGTGCTTCTACCCAATGTGTGTTCACAGGTGCTGAAGAAGGACGCTGCTGAGTTCTGTCTGTTTGACAAAATTGGCATTTCCAAAAAGTAGTAGGTTTCTTTTCGATTGAAAAGATTATATGTACACTCATCTAGATCATCCTAGTTTTATACAGACTGCATGTACATACTAATAATTTACTAATAATTTTATATATATACATGTACAATGTACACTCATAGCATCAAAGAACGCATAAAATGTAGTTGATTTTGAGCATAAAAGGTGCGCATAGTTTTAAAATCAGCATTTTCATCACAACAAAAGCATAATATGACAGCTATGTACAAGAAGCTCGGGCTTGTTGTTGCCTTGTGTAACCGTGATCGTTCCTGAAGAACATGAGAAGAATAGACAACAGCCGTAATTTAGGTTTTGATTGAGAATACAAATTGCTTTGTTGAGGTGCCACTCAATGATCAATTCACCCCTGGACAAGACCAATCTATTTCTTTCTCACTTTGTGATTACTGGTGTTAGCACCATACTATCAAGAATACCGTATTTCCGCAAACGTAAGTCGCACTCTGCAACCATTGATGTAGTATACACATTGAAGCAGTATAATTATGGCCATATGGCCGTGCCCTTATCCCTTCCGCCAAGAGTACATAAACCAGAGTGTGCAACCCGTGCATATCAGATCTGAAACAGTGCTGTTCGTGCACTTCATCACCCTGGTGAGGTCAGCAAAGACGTGCAGCTCAAATTTTGGTGTTTCACAGCCCGGAAATATCTGTACATCCGCTGTCAAGTAAATTCACCCGGCTGTCCGCATCAAAAACCCCGAAATCAGCACAAACTCAGTGGCCTGCAACACCGCGACTGGTTACGCAACTTCTCACTGTACAAGTGACTTACCATGCCGTCAGAAGTGACGTACGGCACGGATTATGCTCCCACAGGAACCATCCTGAGTTGCACACTCTGGTTTATGCTAAAACTGCGGCCACCGGTGAGGTACATGTAGCAGTTTTCTAAAGGAAATTTCTCACTTTGCCATAATTTCCATGACAACCTTTTCAAAAATCCTTGTTTTGCTCATGTGTGTATGAAACCCCTACAACTTCCATAACTATACTTGACTGTCATCCAACTACCTATGCAATCTTATGAAGATAGCTATGAAGTGCATGTAATATCAAGAGTCTATAACCTCTTCCCTCGTAGCAGATCAATCAACACAGTGAACCAGCCGATTCCCCAATTCATTGCTACGTACTGCGGGTAGTGTGCCGTGCCAGACCCTGTGGGGTTACGTGGGGTTGCATACCCAGGAGGTTATGGACTCCTGGTCAGATGATTGCAGCTGGGTAATTTTGGAGTACTTGTTTACCCTTTTTCCCCAGTCCAAGGGTGAAAAGCCGGACAAACGCGTATCGTTGCGGGTACTACAAGTACAGTGTACCGATGTATTATGATAACTTACTGTGTACGTGTTGGACACGATGCAGATTAAAATGGCATGTCGGACAGTGGGTCGCTCCTCCGCTTCATCAGAGCAATCTTCTTTCTCATACCCACGTCTATGATCCTCTTACATACTTCATGTTCCTTTCTTGTTCTCTTCCATTCTCCTCTCTCCCAGCGCTGAGTGAGTTTCATTTTGCGAAAAATACCATCAGCAGCCATCCAGGATGTAATGACACTCAGGGCGTGTTCTGTTCCTTCTGGGCCCACCATTATGGTGTTTCGCGCGAACTTGGGGTGCCTTCCCCCCAGCCGCACTACTGACATAAACACCATGCTTATCTTCTTCTTGTGGCTATCTTCAGTCTTCTACTATCCTCTATTGCAATAATTTATAAAAACAAGAGTGCAGAAAATAATGAGCTGCATTCAAGACGAGAATCGTTTCCGTTTCACGAAAAAAAATAACTGATGTGAATCAGTTTTTTACGACTCCCTGACATGTTGTGAATCATGAATGGAAGCTAGGTTGACGTCATCCGGATAAAATCATCATTTTTTTTTAAGATCAAGCATGCTGCTGCAACAACAAGAATGTCATGCCTATGGCTATGTATGTAAAAAATGTACTTGTTGTTGGTTTGACAGCTTGAAACAAGGTGGAGGACACCGTGTTCCAGGGGCGGATCCAGACCCCAAAGCTGAGGGGTGCGAGGATGAAACTATTACTTACATATTTTCTTTTGCAGTAGTAAACCAAAGACATAGTATGTTATGTGTGTTACTGTATCATAATTACACATAGCGCCAAGATGAGTAGTATGATTAGTTACACATTGAATGTCAAAATTTACAAGTAATTTACGACTGCTACCGGTATGATTCTCAGTCAGACACAGATTATGCTATGTACATGCTATATACACAATGTCAACTCTAGTCAGAATTCAGGGCGGCTGTTCAGTTCCTCACTCCGCATCCTGGAGAATGTTGGTCATCCTCATCTTCCGCGCAGCGAGCCTGGGGCCCTGGGCCTGGCCTGACTTTTTGTTTTTTTTGGAAAAATCCTGACGGGTTCATTTGCACCCTTCGCACCCCCCTGGATCCGCCCCTGTGTTCCTACTACAACCATTCACGGTTCCAAACACGGTGTCCTCCAGCTTGTTTCATGCTGTCAAACCAACAACATGCTTCAACTATAACAAGGTTTATCTAATACCAAAAATGTACTTGTAGCTTGTCGGCGGAACTTCCTGAACCCCAAATAAAGTCCTTTATCCGGACATTCACAACAATTTTTATCTGTCCCCTTGGAAAAACGCGATTCCGCGGTCGCGGCAATTTTCGCAGAAATTGCTATCATCCGCGGTAATCACGGAATCTACACTTTTGCCCGCGGAATTTGATTTTATTAGGGTAAATTAGTAAAATTACTACTCAGAAAGCAGCAGAAAAACTACTTCGCGATCTGTTGGAGCACATTATGCTCTTGCCAGTGTGGGTGAGTGCAGGATCTCCAAAATTCTTCACTCTCATGTCAGTTTGTGACTGCAAAGGATAGTGTGAAAAGTGCTCCTTCATGCAACTAGTTGTCATATCCTCTACAAGGAGGGTGAAAACTTGCAGAAAGTGCCGCAGATTTTTGATTTTACCACAGAAAATGCTGCAGAAAACCCCCCTTTTCCCCCGCGGAATTTGCCGCGGAATTTTGAATTATTGGCCGCATTTTCCCAAAGGGACAGAACAAACTGGTAGTGACTACTAGAGCGAGTATGAAGTGGAGCCAAACAACAAGTTCTATGTTACTGCTGAAATGCAACCTGTCAACGGCTATGCTTTATGCTTCCCGTCGATCAACATTGAACATCACAACAACTGCTGCATGAAAATGCAGTACGAATCGTACAACATTTGCAGCTCGTTCCGATTTTCCCAATGTTGAATCAACTGTCCGTGGACAGCTGACAGAGGGGCACACTGCATTCAAACTGCTTGATAGAAATGAGCAGTGGCTAATTCCTGGCCAGACTTTACTGGTTGTTGAGGGAAACACCTGAACAAGACATGACTGCATAAGAGGCACGGTAAATCTGTGTACTCGTCGAGAACATCTAATTTCGAGTTGATGAGCAGCCAGCTCAAATGCACTGACGCTCACAGGAAACAGAGAGAAATCAGGCACTGCCACCATGCAAAGCTCATGAGGTTGAGCAGACGACACACAGCCCATGTAGTCAAGTGACAATGAAGTTACACTTCTATACAGGTTGCAGTGAGCTGCAATGGAGGTGGATGGATACCGCTGAGAAAAAGGTATACAAAAGCTGTATTGTCAAGAATGTCCACAGTGCATCCCGGTGGAACGGCTTGACACACTGACGCAGCTGCTCTATCAGATTAGCCTATATACAAATCAAATTAAAAAGACTGACACAATGACCAAGTTGGACGCTACTCTGGTCAATGGTCAATGCTAAAGTTAGTTGCAGAAATACTGTAGATGGTTGGTGTCGTAATTCTGCTTGTGCACTATCACAAAAACATAGATCAAATTTGGGAAATGGAGGATAGGGAAGATCGGTCAAGATACACCATGCGGCTTGGCGGAAGCGGTACCTTACTTTCTTGTGAATGTCTTACCACTGTGGAAGAAGCAACAAAACACACACACACGGCAAACAATGACATAACACCGCGTTAGGAGAGTGATCACCAAGCAATTTAAAAACTATTTCAAAGAAAGAACAGTTGACCTGGCCAACTGACAACCGCTCCTTTGCTTTCTCTTCATACATTCTCAAGCAGAGAATCAGGACGAAGGGTAACCTGCTCAGAGACAGTAATACTACACAGGAATTGATATGGCAATGTACCGGTAGAGTATCTGAGCGCTGAATCAGAGAATAAACGAATAGCAACTGGGCAGAGCGATAGTCAGCCGACAAGTCCATCTGTATTGAGGTTTTAGCTATATTTAGGGGTCGTCGCAAAAGTTTTTTGTCGTCCCTGAAACGAACAAGATTCATTTGGGGGGGGGAGGAGTTGCGAGCCAAAATCGCAAGTCGACCGACACTGTACATATGACATGTACATGCATGCGATTTTCGTCATTCAGCATAGCAAGCTGTGTTCGTTTCAGAGGGAGGGGAGGGGGTCCAAGTACGAAATGAACGATGTTCGTTTCAGGGACGACAGAAAACTTTAGCGACGACCCCTTAGTAGCAACCTATGCGATGACCCTGGGCTGTGCTTTTTTTGGTTGCGAAGGTATCGGACCGTTTGATTGGTGAAAGGAAGTCGTCATGAGCAATCATTCCTTTCATACTGTTTCGGAATTGGTCACTTGAGTTTATTGTTTTAGAGTTGCCATTCTTGCGTTCTACATGGTAAGATTCGGCACGGCCATTTCACTATTATTTGAAAATATAATACTGATGTAATAGATGTACAAGTAGCTATGTAGGAATGGGGTGCCACATTCTCCAGTCTGCCCACAACTGGGTGGAAATGAACGTCCTATGACGACGACTTAGATGACAGGGCCATAGATCCTGGAGACGCACACCCAGCCACAGTAGACTAAAGTGAATATCAGTTGGTACTATTTCTGGAATGGCACAATTCAGGGAGTGTGTCAGGGCTTTGTACGACACTCTGCACAGCGTGAATGAACTACGAAAGGAGACAAGGCATCATGAGAAAGAAAAAGCCAATGAATTTTGCCGATCCAGATGGACTGACTGCAGCTGTGCACTCTGAGAATGGTGTACTTTTGGTACTTTGTACCACTATTCCCCTCTCCTCCCTATTCCTGCTCAATGTATGTATGCATGTGCTACCCTCCCCCCCCCCCCCCCCCCCCCCCTCCACAGACACACATACTCTTTAGGCAGTGGCAACCCAGATGCTCACACAACATGTAGACTACACAGCCGTGCTGACAAGAAGTTACCTGATTGTCTTCTTTTCTACTGCCTTCTTCTCCGGGCGAGCACGGTTTAGGACCTTCAAGAACGCCGACGTTCTTGCCCTCATCCGGCAGTGCAAGTACGCCTTGGAGCATTTGATGTGGTAATGAAGATAGTTCCGGAAAGTATGAATCAAGTCAATGGTCTTCTGACGCTGAGCACCAGCGACGGTTGCGCGTGGAAATAGAACTGTACCACACACAAGGAGAACTGGTCAGAGCCACGTATCAAACACCAATACCCCCCCCCCCCCCCCCTCCAGAGCTAAGACAGCACTTCCTGGTACAGCTACTAGTACACGGATGAAATTCTATATGCGTGTATCAGGAGGCGCACAGGTGAGCTGATGACAGGACCATACATGCCACAGACCTCAAGCACCGGTTCACTTCCGCAAAGCTCGAGGCTGTTTCACGCAGATTTCACTGACAAGAGCTGCATAAGTGCCACAATGCTGAGCCATACATGTGCACCTAAAACTCCGTGTCTATACATAAGTATTTACTATACAGTATTATAATACTAGTAGTTGTTGTGAGCGTCCAAGGAAGCATCTGGAAAACAGCCTGGAGGAATCGTTGATTTCAGGCGTGACATAATACTGGTATCAAAAATGCAAGCCAAAATTGGAACGGTAACTACTAACACACACACAAACACACAAACACACACACACACACACACACACACACACACACACAAACACACACACAAATATGTACACACGGTACACAAGCAGGTCATACATACCAAAGGAGATGTATCCAACATTGTTGCCAGTGCGTGCATCGGTTCCTTGCAGTTCAAGAGGTGGTTCACGGTGACTGAACTGCACTTGCGGTGCTGTGGTGCTACCACGGCGTCCTTCCTTGAACTCCTGCAAAATCAAAGAGGAAAATTATGCAGGCGCTTCACATGGCGGCGTCTCCATGCATACTTGTAATACCAATCAGCAGGTGTATCGATCAGATGATGAAGCAACAGAGTACATTGCACTGCACACACTACTAGCTGGTGTGACGCAAATCACTCACCTGCATGAAGACTTTGCCAATGATAACATCATCGTCATCCTTGAAAAGGGTGCTAAAAATCACAGTGACGCGATCCTTGTCTGCAGACACATACCTAAACACAGCAACAGATATATAGTGAAAATAATACCTCCAGCACTGCGCATACAGTCTACTCGCGATAAGTCGCACGCTTTAAAAAATTCTGTCTTCACTTCGCAAAGGATTCCGTGGCTGATGACAACGAAATCTGTGTAATCAAACGGTGTATGCATCTTAGGGAATTCTAGAATGGACGGAATTGTGTGTAGTCAGATGCACCCATTGACTTTCGGACCTGTTAAAGTTACTACTAATTCACGGATGCATCAACCACCGGCACCACAGGTCCAGAAAGTACAGAATGGGCACAGGCACAATTAGGGATCTCAGCGAGTGCAGTGCGCAGGGTGTTTGCGCATACATTGCGTCATCGAGTTTTGAGTGCAGCTCGCGGACACAGCAGAAAAATGGCGACGGTCGATTTTCGACACTAGGGGACGCGGTGGACACTAGCGGAATCGTCATCTTCATCGTCGTTCGAACATACTTTGTAATTCCCGCCGAAGGACAGCGTGGCCAAGGCGATATTGCCCCGGTCGATTTTCCTATAATTTTCCATGCGGCAAGAACCCACTTCAGAGAGGATTCAGTCAAAAATTCAGACGTTTTCTCCGGTTAGATTGTCCTAACTTCGATTTTCAGTGCATCAGCCATCGCGAACATCGCCGCCATTATCACTCAGAGAGAAGACATCGCGCTCAGTAGAAGAGGTGTTCACGCTGCGTCCAAGAGTGAAAGATTGTGCTCTTTGACCCTCCATAGTTCCTCTGAGAGAGTGTCTGGGAGATAGGTAGCTTGGAAATGGCCGTAGAACGTGCTTTCCTGGACGCAATATTCAGCCATTTCTACTGTCTTCTTCAACTTGATTTATTTCGAAAAAAATGTTCTTTTCCACGATTTCTGCACTGGACGCGTTTGGGATCGAAAATCTCACCTGCGCAGACTGGCTGCGCAGTTCACGCGCTGAGATCCCTAGCACAATGCAACTTACATGGTCTCGTCATCTCGGTAGTGAATGACAGCCTTGTCTTTGCAGCCACCAGCAGCTTGCTTATCAAACATGTGGTCGAATACAGATGCAAAGCAGTGACGTCGAAGCATAGCAACTTTCTTTGCAAACGCAGCTGTAAGAGTAAACAAAGACACCGGACTAAGACACGACCGCACGGTAGTGTTTACAAAGGAAATACATTCAAGCGCACTTGCATTGGTGGTTGTTAGATTCTCCTCTTGTAGCAATGAAGCCAAAACATCAAAGCCCCCCCCCCCCCCCCTTTTCAAAAGCAGACTTGTGACATCTACTAAAAGCCCACAAGAAACTCCAGGACTCACCTTTATCGGATGGCAGCGACTCCATATTGACCAGGAGAGAGAAGTCATAACCTGACACCCATAATGAACAGATACAAACAGACAAAGAAGAATGTTGCACTGGTCCAACATGACTGGTGTCACCCTGGTTGGACATCACCCCAGTTCTGTGTGACAGTGTTGCTCCTGTAGGCTCTGGTTTGTTCTACTGCTTGTTCCCGGCTTCGGCGCCTGTCCTCCTCTACGCATCCAACTGTCTTCTGCACCCTGGTTTTCAGCAATGGTTGCATATTCGCCGTTCAAGTGGTTACATTGCATGCTCAAGTTAAGTACATGAAGCAAGCTACCTACTGATTTATAGTAGTTTATGTAGGTCCCTGTCTGTCTGTCTCTCTATTCATGATGAACTTGCCCTGGCATTGCCATTCAGACCTCTCGCTCGTTGGCGTTGTTCATGAATCCTAACAGATTAATTTCCTCTGCTACTCTGCATACAGCATTACGAACCAACCAACATATTATGGAGATGCATTTAGAAAAATATGATGCCAGCACGATGTATATTTATTTATTATGCTATCACTACCAACAAGACAATGGAAGTTGGCCTACTTCAGAACTGCACATTGACTACTGCCACGATGCATTGCCGCTCCGTTTAGCATGCCTTTCACATACATGACAAAAGGGAATAACTTAAAGTACAGTATCGATAAGTAATAACGAATCACTCACCAGACTCAGGAGAGGTAACAAGGTCACCATACTCTGCCTTCAAGTACTGTCAGGCACAACAGAAGACACACGGAGTCACACAGATGTACAACCCAATGTGAAATAAGAAATCAAAGTAGACTGAGTACTTGGAGACCAAACACACATCAATGAATAGTGGACTACCAAGTACTCTACTGTGATGCCAAGAGTACAATTTAAGAAAAGGAAGGAAAACTGGTAGATGGAGAGTGAAGGTTTCCAAAAAAGGCTTACAGCTGGACAATGATCTGAAAACGGCTTATCTGGTGCGCCCGTGGCCGAAGGCTAAAACGGAATAGGTGATGATGATATAACTGTGTTGACAAAATTGGCTATGCTAACAAACAAAAGTCTGCACACATCCAGTGACTATTACTGCCTGTAGAAAGGTGAAGGAATACATGAACTCATAGAGTATGGCCTCCTCACCTCATTGATTCCATATTTGGCGAGCTCATGGTAGAACTTCATAGATATGCTGACCTGTGCAGCAAAAAGAAGACAATTGCCGGCAGTTAGAAAGAACATTATGCGAAGTACAATGCATGCATATGTCTGTACAGTAGAGTATCACCAGCAACATGGCCATTATAGTCACCAAAAGCAGTACAGAGATGGTTCTTCTTATGAGAATAGAAGTCAGAATCTCGTGAATGAGATGTTGGATATGATGAGAGTGACAAAGAGGCACGAGAAAACCTCAGAAATATGCATGCATGGCCCCACTGCTGTATGAAAGCAAATGACGTGTACTGGTGTATTTTGTAGTACATGTTACAGCCCAGTACAGGGACTGACTGAATTCAAGTGAAGGAGACCTGGGTACTAGAAAACTAGAAGATCGCATGCAAGGCTATTTATGGGGGTTCTTTTCTAGTGCACTAGAATGCGTTCTCATTTGGTCTGTACGCCGGCGCAAACCAACAGCATTGTACAACTACAGTCTGTTTCAAAAAGATTAGCAATCAAGTTTGGGTCTTAAAAAGTATGAAGGTAAGGGAAATTTGGACAACAAAGTACATAAAACGGCTTGTTAGGGTTTCTGGCCTTTTCCCATGGTTTATAATTTGCCCTGGAAGCCAGTATCGATTGGTTATCAAAACCCACGATTTATCCCTTCCTTTTTGGCCTTGTGGTTATGCATGCTGTCTGCTGACCATGAAGTTAGTTGTGAGTTCAAATCCCAACAAATCTTCAAGTCAAACATTTTTTTCTTCATTTTTTCATTGTTTTGGTGATCACGCTGCGCTGGTACAAGACAAAGAAGGTGGCTGCGCCAAACGACTTGTTGTTAGAGCTCGCGTTTCCTGCTGAACTGACTGACACTTGACTGGCTCACGCCATTTGAAGTTGTGAACACACGCAACACTGAAACCGTGTGAGTGAACACGGAAGTCATTACGCTGTAGCTACATGTACGTGTTGTTGAATACACCGGCACATCGATCGATCGATTTCTGTTTGAGAATTATTTTAGTAATTGAAGATCGCCAATTTATTTGAATTTAGGAGTCAACGCCGTCTTCTATCAGCTTTCACAGGCGTCTGCTTTTCTCAAAATGTCGTCGAAGTCACACGGATAGCTCTGCCACTTCAAGGCCTTGGGAATGAGCCTGTGTCAATGCCGTTTTCGTCACATCGGGAGAGTAAAATAATTGCATCCGCGGCAGCTCAAAGAATCTATTTGGTCATAAAAAGGACGCATCCCGCTAGCGCTCGTCAAAATTTACCACACTTTCGACATGTCCTCTCTGACTCCATATCGATGCGAGGAAGAACTCGTTTGTTGTAAACCAGACGAACATGTACGAGTACCGACGTCAGTGAGTTGTCGTTTTTCATGTTTTCGCGCGGAATATTTCTTCGAGTTCACGGTGAGTTTTTCCAGGCCGCGCTCGAGCGCTCATACTGTAAGACGGCAAACTCCCCGGGCGATCGCCAGGATTGCTAATCTTTTTGAAACTGACTATAAAGGGAAAGAAAAATGAAGGAAGGTATAGTGATATGCGTCGCAACTACATGCATTGTTAGCCAGCTTCTGATGCTAGTGTTCGGCCATGGGCACGGACACAGGTGCTGGCATGTGAAAGCACATGTTAAGTGTGTCTGTTCCCGTGTGTATTGGAACTATTTTCAGACCAATCACAGAAGACAAAATTAATAAGGTTGACGGTGGTTGGCGGAAAATCACAGAAGATGATCAATTCATATCCCGTGCATCACACCATTACCAAGGAATACCTGACGAAAAAAAGAAGAAAAAAAGAAGGCAACAGTAAGTATTCACAACCTACCAGGATCTTGTTCTTGTCTCCGTCAACATTTGTGATGTGGAAGAGGATACCATCAAAATCTAAAAGATGATTTTGTTAGAAAACAGACGAGAGAGAGAGAGAGAGAGAGAGAGAGAGAGAGAGAGAGAGAGAGAGAGAGAGAGAGAGAGAGAGAGAGAGAGAGAGAGAGGAGGGCACAAGAAAGAGAGGTATGTTATGATAAAATAGCGAATGCTCTGACGAATGGGCGACTAAAACTAAGTGAGTGCAAGATGGAGCTTAGCAAACTGATGGTACACATTGTTACAGTCACTCCTGCACTCTGCTATGAAGAGCAGACATGATCATGTGCTCTGAGAATGTGTGATGTGGTGCCCGCACACTTTATGGGTTGGCTGGGATATTGCATTTTTGGTTGGTGTCAGCTGCATGCAGTATGAACCAAACAGATCGAATGATTTGAAGGTAGCAGCCAACGATTATGAATTTATGATACTGGGTGATTATGCTGCAGAAATTCCATTTTTGTAAAGGACAAAGTTACCCTGCAATGGATACTATCGGAGGAAGAGATGAGGACTAGGCGAGGGTGTTAGCAGAACTGCCCAACACGCACGCGTATGCGGGTTGAACTGTCGCACAGACTGGTGATCGGTTGACCATTTATCAGGTAGAAGATGATACCTGAGAGCCTTACGTAAAAGCATGGCTGGTAACGCAGACTGATTATACATAACGTGCAAATTTGAAGTATGTGATTTGAAGTACGTGTTGACACATCACAATACGCACGTGCATGGACTAAGCATACAACTGCTATTCAAGCCTGGTTGAAATGAGAGACATTCTACGCATTGGCTACAAGCACTTCTTTGATACATGACTTGATGGTAAACAGTACTGTTCTCTTGGGGTAACAAGGACATTTGGCTCTGAGGAAAGTGCATGTACCACCACCAAGCAGCTTTACTGTGGAATACGGTGATACGAGAGAGCTTGGAAGCGCAGGGCCCTACGCTATGCTTTTTTGCCTTGATGACCTAGACAAAAAAAGCATAGGGATGTTATAAATTCTTATAAATTTCTACTCTTTGTTTTTAGACATAACCTGGGATTCGAATCCGCACTATCGCCCTGCATGCATCCCACGATACACTTCGCATACATACTAATTCTTCCAAGTTGCTTCACGTTATGATCTTGTATTTGAAAGCCCTATTCGAATATGCATTGTGGCCAGCCGTCTTTGATTGTACGGTACGGTACGGGACATGTACGGGACAGGTACGGAACAGGTACGGTCGAGGGTAATACGACACCATCTACCGCCTTGATGACGGCAAAAAAAGAATAGGGATGTTATAAATTTTTCAATTTTCCTACTTTTTTCAGGCATTACCTGGGATTCGAACCCGCACTATCGCCCTACATGCATTCCCCCATACACTTCGCATTCATACTCATTCTTCCAAGTTGCTTCACGTTATGATCTTGCGTTTGAAAGCCCTATTTGAATAGTGCGGCCAGCTGTATGTGACCAGGTGCGTTTGACGGTACGGGACAGATACGGGATAGCGCCAGGCGTGACACAAACACACAAACAAACAAACACCAAATTAAAGCTGTGTGGACCCTGGCTAGCGCCAGACGTTACTGAAGTAACGTCTTCTGCATAGCTACGGGAATATTATGTGATATAAGAGAGGTTCTGCTATACGTGAAACGTAGAGAAATCACGTAGAGAGCAGGTGTCTGGGTTAGAGTCTACGGCTTCGCGTGTTTTGGCTCCAGATTTCTACGCGGAGATGAGGTTCTCTACGTTGTGGCACACGCAGAGAAAATGCGTACGAATTTGCTGGGTATCGATCAACTGCATGCAGAAAACTGCCAAATATGGAAGGGGAAATTCCCAGTACACATTCCACGTGACTTCTCTTCGTGAAACGTAGAGCAGAACAGGATTTCTTTACGTTACGGGAACCCGAAGAGAGTTCGCGTGATTCTTTGCGTCGCGTTCCCAAAACGTAGAGCAGAACATCCCTATATTTAGTGCGCATTAACGGCACAGGGTCTTCAGTGATGGATCTTACAAAATAATTCTTCAACAAATGCATTGAAAAGAGAATCTAAAAACATCAAAGTCATCAATCAAAATCATGGTGATACTAGAACGTAGGACACTCACCAGCAATTTTCAGGTCAACAGCTTCCTTTTTCTCACTGAACAGTTGGCAACAATGTGATATACAAATAACATGATCGATATACATGTTGCGGTATACATTTTTACATGACAACAAACACAAAAAAGCCTTTGCAACAACTCCTCATGATCTCTCGTCTGGCAGACACATTATAGCGTACCTGTTGAAGCGAGAAAGAAGGGCCTCTTCCAAAATTTTGTTATGGACTTCCAAGAGAATCATGGCTACTGCTTTGAGCACACAGGATATTATCTGAACAGGAGTTCAACGTCCTTGCTCGGTGCGAACTTCACGAACGCACCTCTGATCAGCAAACAAAATCGCTTTCACTCTCTGCTCACTGTCGAGTACGAGACTGTGGTAAGATATCCGATGTACGACCTTCTGGTCCGGAAAGTGCAGCAAGTGTGACGTGCACCTTCGCCAAAAATGAAGCGAAAATGTAACTCTACCGGAATGCCATGGAAACACGGACCAATGACATTTTCGCGTCAGATCGCGTACGCTAAAAACGAAAGTCTGCAAAGTCTACTGCCAGTACTGGACGAGTCCGAGTCGATCGACACAGCTGGACATACATCCACAGTCAGTGCTCTACTGCGCGATGGGATGGAATAAAGAGAAAAAATCTCGAGTACATGTAGATTTCTCGCTTTACTTCTGAACTTCCTTTACATATCGGTGCATGTGATGGTTCCAGGTAACTCAGTTTGTCGGAGGACGAAGACGCATTGCCCTACAGCGGTTCTGCATAGAAGTTTGGAGTGATGATGTTCTGAGACAATTATCATTTTCAGTGAGCTGCGAAAAATACATCTACTCAATAATGCTTATGTTTCCAATGATCTAGAACGTACCTTTGCCAGACAAGTGCAATGGAGCACGAGGATGAGCAAGACCTGCAGCAGGCATTGGCTGCAACCAAGTCTGCTCAAGATGCACTAGCTAAACGAAGGAGGTCGAACACTCCTGGCTCTGCCCTGAAATCTCCAAAAGGCGTTGCTGGATCATTAAGCCTGACTAGCATTGGTGGTGATTTTGATGACACCGATTTTGATGTCCCATCCGTCACCCTCCCTACACTTGAAGACATCTTAGCAGAGAAAGACAATGATGATTTTCTTGCTGATATTGATGCTGTTGTGGCTGGTGCTACCACAACCGATGGAGGTGCTGGAGGTGACACGAGCGGTACTGGGAAGGCCAGTGAAAGTGTGAATTCTATGAGTGCATCGGCGCCTGTCCACCCTTCATCTGGCAAAAGCAAGACCGGTGCCGCAACAACAACAGTACATGGCTCAGTATTGCGATACAGTAGACTGAAGAATCTAGCGGCCCATCTACACTCAGCGTCATCACGTGTAAGCACTGTTTAATAGCATGAACTTACCGCGTATTTCATTGCTTTAAAAGTACAGGTGCTCCGGGCCGGAGCCAGGTCCTGAAGGGTGGCACGACCCCAGGTCGACTACTGTACCGATCCCTACCCCCCATCCTCTTATTCAGCATACTGTAGTAGTAAGAGAATCCATCTCTACAGCTCCATGCATCATGTCTGGTTGTTTTAGCTACACAGTCCGCTGGTAACAGATATACAGTTAGTTCAGTAGTCCTCACTAGACAAGAACAGCAGTGTACTAGTATGTGGGACAGACTTTGTAGTGAGGATTCTAGGAGGATAGCGCATTACGTATTTCCACACAGCAAGAATACATGGCATACGTGTACTTAAGCATGTACAGTAGCTGGCACTAGCTGCTGCACAAAAACTGGTACGGCCATGATCGTACCCGCCGTGCTGGTGGTGCCAGCCCTGGACAGTTACCGATACGCATGTCACCATGAGAATGCCAGCTGTAATAGCTCACTTCGACTTCAATGTTAATCCATTGGCATCATTAGCGGTGTTGTGTTTTCTGTGCTTTGCGTTGTGTAGGTTGATGCTGGCCTACCCACTGCCATGGCAGTCTCATCCAGCTTGGCTGTTGGCACATCACATGGCTTAGTTCTGATGTTCGACCCATCCCAAGCGCTGAAGCTAGTCCTTGGCAATGGCCGCCTTGGTCAGCAGCTTGGTCCCGTGTCTGCGTTGGATTTCAATGGTGATATGACACGTCTGCTTGTTGGTCATGCCAAGGGAACTCTAACCATGTGGGACTTGGGTAATGGGAAATGTATTCGTACCATCACTGATGCCCATGTACCTGGTACTCCAGTCTTGCATGTCCGCTTCCTGGATGATCCTACACAGGTAAGGACCACCGCACTCCTCCAGTTATAGGTACTCAAGGTGTCTGTCATGCCGGTTGGATGTTTCTTGTTTGCATGACCTTGCTTCATGGTGTCTGAAAGAGTATGCATAGTTGTATGTATGTGTGCTTGTTTTTCTGTGTGCGCGTGTATGTGTGTGTGTTTGTGTTTACGTAAATGCATGCATGCACCCACACATGCATGCACGTGTGGTATGTGCATAAAGTTAAGATCTTACATGGTATCTTTCAGTCTTCAGCAGGGTAGACTTCTGACGAATCTCCTCTTTCCTTTTGCTTTACAATGTGCAGGCCGTGTTTAGCGATAGTGGCGGGTCAGTCTTTTTGCTCCAGTTCCGACGTGTCATGGGTGTGCGTACTGCGGAGTCTGATTGCCTCTTCTCAGGCAGTCGTGGAGAGGTCTGCTGTGTTCAGCCTTTGCTGTTTGGCGAGAAAGGTGCTGGCAAGGTTTTGGCGGAAATGCGTATCTTGGCCATGGCATCTCTCACCAAAGTCTTCATCGTCCGTCTTCGTCCTAAGCTGGAAGTGATGTTCACATTCTCATTGAAAGGTGAACTGGGAACTCTGCCTTTGCTTGACTGGCATCTGCTATCTGGTGATAACTCTTCAGTGGGAAAGGTTTGTAAGCTAGTGATTTATGGCATGCATCTTATGAAAGTAGAATGCATTGTATTGCCACACATTCCCAGTTTTCCTGGAGCTGTTTTATTCACTGGATCGGATTTTACTTGCCACCCCTCTGGTACAATGTACTACTTAAGTACTAGTGACGAACCTGGCCAGGCTGACACAGCAATAGACTGCAGCATGCAGTGCTATTTAATCACATAGCTGTGGCAGCCTGGCAACAGAACTTGACGATTGATTGACCTAGACAGATGCACACCCACCCACTCTGTTTTACGATAAAGATCTTTAGTACAATGTACTGACTTTCAACCTGTGGAGAACAGTGTATACTCCTGGTGGCTTTGATACATGTAGTTACTACCGTGATTACCGCTGCTGTGCATGCTACGTGTGTATGTGTGTTTGTGTGTGTGTGTGTGTGTGTGTGTGTGTGTGTGTGTGTGTGTGTATACCGTGTCACGCTGATCCGTGTGTACATTCTATGCACGTGTGCTCAGACTGTGGAGCCCTTGCTGGTGGCAGCGCGTGGAAATCAGCTCGTCTTCCATCGCTTGAGACAAGAGGACGGTGAAAGTGGTAATGTTGCTTTCATTCCCATCAAAGGCGGTACAGTGTCCTTCCAGTGTATCAGTGTAAAGCTGCTCAACAGCGAGGTTAGTGACTTTCTAAGTTGTCTATAGTCTTACAGTGATTATGTCCAGGTCATTTGCACGGTTTCTTTCCATGGCACTCGTAGGGCTAGCATATACAGTCACTTATAACGTAGTCATGGCAGGTGCGCGGCTTCTTCACGACTGATCACTCCATGCTGTGTGGCTTGTCTTGATCTTTTAGCCTTCATAGATGTTTCGATAGTCGTGTTGAGTTCGCAATTGCTCGTGCTGTTACATGTATTGTTTTACCCTCCTCGCCTCGTTCCCGCTTGTGTTCATTTCAGGCTACCTGTTTTGGACGACCAGTTGCCTGATGATTGTGAATAGTGTGAAACTCAAAGTTGCAACATAGCTCCTTTCTTCCTTTCTACTGACTGTGCAGTCTCTTCTATTCATTTGAGTTGTGGTGCATGACAGCAATCACTATCACTTATCAGCTTGATTGTCTTTGTTCTTACACACTTTGTGACTAACTCTTGTTCTGGTCTGTTCCAATGTGTGTGTGTGTGTGTGTGTGTGTGTGTGTGTGTGTGTATGTGTGCATGCGCGCACGTGTGTAGGTTGTTGTCATGCTGGATACACGTGAACATATTCACGTGTTTGACTACAGTGACATGACGGAGCTGCAAGACATTGATCTTGTGGATGTTCACCTTGCTTATAGCACCAGTCATTTCAAGTCTTTGGCTGCAGGTAGGGCATGCATTTGCTTTACACAAGAGTGTGTGTGTGTGTCCACGCACCTATGTGTGTGCACGTGAGTACTTGCTTGCGAGGATGTGAGGCTGAGTAACTTCTTAGCTGGAGGCGCTGTACATGTGCTAGAATGTTGAGTTAGATGATCATATACAACTACTGTAGCAATGTGCTTGTGGCCTGGTGTGATGTGAATTTCTTGTGTTTCTTGTGATGTGCCAATGCCTGTGCTTGTTGTACTGTGTAGGTGGAAGTGTTAGCAAGGCACTGGAGGTGGCTAGTCAGCATTCCTGCTACCAGTCTATTGCGACGTACCGCGGCCAACTGCTGCTACTCGGCGTGGATGTTGTACACTGCCTGACCATTCGCAAATGGGATGAGCGCCTAGCCGTGCTGGTTCGCGACAGTCAGTTTCCCGAGGCGTTGGCGCTGGCAATGACATTTTACCGCGGCACAGCTAGAGCTATCATTGGGCTGAGTAGCCAGGCAGAGGAACGGCGTGAAGTAGTCGCTGGGCATATGATTGACATTCTCCTGGCCTATGTGGACCTATCACTCGCTGTGCACATTCCCGATGATGATCACATTGAGGAGCAGGAGAACTTCTACAAGGTGTGTATCTTCCCTCTCTGCTAATCAGTGCCCATGCTCCTGCTCGGAGTGCTTATCGCTGTACATGTCTGTACGCTCAAAGATTGCACAGAGAACGGCAATTTGGAACTATTATGCATGCATGCTACATGAATACATGAATAACATGATCATTTGTGGTGTAGGAATCGTATGTGCTTTTGTAGGACTGGTTCTGTTTGGTTTCTTTCAGGACGTTGATGGTCTGGTTTGTCTGCTTGTTGTGTGTTCTTCTCCCAGGGCCTTGTGAACATCTGCATTGACTACTGTCTGATACTGGATGCTACTGATCTACTGTTCAGTGACCTGTACGAACGGTTTGTGGACTTTGTTATTGGCCGCGCTTGCTTTCTGGAATGCTTGGAGCCGTACATCATTGGCGATCACCTGACCTCGCTCAGCCCTGTTGTACTGCGTGACTTCATCGAACATTACCAGACTCAGCAAATGCTCCAGCGTGTGGAGAATTGCCTTTTGCACTTGGAAGTTCACAACTTGGATCTTCATCAGGTGAGTGCTGTGCACTCTCTGTGCAGCATCCAGCATGCTGTGCTATTGTAATATATCTGTGTTGGCAGCCAAGCATGTACATGTAGTCGATTTGGTGGCATTTGCATGAATGTGTATATATCTGTGTCACTGGAATGTGCAAGCTCTTATGGTGTAAAGTTATGGTGAGCCAATTAAATTATGGTGAAAAAGGAGAAAGACAAAATGTCAGATCACCGAATGTCTCAGTACTCCTTGTCAGTTTTGTGCCATTTTGTCGCACTCGCTGACTGTATAACTTAAGATCTGGTTACGTTGGTGGACAGGTAGTCATAACTCGTAACATGTTGTCCTTCTCCTTTTTCTTATGGTGTAGTTATCTTTTTTCTTTCTTTGTTTCGTGTGTGTTGGTGTGGTGCTGTGTGGCTGTGGCTGTGGGTGTGTGACGTGGCTGTGGGTGGTATTGCTGCAGGTGGTTGTGCTGTGTTGGACGTACGGCCTGTATGATGCCATGATCTATGTGTACACACGCGGCATGCACGACTACGCCACCCCGCTTCAAGAGTTGCTACGGCTGCTGCGCTCGGCTCTGAACAGTCAGGACGGTGGCGGGGTCCTGTCAGATGGTGACCAGGTACTGGGTTACAAACTGCTTGTGTACATCAGTTGCTGCTTGGCGGGACGCGCCTATCCATCCGGTGAGATTGCAGATGATATCGCTGCGACGGTGCGCTCCACAGTCTTCTCTGTTATTGTCAAGAAGCAGCTCAATGAGGCTGAAGCTGATGACCAAGTGGAGTCCTTCCCACATCTAAGAACACTGCTGCGGTAAGGACGGTGGATTGTGTGCCATTGTAAGGCTTCGCACGTTGTGCGCTAGCACTGCTGCTACTCTTTAAGTCTTATTTTTTGCTTTCCTGCAGCTCACACTCTATCTACATTGCATGGCCTTGAGTTTGTCTGACACTTTGGAAATACTCATTGAATGTACTCTGTTGCTGTTGCAACGTACATATTCTTTTTTTTCTCTTGCGGTGTACATGTGAATTGTGTCTTTTTTACATTGCCACCGACACGCTGGTGTAGGTTTGACACACGGGAGTTTCTGAACGTGCTGTCACTAGCATTCGAGGAAGACTTCTTCAGCACTGTGTCATTCCGCGACACAAGTACAGGGCAGGCAGTGCAGCGACCGGGACGTCAACTCGTCGTTGATTTACTGTTACGTTTGATGATGAACTCAAGAGACTTCAGCCCTTCTCAGGTATGGGTGGCTGTATATTTCTTTAAAATGCCTATGCGCTTCAAGTACATCAAGACTGTATTTCTCCTCATGTTAGACTTTTTCGCTTGAGAATCACATAGCGTAAAACTCAAGTGACAAGCAAACCCTCGTTCTACCTTTGCTGTGAGGAAGCTCTTTTCATTGCGGTGTTGAGCACTTTGTAGACCGGGGACGTCTACTGTGCATGGATTTACTTCAAGTAAAATGTTGGGAAAGTGTACTCGGCTAAGATCACCATCCATGGTTACACCCCACACTGGCTGGTCTCTTGTAATGTCCCATAAGAACTAGTAACGGTAGCTGGTGAGTTATCATGTGCAGAGCCGAGAGACTAAAGGCTGCAGCAGTCCATTCTGATTTGTGTACACATGTATAATGTCGAGGAGTTGCTCGCCTTGTATTCCCTCAGTGTTGTCTTGTATACTAGCATTGTTGAAGAGCCACGCTCTTTGTGTGCTGTCTGTGTTGTGTTTGCCCTGCATCTCTCCAGCTTGGTTCATTATTCACTTTCCTTGCTCGCCAAATGGCCAAACACAACGATATCAAGGTGCAGCGGCAGTTGTTTGAGCAGGTGCTAGAGTTCCTGTGCAACCCTGACAGCAGCACGCGCCATGAAGAGAGACAGCAGGCAATGCTGGAACTGCTCAGCACTAACATTGCTGGACAGTTTGATGCGGAGCAGTTGATTGTCTTGTGTGAGAGTGCAAGCTTCTTTCAGGTACGCATAGCGTTTATTCTCTCAATAATGCTACTCAGCAATTCTGTCCCAGTGTGTCATTGTGGGTACGAACTTACACATAGTGAATGGCTTGATCATATTTGTTTCAGAGCCGCCGGGTGCATTCATAACAGAATAGAGAATAGGAGAATGGAGGAATGGGTGAAGAGAGAAGAACATAGTTGTAAAGCTGTAGTGGAGTGAACGCACTTAGGGACAAGCTGGTGCTTGCCATGACTTTTCTGAGTGTGGTCTGGTTGAATAGAAAGAGTTTTTTTTTAGTTTCTGAAGGAAGCATATGCTCCTGATCTGATCCAAATCAGAGCAGACACTGCTTCCACAATGAAGTATGATCGGGAGGGGACCGAGGCTAGCTTTCATCGGCGAAATTACGAGTACATTCGATTGTGACATGTCGTTTCCCATTGTGATCTGCGTGCGCCTGCGTGTATGTGCGTGTGTTTGTGTGTGTGCGTGTGTGTGTGTGTGCGCGCGTGCGTGCGTGTGGTACAACAGGTACTCGAGCAGCTGTATGAACGCCGGCGTGAATTTGCCAAGGTCTTGTCATGCTATTGGCGTGACCCAACTCGTCGTGCCCAAGCCTTCAGTTACATCCATCATGTGATGCTGGATGACAGCTTTGTAGAGTTTGAACGTGCCGAGGTGGAGCAGGCTGCTCTCAAGCACATGCAGGAACTGATGGAGGCTGATAGCCTGGCCACTGCCAAGCTCATGATCACTGACTTTGCACATGACTTGGAAGACGTGACGAATCGCTTGTCTGAGCATCCGAAGGTGAGACGAGTGTTCAGTAATGGTCATGTTACCGTCATGTCACTGTTTATGGCTCCCTCACGAGTGATGCATCCATATCTGTTGCGTCATCTTGCTTTGACTGTAGCGTTGTCAGATTTGAAAATGTTGCTTCTCTTGATGTATTCCCTATCAGTGGTAATGGATGTATCTAAACAGATGGGTATTCCTGCTCTCAATTGTTCTAGGATTTTTCATCTCCTCCCTAAATTGAGCAGTCTTCTTCCATTAGTACACCAGGGGTGTCAGCTGGGGTGGATATAGGCCAGGGATGCCCTTCGTTTGTGTCACACATGTGCATAACATGCTACATGTACCAATGACCGATGGCTTTGATGCTGTCTTTTGTGTGTGTGCACAGCTGCAGTACGAATTCTTGCTACATGTCTTCGGTGGACCTGGCGGTGTGGGTTTGGCTAAGCCGGAGTCGCCTCCACCGCCGCAGGTACATGAGCAGTACATTGAACTGATGTGCAAGTACGACCCAACACTGGTCTACAGCTATCTGCGCAGCAACGAGAACTACCGCCTGGAGGAAACGCTCATGATCTGCCGCAAGCACTTGCTGACGGATGCAGTGGCTTTTCTACTGGAGCGCACTGGTGACGTGCAAGGCGCTTTCAACCTTCTCTTGAAGTCTCTACGGGCTAAGATTAGCTTCCTTGACAAGACTGTGGATGAGTACGACAGTGATAGTGAGAATATTGTACAAGTGGAGACTGTACGAGTGGCTATCACTGCCATCAACGGTGTTTTACTGGTCATCATTCAGCTCTGTCAGCGCAACAGCGTGCGGCTAGAAGCGGAGCAGAGGCAGGACCTGTGGTTTCCTCTACTCGAAGCCGCCATGAGTCCCCAGCAGCGGTGGCGCCATGCCTCTTCAGCGCTGGTTAGCGCTCTGAAAGAGCTAACTTCACATGTCTTGAACAGCATGATGGGCTATGTTCCGCTACCGGCCATTCTCAAGCAGATTCTCAGTGATCCCAGCACGAGTAGCGGATCATTTGGTGAATTGAAAGACCTGATGATGGGCATGGTGGAGACGTATTCCTACGAACAGACACTGCTTACGACCACCAACCGCCTACTGGCCGGTGACATCAACGGGAGCATCAGCGTTCTGAAGCGAGTCAAGGAGAAAGGTCTTGCACCGCGCAGTGCTGTGTGTAGTGATTGTGGGCGACGGCTGTGGGAGAGCAACACAGCTGCTGTAGCAGCGGGTCGGTCATCATCACCGGCAGTGGCAGCCACAGTTGGCGGGTCAGTGAAAGACAAGGACGATATCTATGTGTTCAGCTGCGGTCACAGCTACCATCGACTCTGTGTTGTCTCTCGCCAACCTGGTATTGTTGCCTGCGGTATTTGCAACAAGAAACTGTCTACGTCTACTTCTCGGCAAGCTGACTGGCATCGGATCCGCGAGCCCCCGCGAACCCATTCT